TGGACCAACAGTTTGATTGCCAGATGGCGCCATTGAACAGAGTCAAGTCATGCCTTCCGTGAGTGGTTAAGATATGTACCCCTTCAGACAGACAGGCATATTTATTTGTATATGTGGCCCTGAGGCCAATAGTACATGTGTACAATAATAACAGTGCATTTATGCGCAACCTGTAAATACGCGAGTCATAGGAACATCAATAAATCCATAAACACCCATTCACAATTTACATTTTTTCTCTCAACATAAGTATGTGACAACACAAGGGCTACCTTAAACAACAAGTCAGTATTTTCTGTGCGAAGTAGCATACAGAATTTTTGTCTCGACGGTTGGTTATAGAAAAAATAAGGCAAATATGTTTCTCTAATTTCTAAATATTTCGGGCATATAAGTAATACATGGTACTCATCTTCTTGCGATAAATTGCAGAATGGACATTGGATATCTATTGCATTTGAAGTAGCCCTATGTATCCCTTCCCCTGTGATGAATAGCTGTATCTTACCTACATGTCAGAATGTTGAAATCGGATTGGACTTTGATAAAATATTATGTATACCGCCTGGGAGGGAAGAAGCTGTGTGAGCGAGAATAAATCTCTTATACCCTGCTACGAAGAAAGAAAACCGCACATGGATCTCTGAGCGAAATTGCCAGTCTCAACAATATTCAACATATACCCCTCTCAAAAAGTTCAGCAACATGAATTTTTGTCTCATTACATTTTCATTTATTGAAATTGCAAATCATGGAATGATGCAATAGAAAGGTGAAACGTATGTACACACGATAAACAAAATGATAAGAAAAGGTATTGAGCAATAACAGACTTACAAATCATCAAAAGCATGTACCCGTGAAACAGTCAAGCAAAATGTGCACATGAAAGATCAAGTCTGTTTTGGACAGTGAAGCCGTGTTCAGTAACACATGTGACCACCATGGGCACGAATACAAGCTTCTACACGTCTTGGCATTGACCAAACCAGTCTGTCAAGTTGCTGTTGTGTACATTTTGCCATTCTCTCTGTAACGCTTGTTCAAGTTGATCCAGAGTCTGGGGGGCGAACATGGAGACCGTAAACACGACTTCCAAGAATGTCCCAAGCCTGTTCAATGGGATTAAGATCAGGTGACCTTGCAGGCCAGTCAATATGAGTGATGATCTGAAGAACATCATTAACAACTCCTGCTCGATGTGGACGGGCATTATCATCCATAAAGATCAAGTTAGGACCCGCTTGTTGTGCCAGAGGAATGATTACAGGTGTGACAATATCATTCCTGTACTGTACACCAGTCATGGTACCCCGTCTAATGACCACAAGATCAGTTCTCTGCCCAACTCAGAGATGTCAGACCATACTATCAAACTTCTACCACCGTAATGATTGTGTTCAGCAATTGCACAGTTGACATTTCGTTAATCGCTGTTTCTCCAGGCACGTGCCCTACCATGGTTGAAGTCCCGCCAACGATTGACCCTCCAAGTACGGTATTAATTTGCCCAAGTAAGCATCAGCTGGCGATGATATGCAGGCAAGGGAATGCGTTGTACGGGTCTTCTGGACCTTAGACCTTCAGCATGAAGCCTGTACCTCATTGAAGCCCTGTTTCCTGAAACTCTCTGCAGTTCATTCTGGATAGATCTGGCCGTGGTGAACCTGTTTCTCCGGGCGAGTGTGGCCAAATGATGATCTTCTCGAGGAGTTGTGATCCTTGGACGACCTGTCCAGTTTGGTGGTATCGAGTCACCCTCTTGAAATCACGCTGCGGTGAACACTAAAATGATTTGTGACGTCAGGATGGGACATACCCCTCTGCTCGAGCCACCTCTGTTGGCGTCAAGTGACATCTAACCATGTTTCAGATGTTATGGTTAAAAGATTCTTCTTACTGGCAGCCCATTTGTGAAGTGCGGAGCACGTGCCTGCCACACATTTTGCATGCTGTTTCTGAGGTTGGTTGTGTTAGGGTGATGTTATCAAAGTTATCAGATAAATCAATTTGACAGTCACTAAGGCGGGCACATTTGCGTAGTATCCTTGAACAAGATACTTATATCCACATTGTTTCAGTTCACCCAGCTGTGTAATGGGTACCCGTGAGGATATGCTGGTAATGTGAGTGTTTAGTTCATTGCGCCTAACAGGAAGCATGGCTGTACAATCCCCAGGGAGTTGATAAATAACGGAAAGTACGATAGTGTCCTATGACCGGGGATAGTAATATACGTAGCGCCGTGAGCAGGCATTGTGCCTGGATATGAGCGCCATATAAGCGCACTATCACTAAACTATTACTAAAGTTTATGTATTCGTTGAAAATGTACCTTTCAGTAACATGTCGCCAAAACTTGCAATCGAGATTGATAAAAACATTATACTGAAAATAATACTTGTTGCTTAATTGTTTGTGGCGAGTATATATACTGAACATCATTGAAAACGCACCACCTGTATTAGTTTGGATTTCCAAGAGCATAAATGAGCAATCGGTGTAAATTTTACATACTTTTGTAGTCCAATGATAGGTAAAGAAAAGAAACAAGAACCAATCCAGCAAAACAGTGAAGTTTTAATTCAGCTGACCATGAAAGAAAGATGGAGTCAAATTGGAAAGACAGTAACGTGTATGACCATCGTTAGCAGCAACACAAGCTGTGCAACGTCTCCTCATTGAACTGATAAGTCTCTGAATAATGTTTTGAGGCAATGCATTCCACTCCATTCTCAAGTTCCCCAAGGTTGTTGATCTGTGGGCGACGTGAGAGGCGTTGGCCGATGTAATCCCACAAGTGTTCAATGGGAGACAAACCTGGTGACAATGCAGGCCATGGAAGTAGAGGAATGTTGTTGTTTGCCAGAAACTGTGTTGCAACACGTGCAGTGTGCGCTCGAGCATTGTCCTGCTGGAATGTTTGCAGATCTTGATGTTGGTTAAAGAAGGGAACAACGTTGTTCTGAAGAATTGTGTCACGGTAGTAAAGGGCATTCACTCTGCCACGACAAACTACCAGAGCGGTTTTGTGATGATAACTGATCCCTCCCCACACCATAATGCTTTCTCCACCCCACCGATCTGTTTGCACAACACAGTCCTGATGGTAACGTTCTCCCCGTCGACGCCATACCCGTAGACGCCCGTCATCATTTCGCAAGTGAAAACGTGACTCGTCGGAGAACACAACATCATGCCAACGTCGTAACAACCACAAACGATGCTGTTCAGCCCATCGTCGGCGTTCACGGCGATGTCTATCAGTTCGGATGGGTCCAACATAAGGGCGTCGACACCATAATCCTGCCGCACGGAGACGACGTCGGACGATGGAAGCACTATCAAACCACGTCGGCCTTGGGCAGCGTTGGCGGTTCTGGCAGCCGGCAACGTACGATCCCGAATATGGCGCCGAACAATGTCTCGATCTTGGCGAGGGGTGGTAACACGTGCCTGGCCAGGACGTTGGCGGTCCCTGGTGGTTCCTGTTTGTTGGTACTAGTTGGCAAGTCTTATGATGGTGGAATGATGGCAACCAAATCGTCTGGCAATAATCCTGCTTCATGTGCCAACCTGCAACATGCCCAATGCCCGTTCTCGTTCTTCTGGTGACAATCTTGGCATTGCAAAATAAACTTTACTTGCGGAGGATCAGCTAAAACGAGAACGTTTTTTTGCCGACGGTCATTTATACCCCTAATCAGCATGTTTTACGCATGCAATTTGTGCTTTTCGTGCGTGTTGTGCATGAATTTTGTTGTTGTCATGTGATTTGTTCCATGATGTGTTCGGGCAATCCGTTCTTTACTGTACAGCATTATTTATTGTCTGTTGTGTTATTAACAACATTTCCAACGTTCATTTTCACTCTCAAAACAATCCTATTACCATATTTCAAAATTTACAGGTGGTGCGTTTTCAATGATGTTCAGTACATATTCAAGTTTGGGCCAGACAATCCAGTGATTGAAAACATGAGCACAGATCTACGAGATTGGGGCAGTGATGAAATGCATGACCCAAGTCATTGACCTCCTGATAGGACAAGCACGGGTTGCTGAAGGCCAGTTCTAACCCCAATCTTCGCGGGCCTCAAACACTGTCAGTGTTACAAGTCGTGTACCATATTTTAATAAGAACAAATTTCCAGTCACACTTTATGAAAAGCTTTATTAGATATTAGACAAGAATATCGAGCAGTTTAGGCTCCATTTCGTCACCACTGAAAGGCCAGCTCATGTGCGTTTTCTTAATCTTTGGAATTAAGCTGATACACTCTCTCGTTTAAACAATCGTCTACATCCCGTTCTCTGAAAACGTTCGTCGTAGTGTGGGACACCGGGAATTATTGCCGTTAATGTTCGCTGTAATGTTCTCATAATCAGATATCCCATTCCAAATTGATAACAGGTATGAGTTTTAATGGATTGTGTAGTCTTGTCACACCTACAAAACGTCAGCTTCATTCCCTGATCCATATATTACCAAAGTAATTATAGTAATAGAAGTTCACTCATCATTCTTGTCTATCCATGACGTCAATGGCTGACTGTATATGTCGTCTTCATACGTAGGGCAAGATGGTGACATTGAGACTGAACATGTAGCATGATCCACACAACACGATATCGACAAGACACGAACGATAATTATAAATATAAACACATGCCACAAGAACATGTAATGATGATTACAAATACCTGTCACTAAAACATGTTACAGTCGTTGTATCTGTGCAGATAACATGATTATTACAGTGTAAGTAAACTTGGACTTCAAAGTAGGTTGGCCTACCTTTAGAATACAGCACCACAAACTTTAAAAATACGTCATAATACCCTTTTACGTAATGTAATGTGATTTTGTTCGAAAGCACGATCTCGAAACAATGCCCTATGACGCCTGCATGGCAAGACGGTTGTCTGGCTCAGCGAGTGCGTATAAGCTCCGCTCACTGGTGTTTCATCTCTACGAGCTATGTCATTGCATAAGCCCAACGATGTTGAGAGTTTCCAGTAGTTGTATACCGGCGGATGCGCAATATTTTGCAAGCACCAGTTTGAAATATTTATATAATACTGAGCTTAAGTTTACTTAGACTGGACAGGTAATACAGATATTTTTGATGAACTATTCATCCTTTATATATAGACTTTATCTCCTACTATCGTCCATAGGCCTTAATTCAGGCTATTATTCATAGGTTTATTTCATACCATTATTTCATTACGCTTACCTTTTCTCACATTTTATGCGCTTTGACGTTGTGGATGGATACAGCGCTTTATAAATACTCATCATCATCATTATTATTATTATTATTTATTTTTCGAATTTGGAGCAAGTGTTGTGTGTATTGATGGTGTTTCGTTTCTCTAACGTTCATGAACTTACGGTCGTGGGATATGTATCGATACTACAATCACTCGTGACACCCTACATGTGAGACTGACTCCTTCATTAGTTTCTGCTCAGTCGTCTTGGGGCAGTCATGGTCACCTCGCCTTGGATAGCACCCGGCGAAGGTCCCGTGTCGCGGTATAATTGAATGGATTCAAGAGATTCCTGAGATCCGTAATCTGAAGTTAAGCTGTGACGTCCATGGAAGTTACCGTGTCCGCCTGAGTTGCCTTGGCTACCAGACAAGCCTGCAGGATTATGTCCCTTGTGGCCTTGTGTCATGTGACCTTTTCCGTGACCGTGACCTTGAGAATGGCCATGGTTGGGCAGGTGTCCTGGGGGCACGTGTTGGGTTGCACTGGGAGAGCGTCCGGGCGGTCTACCCTGACCAGGTCGTGCCCCAGGAATGGCCTTTCCTGGTTTACCCCCGGGCTGACCTCCAGAGGATGGGTGCGAGGGTGTCCCACCTCCCTTCCCCCCGTGTACACCCCAGGCAGGGAGTGGCTCCTTCTGTGGGGAGGTAGAATTGTGGCCGAACTTTGTGTCTAACCACCTGCAACAACACCAAGCGTTTTGACAGTACTATTTATGACAGTAGCCACTTATCGTTGTTATGGAAACAAATCTTTTTCAGGCAGATGAACGACATCATGACATGAATGATGTCACTGAACTGAGATTTGACAGTTAAAACATGTTTAAAATACGAAAAGTAAATATATATTTAATGATATTTTCAAAATAGTATCCAAAATAATTAATCCTGAAGTATTGAATATAAATTCAGACCAGTGTTCCAGGAATAAAGTATACGAAATCCAGTAGGTGGTGATCTGATTTCCATCCTCAGTTATCATTTTCATGCTTGCAATAATGTTAAGTGACCTTAGATAAGTGTTAAAATACGAAAAGTAAATATATATTTAATGATATTTTCCAAATAGTGTCCAAAATAATTCATCCTGAAGCACTGAATATAAATTCATGGGAAAGATTAGTGGTAGGGTCATTGTCAACCAAGTCTGCGAGTCTTGACCACCCCATCAGTCGCCTCTTACGACAGGCATGTGCTTCTGAAGATCAATTCTAACCAGATAGAGGTTACACAGCGTAGGTATAAGATAGGTTCTAAAAAGATTCATAGATATTGAACTTACTTCCAGAACGTCTTTGGCCGCTTACATCTCCAGAGGACAAAGAAGCAGATTCCTCCCAGCACTATCAGGCTGCCAATCACTCCGCAGACAATCTCAACACTGTGATCTAGATAATATAACATGTATTAATATGCCCATTCTACCGGCTCTTTATAAGGAAATACATTATATTTAGATTCGTTCTTTTACGCCAATGGTTGTGCATTTCTCAGAATTTAAGGAACGTTTTGAATTTGTTGTCAAAGCCAATCTCTAAATCAATTTACACCTGACATTGTTGTTCCCTTGTTCAACGCCACATTCCGCAATGTTGCACTTACATGTTGGTCTGTAAACAATCGAATCTGGACCAGACAACCCAATGACTGACAAGTGCATCGATCCAAGCAGTTGTGATACAATAACATCTACTTAACCTAGTGAGCCAGACCACCCTACACATTTAACGCATATATTCGTACAAGTCCAGGGTGCTGGGGTCCTATATTTACACAATAAAAAATTACAAATTTGTAAAATGATTTAGTATCCTCAATTCAATTTGTCAAGCTATGTAAACTGAGTACGGGGGTAGGGGATTCTAAGTAGCTAAGACTGTCAGATAAACAGATGCAAATGTAGGAAACTAAGGGTGATCCTGGCATCAGTCAGAAAATAACCGTGAGTGATATCAACTGGAAGGTAATGGAGATATAACCGTGAGTGATATCAACTGGAAGGTAATGGAGATATAACCGTGAGTGATATCAACTGGAAGGTAATGGAGATATAACCGTGAGTGATATGAACTGGAAGGTAATGGTGAGGTATAACCGTGAGAATATTTCATCATATCGAATGCGTGTGTATGTGTATGTGCGGAGATTGTACTAGCCCAGACTGAAGCTGGTTTTATATGCTAACTAAAGATACTATGCCGCAAGAAGCATGAATACCCCACTCAGACACATTATACTGACTCCGAGACCGGTCCTTGTTGTACCCATTAATGCCGAGTGCCAGGCAGGGACCAACAAGTACCATATTTTAACGTCTTTTGGCATATCTCTTGCACAAGCTCCCCTCTTATGTCAGCTAGGTCGCGTTTGAACTTGGCCGTTGTATCTCTGATTACAATTGATTGGTGAGCACTCTCTGTGTCCTCTGTTAGCTTCGTTCTTGACCTACTTATGACTTCAAAAATGTCATCACAAATGTCTCCCATATATCTTCTAAATAGAATAAATACATCTTTTGCGAGTTTTTTTTGTAACCGATACTAGGTGAATATGAGTAAAAATGTGACTGGCGATATTGTGTGCCACTATAGCTACCTGTTGGAGGTTGTGAGGACGGCCTCGGTGTCTGAGATACCGGTGTACTGGATGAGACACCTACAAGAAAGTAGTTTGTAAGAAAGACCTACATGCATGTTATTACATCTAGCACATGGTACATATGTTTTGTAAACAAACTGTTTCAGAGTAATGACTCATTGGCGGATCCAGTGGGGGTTTCAGGGGGTTCGAACAACAACAACAACAACAACAACACCAGCAACAAACACACAAACACACACACACACTTTGAAAATGACTTAAGACCACACTGAAGTTAATGATTTGCATTGGCGGGACACCTCTGAATGTATATGAATGTCAATCTTTGAATAAACTGTCTGTCGAAATAAAAGAAGCAATAAAACTTGGATTTGATGAAAAAATACAAACGCTCTCAAAAGGATACTAGACTGAAAACGGTCACAGAAATACTGCAATCTTGGGGTACAAAAAATATGCCAATGATGACCGTATAAATGACGTCGCAATCGAATAGCCATTGCCTGTTTACCCTTTTTCACTGGCATTTAGGAATTGGTGTGAGGAACAACGGCAAGATCTCTATGGATATACAAGTTCTTCATTATTGATATGAGCGACGTTTCGGTGTAGCCACTAACGCCATCATCAAGCGAATATCACTTGCTTGATCACAGCGTTGGTTGCTACACTGAAAAGTCGCTCATATCAATAATAAAGATGTTGTTTGTCCATAGAAGTCTCCCGGTTGTTCCTTTCTTCTTTGTTGCAGTCTAGCCACCTTCAAACATGGACGTCTGGGCAGTTTAAACTATAGAGACATACAATTTCCTTCGTTGTGAAGGAGAAACCAAACTTGTTTCAGACCAGTGTTCCAGGAATAAATTACGAAATTCAGTAGATGGTGATCTGATATTCCATCCTCAGTTATCATTGTCATGCTTGCAATAATGTTAAGTGACCTTAGATGAGTGTTGAATCTCCTCTTTTTCAGTTATACCTTTGGCAGATAACAATGTTTAGACTTGATCAGATTCTAGTGACCCCCGACTGTGTTTGCTGTTTAACGCAGCACTATAGTCCGTTTGGCTCAAAATCGGACCGATGAATTGCAATCTAACTCGGAAACTAATAAACATAAAATACGAGGACGGGCTCACGGTGTCCGAGATACCGGCCTACTGGGAGGAGCCTGAAGGAACCTGATACCGGGCATTGTACTGGAATGAGCTCCCTAATCTCAATTTGAGCTATGAAACCTGCTAACAATAAACGAAGATTGTAGGAAACTGGTGATCCTGGCATCAATCAGTTAACCGTAGTCTGGAAGGTTGATATAACCATTGTTATGGTTTTGTACAGAATAATGGAGTGAGTGATATGTGAATGGAGATATAACCGTGAAGGTGATATCAACTGTAATGGAGATATAACCGTGTCAATGTCCATGATCAACTGCTGAGTGATATCAACTGGAAGGTAATGGAGATATAACCGTGAGTGAGTATCAACTTAATGGAGATATAACATACATCAACTTAATAGATATAACCGTGAATATCTTTTATTAGATATCAACTGAAGGTAAATGGAGATATAACCGTGAGTGATACAACTGGAATAATGCTCAACTGGAAGACTCATTAATTATAACCGTGAGTGATATCAACTGGAGGAGATATTAACGTGAGTTATCAACTGGAAGGTAATGGAATATAACCTCTAGGTGATATGAGTAGAAATTGACTGGCGACATTGTGTCACTATAGGTACCTGTTGTGAGGTTGTGAGGACAGCCTCGGTGTCTGAGATACCGGTGTACTGGATATGAGCTCGAGGAAGGGAGTTTAGTCTGTTGAACCTTGTTATGGTTTTGTACAGAATAGTGAATGTGAATGAGCAATGTCCATAACCTTACTCCTTTATATGCATACACCTTATATCAATGCTTTTATTAGAAACGTGCACTACAATAGCTCATGGGACTCATTTTGAAATCTTGAGTTCGGGAAAATGCCTCTATATATTTTTATTTTCTGGGTTTCTGGCCTTATCAATAACAGGTACTGTGCAACATGCATTAAGAAGAGAATAAATTACCACTGCTGCGGATTGTAAATATGATATTCCATCCTCTGTTTCCGAGAACATGGGCATAGTGGTAGTAAGCGTTTGGTCATATCTGAATGGTGAAATTCCTCATGCCAATGGTACCTTGGCAGAAATACATTTTGACACCTAAAGAGAACAACGAGTATATAATGCATGAAAAAATGTTTCTAACTTGGTCTGATTCTTGTGACCCCGCCCACTTGGGAACAGTCCGCCCCCGTATAGCCGTCGTCACAGTGACAGGTGTTGTCATTGGTGCATACCTGGAAAAGTCATGATATATGATATGAAGACCACGCCCTCCCCACCAAAGCTACCGGAAATGTGGAATGTGGAAGTTCCGGGACAGCTTTTTGTTCTCATCACTTGCAACATGATATAATCTAGGCACTACATGAATGACAAGGATTGACTTGGTTTAACGTTTTGAGAAAGTACAATAAACCCTCAAAAATAAATGAGACGTTCGTACTTGAACTACAGCTTCCAAGAGGTGAGGCGAGGTGAGGTGAGATTGGGTTTAACGTCGTGCTTGAGAATATTTCGCTCATATGACGACGTGCATGCGTGTGTATGTGTATGTGCGGCTGCTTGTACTAGCCCAGACTGAAGCTGGTTTTATAGTGCTAGCCCACTGAGATACCATGCCACAGTGAAGCATGAATACCCCACTCAGACACATTCTACTGACTCCGAGCCGACCAGTCCTTGTTGTACCCACTAATGCCGAGCGCCAGGCAGGGACCAACAAGTACCATATTTTAACGTCTTTTGGTATGACGCGGCCGTGGATCGAACCCGCGACCTTCCGCTCTCCGGGCAGACGCTCTAACCACTACACCACGGAGGCGGTTAGAGTCCAAGAGAATGAGCATGGATCAAACACTTGTTCAGGTTAGAAATTGAAGAATCGGTTGTTTGCAACCTTTAAAATTGTCCTTTTTGAGACATTTAGGTTTTAATTGTAGATTTAGTGTTGTTATTACCCCCAAACAAGTAAATATAACAGAAGAAAACAATGTCTAACTGTCATTCATACAAACATACACACTTTTCTAAATGTTTCTATCAAACGCTAGTGAGCTCACCCCATGATTCGAGCACTGAGATCCTAAAGGGTCTTTGGGACAGGATGGTTTGGGCAGAAGTTGTTTGCAATACTAGTCCTTGCCATAAGGTATATGTTAATATTCCGATTTGATGACATAATACCATGATCAGGTTTACCTGTGTGACAGTCATATAGCTAGGAAGCTGTGGCGTTAAACAACGAACAAACGTTAACTGTGGTACATACCTGGCCCCCACAGGTACTGACACTGGGCGTGTCCACTCCGACACTTCCCCTTGTAACAGAAGCCCCGACTCACCCCGGACCCACACTCCTGCATGTCACTCAGGTGGAGGTTGGCGGGACACTACATGCAACAATAACATAATAACACTCAGGTGTACAGGAGAAAATGAGAAAAAGAGAACATTGGTCGCGGAGAAGAGTGATTGAGTGAGTTTAGTTTTTCGCCGCTTTTAGCAGTATTCCAGCAATATCATGAAATTGCACGACGACTGTAAACCTTGAGAATGAAATTTAAGTGCACACTGGTTGGCAAGGGTAAAATACGTTAGTATACTTTTAGCCTTACCTTCCAGTGAAGCTTCTGGTACATTGTTACATAGCACGATCATCATGCAGTAAGCCTATACACCTTACCATCTGAGCATGTGTCTATGTAGTGATATGCTTGCCTGCACGGTCATGTAGTTTATGCCTATCTGTATGGCCATGTAGTTTATGCCTAACTGTATGGTCATGCAGTTTATGCCTATCTGTATGGCCATGTAGTTTATGCCAACTGTATGGCCATGTAGTTTATGCCTATCTGTATGGCCATGTAGTTTATGCCTATCTGTATGGCCATGTAGTTTATGCCTATCTGTATGGCCATGTATCTGTATGGCCATGTAGTTTATGCCTAACTGTATGGTCATGTAGTTTATGCCTATCTGTATGGCCATGCAGTTTATGCCTATCTGTATGTCCATGTAGTTTATGCCTATCTGTATGGCCATGCAGTTTATGCCTAACTGTATGGTCATGTAGTTTATGCCTATCTGTATGGCCATGCAGTTTATGCCTATCTGTATGACCATGTAGCTTATGCCTATCTGCATGGCAATGCAGTTTATGCCTATCATTCGGCCATGTATCATTTTGCTCGTGTGGTTATATCCCCATATTTATGGCCATGTATTGCTGGCTAGCTATACATAGTCATATCGCTACATTTTCTTACTGTCGTAGCTATGCAGTGGTTTTACCTCGGACACTTTACCGTCACAGAACTCCTCCAGGTCACACTCGTTCTGCTGGGGGCGACATATCATGCCAGGTGAGACGATCTGGAAAAACACGTTTACAGCGTGTTTAGGAGGAGGGGCTCCAAATAAGGGTCGCTATGGAAATCAGAAACGCTTCTTCTCGTCTTTCCCATTCTTGAATGGTCATACCGTTACGCCATTTTAATTGAGAAGTTCGAGTGTGAAACCACAATTTGAAACTGCTTTGAAAAAGTGAAAAATGATTTTTTATGTATATGCGCAATAATGTCCTCAGTTTGCTTCAATCACTCACTCACTCACTCACACACCCACTCTTTAACCCCTCTAATCACTCCCTCACTCTGTTTAAGTGTGGAGTACCTGACAGTTCTTGCAGCAGCCCCCACTGTTGCACTGAGCACTTGGTCGGAGCTTGCAGCCAAACATACAGCATGGATCCTTTAGGCATTCCTGTGGAGACATCAGATGTACAATCCAAGACAGGCTGACGTAATACAACAATCGTTAAGAAGACCAACACACAATTTCCAAAATAGATATAGTAAGCTATGCATATCGTCTGTTTGGCTCAAAAGCGGACCGATGAATTGCAATCTAACTCGAAACCTAATAAACATAAAATACTCAATGAAACGCTGATCATAATCAAAACATCATACCCGCTCTGTGAGGTTTTTGCAGAATTTTTGTCTTAAAAATAATAAAGTTGTTTAACAAACTATCCTTAAAATATTGACACAGTTCACTGTTTGTTACGAGGGAGGAGTGCAGAGAAAGGGACAGCCAGGTGTTCGAGAAGCAGGTTCACAGAGAAAGTTATTTATTCATTCTCGTTCTCGAACACCTGGCTGTCCTTTTCTCTGCACTCCTCCCTCGTAGCAAATAGTGAACTGTATCAATATTTTAATGGTAGATTGTTAAACAACTTTTTTATTTTTAGGACAAAAATTCTGCAAAAACCTCACAGAGCGGGTATGATGTTTGATTATGATCAGCGTTTCATTGAGTATGTTATGTTTATTAGTTTTCGAGTTAAATTGCAATTCATCGGTCCGCTTTTGGGCCAAACGGACTGTAGGGTTTAATAAAACAAAACTCTGTTAAGGAACACTCGAATATTGGGAACCCTTAAGTCTTCAGCAGACTGTACCGACATATGTACCGTATTTCCCCTAATAAGCGCCCGGGCGCTTAGAGACCAGGCGCCTATTAGAGGAAATACGGTATGTTTTAATACCACAGTGTTGATCTGTTGATCTGTTGATCTGTATCGATGTGAAGCCTTCACTCACCGGTATCCCCCCGCAGTCGCACACCTCACCCTGCTCCTTCACCCCGTTCCCACACACCGGCCCCCCGTACACGTGCAGGGGGGCGTCATACAAGCAGCTGGCTCCCCCCTCGCGGAACATCTTGGCCACAGCGTCCTTGCTGCACTGGCTGAAGCTCCTGGGGTCGACACTGGGGAGACAGTTTTTGTCATGAAGGTGCTAGAACCGATTGTGATGACCAGGGTCCAGGGCCCCGTTCCTCAAAGCGATCGTAGCGCTACGACTGTCGTAAGTCTATGTTAAAGTATGGGAGTTACGATCATCTTAGCGCTACGATCGCTTAGTGGAACAGGGCCCAGATCCTCAAAGCGTTCGTAGCGCTACGACATTCGTAAGCCTATTATAAACATACTATAGAGTTACGACAGGTCGTAACCTTACAAACACTTTGTGGATCGGTACCCAGATCCGCGATGTATCAGTCTGTGCTTATGGCTTTCACTGGTATCTGCGCTACCTTCGGCTTCACTACCACATTAACCCCGAAATATAACGTCACATAACAAATTAACTTTGGCGGATAAGGAGATGGGAAAGCGTATATCACTGGGCACGAAAATCACATGACGATCCGAATTACATTAAAGACTTGAACACTTTATTTGTACAGAAAAATCGCCGAAATCCTCAGAATCTACCCATCCCCGCTATTTCCTGGTCCCGGGGCGGTAGTAGTTGAGGCGTTCACTCGTCATGCCGAAGACCCGGGTTCGATACCCCACATGGGTACAATGTGCGAAGCCCATTTCTGGTGTACCCCCCATGATATTGCTGGAATATTGCTAAAAGACGCGTAAAACTATACTCACTCACTCACTCACTATTTCCTGGTCCCCATTTAGTGTTTAGAGTCGTAGTACTTCTGTTCGTTTCCCTATTCACCTCAATAACTTTAAAAACAATAAGAAAAACAATTTAAAAAGTTCAACATGACATTGCTTTGAATAATTAACTCGTTGTTATTGAAAGGAGAAAACGTTTGCCCTAACGTACGAGGTATCTGCGGACATGATGCATTTTCCAGTCCGGTCTCCACAGGTGCACGTGCTAGTATCGTGCACGAGACCAAGTGCATGACCGATCTCATGAGCGAGAGTAATGGCCGACTTGAGGTGAGGGTCAAGGCCGGGGATGTGTTGGATGACGGTGGCAGACAGCGGCGTGCACATGACGTCCACGTGAGCCATACCGGCAATGTTGTGCTCAAACGTAATGCCTCTAAAACATTAAGTAGAAATAAGATAAACATAGAAGACTAACATGTGCACAGAGTTATATTCAGCTATATTTGTTTGTTTAATTGTTGTTTAACGCCACACTCAGCAAGATTCTACCTATATGGCGGCGGTCTGTAAATAACCGGGTCTAGACCAGACAATCCAGTGATCAACATCATGAGCATCACTATACGAAGACACGTGTCAGCCAAGTCAGCGAGCTTGACCAACCTCTCCCGTTAGTCACCTCTTACGACAAGCATGGGTTGCTGAAGGCGAAATTAACTCTAACTCGAATCTTCACGGGTAATATTAATTTACAGATAAAATAAGGTTTAACCTAGAGATGTGTTCGTTTATACATAAAACAAAACTCACGCCACGAACGCCGCCAAGTCGTAGTTAAATTTAGGCATCAAGGAAGACTTTCCATAGTTGATGAAGTTAACAAGAAGCGCCTTGGCGTCCGTTTCCATGACAATCTCATCCTTCGTTTCCCAGACTTCCAGGCCTACCAACGCAATGCGAACCCCAAAATCGACTTTGTACATCTAGAAAGATGATATGTACAGCAAGTTTAAAAGTCATTTCTTGGGCGATACCTGTTACATATAACAGTCAACTTTACGGCAATCCACGGCCTTGGTGTCCTTGAGTTTCTTTAATTGTGGGGAGACTACCGACGTGGTCAATGGGATAAAGCGTTTGCCTTAAGAGTAGACGGAAGACGTTAAAAGGTGGTACTTGTTGTTGCCTTGCCTTGCTCTCGGCATTAATGGTACAATGGTACAGTTATTATCGCTATGTAAGTATGTATGAGGCTATACGCTTTGAGCATACCTCCATGGCGTGGAGACAGCGCAGTATATATGACATTATTATTAAGTACACTGTCGTGAACGCCACATTAAATCCCATTTCATTCCACATCTATTTAATTACTGGATCCTGAAGTTAAATGTTGAGGTATGGGCTGAAGTCAGCATGCTCTGAATGAATTCCACTGACATAAAACTCAGTAGGCAGTTTAAACATGACGTTCATGTATGTTGTCACTATGAAGTAAACTATTTTTATAACAATTTACTTGTTATTTAACGTTGCATTCAGCAATATTCCAGCTATATAGAGACGGCCTGTAAATAACCGAGTCTGGACCAGTAAATCCAGTGATCGACATCATGAGCATCGATCTATGCAGTTGGGATACGATGACATGTGTCAACCGAGTCAGCGAGCCTGACCACACGCTTCTGACGAAAGGCATTGGTTGCTGAAGACCATATCTAACCTGAATCTTCACGGGTGCTTTTTCAAAACAAACACGCTTATCGTACTCTGAGGGTGTTTGTTCGAATCCCGGATGTGACTCAACCCCCCAAAAGTACTAGAATCTGTACTTTACTGAGAAAGTGTAATCCCAAATATAACATATGTTACATTTGATCACTTTCTAAAATGGCATTGTGTATTTCAAACACGCTTATAATATGACGAACAGTATCACCGACATTTTGCTGTATATTTCAGTCGAAATGTATATATCGAACTACGCTTATAACGAACTGTAATTCGTGGTCCCGTCGACTTCGTTATAACCGTTGTTTATTGTATATATGAGAATACTCCACCTCGTCTCTTCCTCACACGGGGGTGGTCGGGTAGCCTCGTGGTTAAAGCGTTGGCTCGTCACGCCGAAGAACCGGGTTCGGTTCCCACATGGCTGCAATGTGTGAAGCCCATTTATGGTGTCCCCCGCCGTGATATTGCTGGAGTTTTGCTACAAGCGGCGTAAAACCCATCCCCACTCACTCATCCCACACGGAAATAAACTGACTGACTGACTGACTGAGTTTGGTTTTACGCCGCTTTTAGCAATATTCCAGCAACATCACGGCGGGGGACACCAGAAATGGGCTTCACACATTGTACCCATGTGGGGATTCGAACCCGGGTCTTAGGGGTGACGAGCCAACGCTTTAACCACTTAAAGGCTACCCCACCGCCCCACGGAAATAAAGGTAGCCCAGTTGGAATGTACAGTATTTATAGAGATCAATAATATTTATTGCAAACAAGGACTCCGGTGCTTAAGTAAAACACACAGTGTACATTCAGCATTAACACGTCAACTGTGTTGGTGTATACAGGCGGTGATATAGGATACATGATTTAGTAGATGTCTATTTAAAAGGGCCTGCTTCGTAGCAACATGTATTGGTATAGTGCAAGTTCGTGTTGGATATGTTCACTGTTTGAAGAAAGAAACTCGCAAGGCTTGGCGGTGGGCAGCTAAAGGTAACTTTAGTTTTATCAGTGAGTGAGTAAAGTTTTACGCCGCTTTTAGCAATATTCCAGCAATATCACGACGGGGACACCAGAAATGGGCTTCACACATTGTACCCATGTGGGGAATCGAACCCGGGTCTTCAGCGTAACGGGCTAACGCTTTAACCACTAGGCTGCCCCACCGCCCCTTGTGTCAGTACAAATACGTCGGCTACTGTATGTGGTTATAGTCATGAGTGTTACCAAGTCAAGGTGCGCCACCATTTCCTCTGCATACTTTACAGCGTTCTGCTTATCCTTGCTCAGGTAGTTCGTGTACTGAAACAGACACGGGGTCCTCATCAACAAAGACGATAACAACCCTCCCCTATCAGTGGTAAATATAGTACTTCTTAAGCATTTGATTGTTGGTATGATGAAGAGGAACACTTGATGATATGGATTTACAACTTCCTTATTGCAATACCCCGTCAAGATCCGGGGTAGAATAGGTCTTCAGCAACCCATTCTTGTCATAAAAGGCGACTATGCTTGTCGTAAAAGGCGACTAACGGGATCAGGTGGTCAGGCTCGCTGACTTGGTTGACACATGTCATCGGTTCCCAATTGCGCAGATCGATGCTCATGCTGTTGATCACTGAATTGTCTGGTCCAGACTCGATTATTTACAGACCGCCGTCCAAATAGCTGGAATATTGCTGAGTGCGGCGTAAAACTAAACTCACTCACTCACTCCTTATTGCAATAGATGGGACGTTTCGGTGTAGATGCTAACACCGTTATGAGTGAGTGAGGGAGTTTGGTTTTACGCCGCTTTTAGCAATATTCCAGCAATATCACGGCGGGGGACACCAGAAATGAGCTTCACACATTGTACCCATGTGGAGAATCGAACCCGGGTTTTCGGCGTGACGAGCGAACGCTTTAACCATCAGACTACCCCACCGCCCAACACCGTTATGAAGAAACCGAAAGGTCGCATCTATTGCAGTAAAGAAGTTGTCTATCCATAAAATTGTTCCTTTTCAATGTCAACAGTATTCGTTACAATATTGACAAGACAATAAAAAATATTTATAAGTAATTATTTTATAACTTTTACTTTTGTAAATAGTTCACTTTATTAATAAAAAAACAACTATTATTCATTACAATATTTACAATAATATATATAGTTGGCTTTATTATTTAGGAAAGCTCTTTAACAGTATTTTCATGTTGATCGGTACATCCCCAGGTGTTAGAGCAACAAGTAGTAATTTGGTTTTTGTGTTGAAGTCCAATGTGGATTTAGGTATTAGACGATAGACGTTTATCATTCCTTCTAAACCCACAACTAGAGGAATTTCTAGATAGATAATCTGCAGAATAGCACATGTGACGTTGATATTAATGTACTTACCATCTTAAACCCGAACACAACGAACAGCTCCAAAAGTTTAACGTCTGAGCTACGTCTGAAGCGTGAGCGATGCTGGAAAGAAACAGATTGGTCTGTGAAATCAGGTAATTGAGATTAGATTTACCTCATCGTAGATACCTGCACGTTGATCTGTTCTTGGAAAAATCGATTATTTGGAAGAGAGGTTGAATAAAATATATACAGTTCTAGGCAGAATCCCTCCACAGACCTGGGAAAACGAGTTGTCCGTCCGTCTCAGAGACAATTAGTCGTGAAGAGTGGCCCCCCTTGAGCGCATCGGGATCTGATAATATATAGTTTCAAAGAAACCATTTTTTTGCCCTGATTACGATCATTGGTGTGTTAGTACAATGGCTGTGCGCTAAAGAGGTCAGGGTCGACGACCTGCATTACCTATTAGTCTCCTCCCACATACACAAAGAAAAAAGTATCGCAACGCCACATATTTTCATAGTATCAATATTGTACCATTAACCATAGCAAAGGAACTTATCAAAACCCTTTATTTAACTTACTATCTGAACCTTAAAGAATGTGACAAATCTAGATGCAAAAAGAACGAAAAACTCTAGTTTGTTCAAGCAAGCAAACATGGTAAAAATTTACTCATATTTTAATGTGGATAATTATAATCTTATCACGTTAACAAGTGCGGGCTTTTTAAATATTCTGACATACCATCCTCAAACATTTACATAAGCATCAATAAAAGAGCACCATGTCAATATCTGGTGTCAACTGCAATATCCATGACCCTCCTCCGTTGTGCAGATTTTGTCTGAACGTCACAAGGTCAAGTGAGAGGCACCCCGATATCGTCAATGTTCCTGCGCCAAATGGTACTTAGTCCAAGATATTCCGTTGTGTATATGCAGCGTTTCTGTGGCACCAGACACGAGCTCGGCCAACAGTCAGGAACAAATTACGTCGACTCTCGTCCAACAAAAGAACCCTTCTCATGACCTCAAATTTCAGTGACGTCAAGCTTAATGGCGGATATATACCCGGCTGATTTCAAGCGATTTCATACTGTTCTGTAGAACAAACGACGATCTGGAAGCCAGTCTGTTTTAAACACACCACTTAACTTGAACGAATGAAATCTTGTGGTTCTGTGAAGGGCTGTATCCCCCTGGGACTACGCTGACGGTCCTTAATGGTATTAGTTTGCTGATGTTTTCAGGCCAATCGGCTGATAGTCGAGGGATGATAACCAACATCTCTTGTAATAGAGATCAGTAGCATGTCAGTACTCCGTATATCAATAACTGGCTGTCTTTGAGCAGCTGTCAGTTGAGGAGGCCTTATCTTTGCTCATCAAAACCGAAATCAATTGATTTCCCAAGTCATCGTTATGTACGGACAGCATTGGCGGATCCAGGAATTTATAATTAAAAAAGGGGGAGGGGGGGGAGGAACACCCTGAACCCCCCATTGGCTCCGCCAACACACAAAAAAATCTTCAATGTGGTCTTAAGTCAGTTTCAAAAGGGGGGCGCACCCCCCACCCCTGGATCCGCCAATGGACAGGTTACTTAAACTTGATATTGGCTTGATGACGGGTACACCTATTGCAAGTGATGCTCAGATTTTATTATCTAAATATCAATTTATGAAACAGACATAATTATTATATGAATGTAAATGGGTTCATGGGTACAAGTGTTACGGTACTTTTTCCATGTGTATATAATTGACCCACAGAATTCACTTACACTGGTCTTTGTGTAGTTTGCTGCAGTTAACCATTTGTCACGTGATCTTTGTTCAACTGTACAAGGTGACGTTGTAGTGTACTGTGACGTCATGCGTCTTATGAGATACTCATCAACCTAAAGAAAACATGACAATGACAGTTAATAACCGCAGACAAATGTAAAACCTTGTCCTACCGTTAGGCATACGTCCTAATTGTAGGTGACACCGTTATGTATATAGTGTATGCGCTGCGTTCACGTGTGAGACATAAAGTTAACAATGCACTTCATCATAAGTTCAATATCGATATGATCTTATACTCAATACATCTATTATATATGTCATCGATATTGAAGACCCATGAGAACCAGGGCTAAGATACATTCCAAGTATTCCATTTCCTTGTGCTATGAGTTAATGAGTGAGAATGTTTTTACGCCGATTTTAGCATCTTTCCACAATATCATGGCGGGGAACACCAGAAATGGGCTTCACACATTGTACCCATGTGGGGAATCGAACCCGGGTCTTTGGCGTGACGAGCCAACGCTTTAACTACTATGCTACCCCACAGCCACGTGTTCGTTAAGAGGCCACTGAATGGTATATGGTTGTCTGGCTCGATGCCTCGCTTTCTTGTTCCCCTTTCTTGTGTCATCACCACTCTCCAGAATTCAATGCGGCTAGCTCAGTCACCACAGCCTTGGAGTGTGGCCTCGACCCGTGGTAATTAAGGTCGCAAGTCTGCTAGAACATTGATGACTGCCCCGTAAAACAACATACATATTTCCTTTGTTAAGGCATTGATCAATCAAACACACAATAAACAAGTAACGTAAAAAGTTCTAAGTTTAATACTTAAGAAGAAACATAGCCGACCTCTTTGCCTTTTTTCGATGCGTGTTGAATCCGCCATGACCTCCCCTTGTGAAAAATGTAACCACTGTAAAATAAAATATGTTTTTCACTATTATGCGACAATGGTGGGTTGGGTGGCTGACATTTAAATGGTAATATCAGCTGTGATGAGTCGGCTATGTGTCGCCGCTTTGTTATATAGGTTCTTTCACTCAAAATTGAAGCCACTGGTGTGTCTGGCGCGGGGCTCCACGAAATAATATTAAGGCTATTAAGTTGGTAATAAAGAATGGTAGATACGACAGTCACAGCGTTAAGATCACTTCGTGAAGCGGGCCTTGGTCTTTTAAATTAAATATTACTCGCACCTCGTGACACATAAACCGATTATAGGACTATCCCTTTAAACGGGACAATTCTGTCATCAAGAACAGATAGAAGATATCCCAGATACTATCGATTTATGTCAAAAATCACGGGACACGTGTAACCAAATTGTCACTTACACTACCGACCTGAGGGGCAACCACCTGTTAATAACAGTGATTGATCCAATGACAACACCCCGCGCCTTAACATTCCAGGGTAGGCCTCATGCTCACAGGGTGATCTGAGAGTCATATATTGGGTACTGGTAGTGTTCGGTTGATCTATCCCTTGGGTGGAATTACCAAGTGTTTTAAGTGCTAAAATACGCCGTGGCCGAAATTTAATAAAATCTTGATGTATAGCTCATATTTCAATTCACATTGCACATTCGTGTCGTTTAATTTGTTAGGAAAGTAGTATCAGATGTGCTCGTTTGTTTGAAGTGAATTGTACAGGTTCTGGTTAAGCTGGGCCCCGTCTCGCATATCGCAATATACAAGGTTACGCGCGCAAAGGGGGACGGGAACCAGCTCCCTTCTGGTGACCATATGACTTATTTGGGTTGCTTCTTCTGTTTACGATCAGGATTTTAAACCTAGCGTTCGTAGCATTACGTCATTCGTAACCGATGCTATAATATAGGGCGTTACGTTAGGAACTCTTTGTGGTTGTTTTGGGGAGAATACGTGGGACTACGAATTTAGTAAGTTGTAGCAATATTCCAGCAATATCACAGTATTGGAACCAGAAATTGGCTTTGTTCACGTGTGAGATCAAACCGGGCTTTTGGCATGACGAGCTTTTACAACGACATAGATGAACGACTATGAATGACTTGTCGTAAGGGGACTCTAACATATGGACCCGCATGAGCGGTAGAATGTTGGTAATAGGTAGGGAATGGATATTTACTATGGCTATTGTCGGCTGTAACCGATCTTCGCATGCTGGGAGGCACGGAACACTTGCTATCGACCACCGGTTCGCCTGGGGACACTTATAACTTCAGTGGGGTATGGCTTATCCAGTCGTATTTCGCTGTGTAGAGTTATTTCCCTTGGCTACGTCATGGCTGTGGGTTCGAATCTCGGGTCGCCCAGATTATGTTTCTGCACCACACCCGTGGTCGTGGGTCTCACGATAGTAGTAAACATCTGGGACCTGCATCTCTTTGGGCATTCCTCCAACGCCGTTTTTTCAAAGCGGTGTTCCGACAGATAATTACTGAAGGGCCACCATTTTTGTACTTGCGCCAAAGTGTAATTTTTCAAAGGGCATTACATGTCTCCAAGGTATACAGTTTCCTAAGCATACACGCTACATTGTAATTCCCCGTGTTCTTAATACTCTCTGGTGTCAGTGTCTTAAGCTGAGTGAGGTTTACGTCGCTTTTAGCAATATTCCAGCAATATCACAGCAGGAAACACCAGAAATAGGCTTCACACACTGAACCCATGTGGGGAATCGAACCCGGGCCTTCGGCGTGACGAGCGAACGCTTTCATCTCTAGGTTACCCTAGTAATGTGCATAGCGCCGTGAGCAGGCAATGCGTCATATAAGCGGACCATTACTATTACTGTTACCACCCTACCGCCCCATGACGCTTGGGAGTGCATCTCTAAGTTTTGTTCATTATTTATGATTTGAGTTTATGTGACATTTACAAATGTTAGTCACCTGTAAGTGAAACATCCAGTTATGACAACTTGTGACGTCACCAAATCACGCAGCGCTCCCTGGTAGATGCACCCAGATGATGTCTGAAAATAAGAAGAATCAAAATACATGTAGTCATAACATAATTTGTTGGTTATTTGCCAGCAGTTTAGGGAGTAAGTTGGCTCGGCTGCATCTAGTGGTGGTCCGATTAATTGAAATAATCGAAGAATTTTATTCAACTGAGGATGAAAGTTGTTTAACAAACGATCATAGTTTCAAACCGCTATTATTGGTTTGTATTACAAGGGGGTATGCACATCAAATGAAACCTCGAGAACAAGAAGGGTTGGCGTCTACGGTAGTCTACGCTCATCACGCACCGCATGTGCATTTGTTTCACTGTTCCAACTACTGCGCTTACCCCCGTGTAATACAAACCAAAAATAGCGATTTGAATCTATGATCGTTTGTTAAACAACTTTTATCCTAAGTTGAATAAAATTCTGAGATCTTAAAGTTCAGTTATCAAGGTAAAATTTTGAGGATTCGCAATCTAAATTGCACTTTATTTGATTTACTTTATTGTTTAAAGTTAAACTCATCGGTACGTTTTCACTTCAAACAGACCATAAATGGATCATGACGGGGTTGACTGCGACGTACCCACGCAGCGTGCATAGCTGTTCACGATATCAGTCACTGGATTGTCTGGTCCAGCCTAGATTATTTACAAGCCGCTGTCATATGGTTTGGAATAATGCTGACGTTAAACATCAAGCCAACACACTGCATTAATGATAATGTTCCAGATGGGATTGCTGTTGTTTGGAATTTGGCTGAAATACAAGTGGTGGTTAACACTTGGTACATAATCTTTGAAGACAGACCTTCTTTTGGTAACGGACACATCCTTCGTTTTCTTCATGTCGACAGCTGTCACACAATATTTGTTTTCGTAAATTGCAATTTGTGTCTGATAAATCCACTTTGCTCCAAACATGGACGTGTTGGCAAGGTTTGAAAGTTCGTTCATTATATCGTACATTCAACTCTTCTTTTTTTTAATATACAATCGTGAAACATATTACGCTGCAGATAAAAGCCTATCCGATAAACCTCATGTTAGAAGGCTAATAGATAAAACATAGTGCAGTAATACCCATTGGTGGTCGTAATTGATGTGACATTTTGCTGTCGCACGAACCCTGGAGTGTGATGTAGTACAAGGCACATGTCCGACATTCTGTTATGCAGGAATTAATCCTATTGATGAGCCTTGTTCATGCTGTTTTAGCGTTATATAAACTATCTGTGACAGTAGTTCAAAGGCCCTGTGATCATCTTCGACCAACTCGGAGTTACGGTTAAGTCCAAAACGTATTTTACGTCGTCATATGCTTGATAAATGTCAGCCAGTGGATAAGCAAGGGATTAATTCCTGCCACAAATTGCCAGTACAGATTTCACCATTGTATTGACGAGAGAGTTGTCTGAGGTATGCGGGAAGGTAGGCTAGGAACGTCTAGTGCGCCAAGCGTTCGCTCGTCACTGCGGAGGACGGGTTTCATTCCGAACATGGATACAAAGCTTATTTGTGGTATTGCCAAGTTGTGATAGTGTAATGATGCTGGAATGTTTCTAAAGGTGACGTAAAACCATAATCACTCTAAAGTATTTTATTAATGTCGACCTTGTACAAACATGCACCTGTGATTATATCTTGCTAAGTTCAATGATTTTATGTTCATATCAGGGGTGTACTAATGAAAAATACCAAAAAAATCAAGCATTATATCTTCTCTTCTGATCAAGTTTAACTTTAAATGATTTCTTGAACAAATCGTCCCGACACTATTTCACAGATCTAGAATTGTTTAAATAGTGTGAGCACATAGATAAAGGCACGAATGAGCATGTGTAAGAGAGCGACCCAGATTCTGTATTACTCGGAAGGGGAGTGACATCTTGAGCCTTGAGTAAGTGGTGTTTTGTTACACGCCGTGTTAAACAGTATTTCAGTTTGAGAGGAAGGTAATGCATGTCTAGACGGTTACCACTGATGAAACCACCGAGTTCGGTGCAGACAAACCAAGGAACAGAATCTCTGCGAATCCGGGATTCGAACCCATGATTATTTCTGAAAGTCCGTGGCGCGCAACGTTTTGACTAATGGACCATTCTTGCTTCAACTAACTTTAGAGAAACCTCATACATTTAGCTATGCGTCACGCTATGGCCGGCTCAAGTGAAATAAGCTTACCTCTTTGTGGACTGTTGCGCCTCCCTTGTGGACAACTCGGGTTACGAACTTCCGGTGGATCAAATTTCTGAAGAAAATGAATATTATATTTTATTATATTTTTCTGCACCGTGGAATAACTAAGTTTTAATTACAGTGTCTTGTATTACCAATTGTTGAACTGCAATGATATAACCCGTTGTAGAATTATAACGCCTATTGAACAGTTACAGAGAGTGATATCTCCTATATAGCTGAACGTGTACTCAGTGCAGTAGGTTGACAGCTCTTCGTGTAGAGGTGCAGTTAAAACTGACAAAGACTTTCTCAGAGATATGGAAAGTATTTTGTCGTTTTTATTTATTAATATACTTTATTTCAAGTTTAGACTCACTAGTGTAAATGTAGCCACTTACTTCAGGCAACTGTTCTAAACTAAATTTTGCAAAATATTCCATACTGTTTAAAGATACTGTTTACAAATGAACTGATGTATTGTAAAACAATTTCGTAACGTTTAAAAGAGGTCAATAAATGATACATATCAGTGAAAATTGGCGAATTATTAACAAAACTTTACACAAAAACGCAGATGTTCACATGCACGATATTTGCATAATAATGCTTTTCAGCAAATTGATGCATGGTTCTTCGTGCAATTAACGTAGTGGGGAAATCAATCTTCGATGTAACCATATATATATACTAGGCACATAAAGAAACTGTGCATACAAAAATTTAAAATCTAAATTTATCAAACCTGTGTAGACACATAAGGATTTAAATTCAGAGATTAGTGATATGTATCCAACATGCATGCAGGTGCCACGTTCCGTGACGTCAGTGGGTTCGTCCTTGAGACGTGCAATACGTTGTTGCACGTGCATTCCGGGAAAGAGAAACAGAGCAAATGAATGCCACACAATACTGTCACTTTGGAAGGTCTTTACCCCTGCCCTTGCGATCGTTCACAAAATTAAACGGCTATTGAAACGCATAGCATGCCAAGGCTCACGTCTGCACAACGTCATGAGGCCATTGGGATGGTCAGTGGGGGAATGTCTCAACGACAAGTGGCTGCACATTTCCACTGCCACCGGAACACCATTTCTGCACTGGTGAGACGCTCCCAGAACACAAATGACGTCATCGATCGGCCACGTTTTGGACGTCCACATGTAACAACGCCAAGACAGGACAGATGGATAAGGGTGACCCATCTTCGCCACAGGTTTCAGGCTGCAGTGACGACTGCCCGAACCATCCCAGGACTTCGCCGTATCCACCCCAACACAGTTTGACAACGTTTACGTCATCACGGGATCAGACCACGACGTCCCGCCATACGGCCTATCCTGACACAACGTCATCGACAAGCTCGCCGAATGTGGTGCCGAAATCATGTCCGCAGACCCTTGTTTTGGTGGAGAAATGTTGTTTTTTACAGATGAGTCCAGGTTTAACATTTCCCATAGTGATGGACGTCAACGTGCCTATAGACGCGTAGGAGAACGTTATGCACAGGCCTGTGTCTTGGAGAGGAATCGCTTTGGTGGTGGTTCCGTGATGATTTGGGGTGGAATAACAGCACGCCAAAGAACTCCTTTGGTGATTGTTCAGGGCAACTTAACTGGTGTGGGCTACAGGGATCAGGTTCTTCGACCTGTGGCAATTCCTTTTCTGCAACCTCATGGCCCTGGGTTAACATTCCAACAGGACAATGCCCGCCCTCATACGGCAAGGGTTGCTATGGATTTCTTGCAACACCACAACGTTGACTTACTGCCTTGGCCTGCAAATTCACCGGATCTCTCCCCGATAGAGCATGTTTGGGACGAGATGGATCGACGTCTACGCTGTCTTCTCATCCGCCAGATAACGTCCTTGACCTTGCAACAGAACTTGAGAGAATCTGGCGTGACATCCCACAAGCCTTCCTTGCACGTTTGATAGGCTCTATGCGTCGTCGATGCACTGCTGTTCTCAATGCCGATGGTGGACATACCCGTTATTGAGCTTGTGACATGGTCGTTTGACCCCTGTCCCGCTTGTGGACCCGTGACGTCATTGTGATTGACTTTTCAATTGAAATTCTCCCGACTTGTTATGGTCTCATGATCCCTCCATTAAAGTTTATATGTACCTTTGACATTGTTATCGTACTTATCAACTGGGATAATATTTTGACAATGCACAGTTTCTTTATGTGGCTAGTATAGATATAACATATAGTGAGTGTTATAAGTGAGTCTAAACTTTTGAAATGAAGTATGCTTAAATATAAATACAGAAATCAAAACTCATTAACTGTTTCTACACTAGCAGTTCAACAAAGATATGCTTATGTCCGTCGTCTATATTGATTATAGAATATTGTAAGTTCGTCTACAGATTCCTACATCCCATTAATATCCCTCAGTCTATTTCGTGTTCATTATAGTAGTTTTGGCTGATTGTTGCCACTGTTAAGACATTCTTCTGCCTTGTGAATCTTCTTTACAAGAGTTCAAATGTGTCATTTATCGTATGTGTATCATAATAAATGGAGATTATGCCCCGGCTAATCGCGTCTGACACAATGCCTTTGCAGATCACTTTATCATATATACAGGTCATTTTCTTTATAATGAATCCTCCTAGACGTTTAGAAAATCCCTGAGTAGTTTGTTTCTTTTTAAAACTTGCACATACTTAACTATTCCGCGATTACAAGGATTAGGCCTCATTGATGTTCTTGGGGTACACGGCAGTGTGTCTCTTGACACGCTTACATTTCAGAAGAAAAAATACGAAGTAAACACACATTTTGCCACCACGAAGATATGATCAATAAGTGCTTGAAATCAGTTAGTTCCCCCACCTCCCACCTCTTTTTGTAAGCAGTTATGACTTTACATATCTTGAAACAAGAGTATGCCATTCGTTATGATGGAAGTGGTGCATTTAGGTTAAAAATACATGAATGTTGAAATGAAAACAAGTGTTATTTTAGTTGGTATATCCTATTTGATATTTACTTATGAATGTGTGTATTGGGGTGGAGGGTTGGGTAGATATAGTGCATGAGGTTAGGTTTTGACATTTTGTGTTTAAACACACCCGAACGATCCATCACTGAAACCTCTTCAGCTTTCACGTAATTTATGGAGTATAAACATTCCCTCTACAATGTGTTAGTGACTTTGTCAGATCTGTCGACCGGCACATTTTCCCTTTGCTACTACATATAACTTTGCCGTCGTTATTTGGCATGAAGTCATTAGTCACTGCCAAATATAATATAATGACTTGGCGATCGAGTCCCCTTGTTCCGCAATTGTAATCGTACTTTTACTCGTCATATTCTCTATCTGGATCGGGTGGTCAGGCTCGCTGACCTGGTTAATACATGTCACCGTGTCCCAATTGCGTAGATCGATGATCATGCTGTTTATCACTGGATTCAGACTCAATTATTTACAGGTGTCATATAGCTGGAACATTGTTGAGTGTGGTGTTAAAGAACAAACAAACAAACAAACAAAACAAACACACAAACAAAACAAACAAACACACATAAACAAACAAAACAACCACATACACAAACAAACAAAACAAACACACACACACACACACACACAAACAAACAAAACAAACACACACAAACAAAACAAACAAACACACATAAACAAACAAAACAACCACACACCCAAACAACCACACACAAGCAAACAAACACACACAAAACAAAACAAACACACACACACACACACACACACACACACACACACACACACACAAACACACACACACAAAACAAACACGCACACAAACAAACAAAACAAAGAAACAAACAAACAAAACAAACAAACACACACACATAAACAAACAAAACAACCACACACACAAACAAACAAACACACACACAAACAAACAAAACAAACAAACAAACATGCTCTTTTGCCATGCACTGTAAGGAGACTTTTGCCAGCTAACATAAGTAAACAAATGAGTCAGGTTCTACAACATTAATCAATACATTTAAATGATAATACAAAAAGTAGGACGACAGAAATTATTATTAAGCTTTCATGTACCATGCATATGTTGTGCCTCGTATTTCAATAGCTTGTCGGGGCGGTGGGGTAGCCTAATGGTTAAAGCGTTGGCTTGTCACGCCGAAGACCCGGGTTCGAATCCCCACATGGGTACAATGTGTGAAGCCCACTTCTGGTGTCCCCCGCCGTGATGTTGCTGGAATATTGCTAAAAGCGGCGTAAAACCAAACTCAGTCAGTCAGTAAATAGCTTGTCCTGTCTCTAAAGTCCATTTACTTTCAAGACGATCAAGCGATTTAGATCAGGTGTTTATCTATATTGCCTTTCTGACAACACAATTTAGATCTAGTGTTATTGCTTCGTAAACAACAATAGTTATCTTAAAGAGATATCATATGACAGTTGAAATTGGACTGAGAGTTAGAATGATTGGCTTTGTGTTGCTTAGCTATAAGATCGGTGGACTATCTGACTCTGTTGGGCTCCATGTAAACGAAACGTGTTGTAGCTTTACAATTGTAGCATATGCGTACACACACACTACAGACACCACACACGCACGCACGCGCACACGCACACCACACGCACGCACACATTACACGCACACATTACACGCACACCACACGCACGCACACATTACACACATACATACATACACACATATACGCGCGCGCGCGCACGCACGCACACACACACACACATTTGATAGTTATATTTTGTTGTTGGGTAGCCTGGTTTTATCTTTTCAAACCTACCGGTTATATGCACAGTACTACCTACTTAGGTAAATATACCACTACAAAGAGAATTCATCTTTGCTTTTCAACAACACAAGTCGTCTGAAGTATTACACAAGACCCATTTATCATGATCAGCGTATTAAGCTATACTTATTGGGGTGGATAGATTGTGCGAAAAAAGGAAATTCCCATGCGATTACTTACTCAAAAATTATTCAACAAAAGAGACATGTTCGAAACAACAGCGAGTTAAAAACAAAATTCTCAGATCACAAGCTTTAAAATTTGAATTTGAGGAGGTGCGGGGTGAGTGCGGATTAATGTTCTAATCCCAAAATACATCCACCCACCCTGCACCATGGACTCCCACCTACACATGCTTCTGTCTACCCCAACCCTGCTCTTCATCGCGTGGCTAGACTGCCATAAATCTGGGACTCCTTTCATGAAGCAACCTTTGCTAAGGTTAACCTTAACTCCCATTCTTTAACATTGCACTAAGGTTACCTTAGTGACTTACGATCGCCTTAGTGCTTTGTGAAAGGCGCCCCAGATCAATAACGGGTGACGCATATCAAAACTAGTTTTTCGTGTAAGACAAGTAATCTCTGTGTTCTGTATACGTTGTCTGAAGCAATAGTTTACATTTACAGTGATACCTCCGTATAATTATCAGACGCGCAAAACAGTCGATAATCAATAGTTCGATTTCTAGGTTTCCTGATTCCAATATATACACCTGTATCCACATCGGATTATATATTAGCCATGGGGATTTTAAGGTCTCTGCTACAAATGGTCACAATATATCCTGCATCCATAGCAACATCACAAACACAAACAATAAAGTCTATTCGAATGGCTAGAACGCTCACTGTACACTTTAATAGTTATTGCAAGACGCAAGCAGATGTAGATTAACCAAATGTTTTTACTCTGGAAAGGAATGATAGATCTGTTTCAAAATTCAAAATAGTCGTCTACGATTGATATAATACTACGGGCTTCTTGCAAAGTATCAGAGTTGAGCACTCAAAACTCAAAACTACGCATCAACAATAGAGAGCATGGGGTTTAGTATACAGCCTTGTCGAATCCAGGCTTTTGTAACAAGGAAACCGTCAATGGTCGTATATCATTAACGTCCGCAAATCTTTGTTAGTTTTGAGTGTACTTTGAATGGACTTCGGATTTGAAAACTGCAAAGAAATACTTTTACATATCGGACACGTTGATTAGTAACATTTTCAATAGTAGCTTGAGATTTACATTAAAACGTTGAAATATGATATAGGGTGTGCTAAGATATGAAACAGTATAGGACACGCAGCAGTTTTGTAATTCATTTAATAGCTTAATCAGCTTTATTAATAGCTTTATAACTTTAAACAACAAAAGCAAAAATATAAACGAAGTGAATATGGTTTTACGCCGCTTTTATCAATATTCCAGCAGTATAACGGTCCCTGGACACCAGAAATGGGCTAACGAGCGAACGCGTTAACCACTAGACTACCCTACCGCCCCACTATAACCATAAGTAATATCAGCTAAAAGCAATGACGATAGTTCTACATTCTAACTGGAGTACAATATGTATATGTAAACCTAACAGGAACACTATATTATGATTATTTTTATATTCATAAAGTAACTAACTATGAAACATATAAACCCTTGAGACTATCAGTGAGTGAGTTGGGTTTTACCCCGCGTTTGGCAATATTCCATCAATACCACAGCGGGGAACACCAGAAATGGACTTCACACAATGTACTCATGTGCATGATGTGGGGAATCGAACCCGGGCCTTCGGCGTGACGAGCGAACGCTTTGACCACCTGGCTAACCCACCACCCTTGAGCCTATGAGACAACCATATATTAGGATATTGTTCAAACATAGTATACAACTGTCAACCCGCGTTTGAACTCGGAGTATACCCGCTTATATTGTATTAATGCGATTATTTGGAGTATTGTCCACACCACAACATGACAACACGACGACAACGTACGACATCGTCGTTGGAGACACAGGTGATCAAACAAGACTGTAGACAGTTCAGTATGTATGGGTATTGTAGAGTATTAATTTACACACCATACCTATTAACATGTTGTACGGCGAGTCGGTGCTGTCTGGATACAAGGATTCGATGACAGTGTCTATGCGTTATTAATAAGTATAACTCGCCAATAAACATGCGTGGAAGATATGCGATATGATTAACACTTAATCTGAATTACATTCAATAGATACTAGCTACACTCTGTTTACCAGGCTTGAGAACGATACTAATAAGCTCAAGATTGACGTTAATTTTGAGTTTCACTCTGAGTTATGAATACGATAATTTTGATTAAAGATAAGCTGAGTAATATACCTTCGTTGTATCTAGTATGGTTAAACTATGCCGCGGTATATGATAACGTTTTAGAAGATAAAGCAGAGCAAAATACACTCGTGTTCGTCACAGGATAGGGAAGTACACGTTTTCATTAACTTTCAAAACCTGCTCGGTATTTTCCGAATCAACAGTCTAGTCTTGGCCTTCAGGAAACTGTCAATCTCATTTATAGAAACAAATATTTCATGAATCTTCATGAATAGTGCTGTCATGCAGAAGGCTTGGGTTCGAATCCCTACAAGGGAACAATGTTGCTGGAATATTGCTAAAGATGACGTAAAACCACTCAGTATTGATGATGCAGTTAGGGATTGTAAATCAAATACCCTTCGTTTTTGGCTGTTGTAGGAAACACACACTTTTGGCTGTTGAAAGAAATTACATATGATAAAAACGAAATGTTTTACATTCTTACCTGTTGCGGACAAGTTCCACAGTCATAGAAATGTTCCACTGATGGAGGTATATTTCCAGCATGTTCTGAAAGAACAACCGGTGTTTGATTTCATTGGTATATACCCAGCTTGGCCTGAAAGACAAACTGATGTTTGATTTCATTGGTATACACCTAGCGTGATTTGAGAGAACAGCTGATGTTTGATTTCATCGGTATATACCTAGCGTGATTTGAGAGAACAGCTGATGTTTGATTTCATTGGTATATACCTGGCGTGATTTGAGAGAACAACTGATGTTTGATTTCATCGATATATACCTAGCGTGATTTGAGAGAACAACTGATGTTTGATTTCATCGGTATATACCTAGCGTGATTTGAGAGAACAACTGATGTTTGATTTCATCGGTATATACCTTGCGTGATTTGAGAGAACAGCTGATGTTTGATTTCATCGGTATATACCTAGCATGATCGGAAAGACGAACTAATATTCGATTTCATCGGTATATACCTAGCGTGATTTGAGAGAACAGCTGATGTTTGATTTCATCGGTATATACCTAGCGTGATTTGAGAGAACAAGTGATGTTTGATTTCATCGGTATATACCTAGCGGATTTGAGAGAGCAGTTGGTGCCAATTTCATCGGTATATACCTAACGTGATTTGAGGGAACAGCTCATGTTTGATTTCATCGGTATATACCTAGCGTGATTTGAGAGAACAACTGGTAGTTGGTTTCACTGGTATATACCTAGCATATTCTGAAAAAACATCTAGTGTTTGATTCCTTTGTTTATTTGGAGCATGCTGTCTAAGAACAACGGGTGTTGAGCCAACGGAATATAACACGCTCTGAATGGAGTAGGCAGCCATCAAGCATGAGCTGCAAGTGGAAACCATATTCGGATAAAAGGGGTATACCTGTAACAAAATGAAAGTAGCATAAAAGAATCTAACTACGCATTGAAATGAATAAACTAGTGAGTGAGTGAATTTAGTTTTATGCCGCACTCAACAGTATTGCAGCTTTATGTAAATAATCGAGTCTGGACCAGATAATCCAGTGATCAGCAGCGTGAGCATCGATCTACGCAGTTGGGAACCGATGACATGTGTCAACCAAGTCAGCGAGCCTGACCACCCGATCCCGTTAGTCGCCTCTCACGACAAGCATGGGTTACTGAGGATCAATTCTAACCTGGATCTTCACGGGTGAATAAATTAGTGTCTAGCAATGATGATGAGGATGATCTATAGTTGTACGTGTTCGTAGGAACGGGAGCCATGACTTGTACATAGTTATAGCAAGACACTATGTATACCCATACACGGCATAAGGAACTGCACATGTGTCTGTATGTCTTTCTACCATGACATGAGGAATTTTAGGTTTGTTTATTCAAACTATAAGATATACAACCAACTGCCAACGCACTACTGCGGTCGCCATGCTGTAGACAAATGTTTCACAGCTTATATGGCCATATGTGAATTATTCAGCCGACTGCACGTTACGACACCAATGCACTGACTGACTGACTGAGTTTGGTTTTACGCCGCTTTTAGCAATATTCCAGCAACATCACGGCACATGGTGGGCTTCATTTTCGAACCCGGGTCTTCGGCGTGACGAGAACGCTTTAACCATTAGGCTACCCCACCGCCCACCAATGGAATTTAAGGAACGTTTGCAAAGGTTAGATATCGCAGAATATATAAACGAAGAATAAATGCACTGAAGGTTTGTGGTACATATTTCGTAAGGTAAAGTATTGATATTTGTGCTAATGAACAGACAATCGGAAACATGATCATTTATACACGGAGACATACGATATATGACTACATCATATATTCCTGAGTATATACCATTGTCACTATGACGTCATTCTCGTCATATATACAATTAACAATGACGTATAATGTCTATATTTCCAACCCCAGCCTTTCACTTTGGAATCTGAGAAAAACGAACAACTATCTCTTCGCACTTCCAATCATTTTATGAAACTTAGTAATATTCATAAATGTTTTTCATTTTCAAATAAATGTATGAATACCGTATTGTCCAAAGAACGTCTTTTCTGTGTCTTCTCTTTGTGTTGAATCCATCGTATTGTGGCACTCACAGAATCCACCTTGCTCAGAATATCCTCATTTTCAGACGTTCCTACGCGACCCAAAAAGAATAACGTACATAAAGAATCAAATTAAATTGTTGATACTCCACCACACCTCCAAATCTAAAAACAAAACTACACACGAAAAGAAAAGAAAGAAAAACAAAGCAAAACATTATAACAAATCAAATTCAATAAAAAATAAACCCAAAAGGGATATTAAGTAAATAAAAGTATTTAGATACCATTTAACACTTGCAAATTTTAAGAGAATTAGTTTTTATTCGTCTTATGACTTAAATACAAATAGAGAATGAAACGTAATATGCTTTGTCAATATATTTTTACATTTTGTAAATCCTGGTTCAGTTTGTAAAATAAAATGGAAAGGATTCGAATAAATATTTCACCCGACACAGAAGTCCACACCCACAAAACCAACAAAGTGCCAGTTGAGAGCAACCGAAAATCCATCTTCAAATCAAGAATATTGTTGCTCCACCGAATGCCCAAGCTACTCTGGCTTCTGTTTGCACGACGCAGGTTTAAATCCTTTGATCACAAAGTCATCCGATGGCATTTTCGAAGTAAATCTTTAAATTTAATCCAATCGCCGTCAGCCCTTTTCTTAGGCTAGAAGAGAGTGAGCTTATGTGGCATGAACGTTGCCTGCTGCACTGGGGGTATCGTGATCAGTAGGCTGGTAGGATCTTTCAATACAGCGTTTGGTGCGGTGGGGTAGCCTAGTGGCCAAAGCGTTCACTCGTCAGGGGGTTCAATATACTCGGATGGATACGACGGACCCGTGAAAAGCCGGGTTGGAATTGATCTTCAGCGAACCATGTTTGTCGGGTGGTAGGATTCGCTGACTTGGTTGACACATGTCATTGTATCTAAATTGCGTAGAGCGATGTTTATGGTGTCGATCACTGGACTGTCTGGTCCAGACTCGATTATTTACAGATCGCAGACATATAGCTGGCATATAGTTGAGTGCAGAGTAAAACAACAAAGGATACAGCTTCTTTGAGAGGCAAGGATACAACGTGTGAAATCCATTTCTGGTGTCACCCGCCCCCGTGATATTGCTGGAATATTGCTAAAAGAGGCGTAAAATCATACTCACTCACTTAGTAAAGAACTCATGCTGGACTGTTAATTATGTTGGCAGCTACAGTCCGTTTGAGTCAGAAACGGACCGATGAATTGCAAAGTCGTGACTATGACACTACGACGGACGAGGAACCGACAGGTCTCCCGGAATAGATTTTGAGATGTCCCCCGCCATGACTGGCTGTTCCGTTTCTGCGGTTTCACCCCGCCGCGACAGATAACAACTTTTGCGTTTTCAATGATGATAGTTTCTTAAACAACTTTTTTTGGCCAGCAAATTTTCAAATATAAGAAAGCTGTTGGGTATTAGTAAATGATAAACATGTGTACTATTTATATTTATGTGGCAATTTTGTACAATTATAAAATCTGCAATTCATCGGTCCGTTTCTGACTCAAACGGACTGTAAGTCGCAATCAGTGAGATATACCTGCAGCTACCTAGCGCCTGGGTCACATACATGTCACTCACATGTTTGTGTTTTCAAACATCTGCCACGAAAACGTTTGTTAAGAGATAATTCCAAACGGAACACCCGACATAATAGTCTTTTACGGTTTGTTTCAGAGACAAAACAAAACGACCATGCGAGAAAGGTCTCGATTATAAGAGATTCCTTAAGGCGTGAAAGGCAAGATAGCATTGGGAATTATGTTAGTGGATCACCGGACGTCTGTGACAAAGCCAGGGGTTCTGGAGAAAAGTCAGACTGTCCTCCTCCAAAATCGTCACTCTCGTAGTTTGCAGAAGATGTTAAAGTTAGCGTGTATTCAGTAAAGATTAACATCTGTTAAAGGAACTCTTTGTTTGAGCTTCATTTCTGTGCAACTTTATTACAGTTCTATATCCCGAACAAAAACTTATCAGGTACCCGACAGTAGAAATTCCTTTACGACCGTCTTTTTCTATGTACATGTAACTGGTTGTAGGGATTGGTGGTTTAAACCTATTAGTTCCCCCATGTAGTAAGGATTGGTTGTTTAAACCTATTAGTTCCCCCATGTAGTAAGGATTGGTGGTTTACACGTATTAATTCCCCCATGTAGTAAGGATTGGTGGTTTACACGTATTAATTCCCACATGTAGTAAGGATTGGTGGTTTAAACGTATTAGTTCCCCCATGTTGTAAGAACAGGTGGTTTAAACGTATTAGTTTCTCCATGTAGTAAGATTGGTGGTTTAAACGTATTACTTTCTCCATGTAGTAAGGACAGGCAGTTTAAACGTATGTTTCCGCTTGTAGTAAGGACAGGTGGTTTAAACGTATGTTTCTGCTTGTACTAAGGACAGGTGGTTTAAACGTATGTTTCCGCTTGTAGTAAGGATTGGTGGTTTAAACGTATTAGTTCCCCCATGTAGTAAGAACTTGCAGTTTAAACGTATTAGTTCCCCCATGTAGTAAGGATTGGTGGTCTAAACGTATTAGTTCCCCCATGTAGTAAGAACTTGCAGTTTAAACGTATTAGTTCCCCCATGTAGTAAGGATTGGTGGTTTACACGTATTAATTCCCCCATGTAGTAAGGATTGGTGGTTTACACGTATTAATTCCCACATGTAGTAAGGATTGGTGGTTTAAACGTATTAGTTCCCCCATGTTGTAAGAACAGGTGGTTTAAACGTATTAGTTTCTCCATGTAGTAAGATTGGTGGTTTAAACGTATTACTTTCTCCATGTAGTAAGGACAGGCAGTTTAAACGTATGTTTCCGCTTGTAGTAAGGACAGGTGGTTTAAACGTATGTTTCTGCTTGTAGTAAGGACAGGTGGTTTAAACGTATGTTTCCGCTTGTAGTAAGGACTGGCAGTTTAAACGTATGTTTCTGCTTGTAGTAAGGACAGGTGGTTTAAACGTATGTTTCCGCTTGTAGTAAGGACTGGCAGTTTAAACGTATGTTTCCGCTTGTAGTAAGGACAGGTGGTTTAAACGTATGTTTCTGCTTGTAGTAAGGACTGGCAGTTTAAACGTATGTTTCCGCTTGTAGTAAGGATTGGCAGTTTAAACCTATGTTTCCGCTTGTAGTAAGGACAGGTGGTTTAAACGTATGTTTCTGCTTGTAGTAAGGACAGGTGGTTTAAACGTATGTTTCCGCTTGTAGTAAGGACAGGTGGTTTAAACGTATTAGTTCCCCCATGTAGTAAGGACTGGCAGTTTAAACGTATGTTTCCGCTTGTAGTATGGACAGGTGGTTTAAACGTATGTTTCCGCTTGTAGTAAGGACTGGCAGTTTAAATGTTGAGATCCCGAGGTACTCAACATGACAATGTCGTGGAGCAGAACAAACAAACAAGGAAGGACTAACCATAGCAGTTTTTTATTTCAGAACAAATATGTCACAAAATCAACAATGTTCCATTTTATGAAATCTTGCTCTGTTAATATAAATCAAAAGAAAGTGAAAACATAAACAGTATCACAGTCACAATGCACAACAAAGATCTACTTATCCAATACTTATTAGATGAATTATTAAAGTGACTTAAAACATGGGATATATAGCACAGCAAAATATCACAAGGAGAATATTTCAATCTAAATAATTAATTCAAACACTTCTCCAATTAATGATATAAAGTAAAAATATTGGTAAGTCCCGTCTTCATTAATTTATTAGTAATGAAAATAATGTCATGGCACATATATCTGTATAGTGTAATAGAAAGCCTCTGTCGCTACATGAGTAAAGCAATTTTAATGCCAAAAACTTCAATGCTTGTGTCACAACTATCACAAAAGAACATTAAGGGCTAGTTTTCAATTAGTTTCTATGGGCACCACAGTATCTTCCCATACAAATATCACTGCAGTTTAGATTGTAGATGAAGCGGTCAGTGGTCTGTTATGAATTTGAACCTTCACTATGACAACCAGGTAACATATACTGGACAAAATAAGTAAGGGATATTGGTATTTTTATGATTGATATTTTATCAGTGTGTCAATGAATAAATAGATCATTATTCATTATTTCAAAATTTACATATATCCCTAACTATTTTTGTCCAGTATATTACCGTAGATAAGCTGTATTTTGAAGACCAAACAAAGCAGTCTGTAGAAGGGGGTCGGTTTTTCTATGGGTTACACTTTCGTCAAAGTTTTTTTCAGGGAGTACCTATTCTGATCATAGTTGTCCAGATTGCTTGTTGTTGGGTTTAAAAATTCTTTAGCATATAATGACTTCCAGTGACAGTCATCTGCTTGCTTCTTCTTGCTCTCAGTAATACATGTACTTCTAATCATTTGTAAAACAGCCTCTAAATGATAGTGTTTTGACCAGTCAAATCTGTGATTGATATTACAAGCCATTTATTTTCACTTTAAATACTAAAATATACAAATGATAAATATTATTCAATACCTTTCTTTGGAGAATAATAAATATCTGATTCAAGGTTATGGGATCAATGTCGGTATTGGTAGTGCTGACATTCCAGTTAGCAAGAGAGAAGTCCCCTCATTAACAACCCACATCAGGTCTTGTTGCCATGGTTTTCTTTTCTAAACATGTTGGTCTACTGACAAACAATCACTAACAGAGTGGCAAGACTTTTTATGCATGTCAACTTCTTTATTGCTATGGAGGGTGGTGGGGTAGCCTAGTGGTTAAAGCGTTAAGCTCGTCCGCCAAGACCGGGTTCGATTCCCCACATGGGTACAATGTGTGAAGCCCATTTCTGGCGTCCCCTGTCGTGATGTTGCTGGAATATTGCTAAAAAAGCGGTAAAACCATACTCACTCACTCACTCACTTATTGCGATGGACACGTTTCAAAGTATATTCTTACACCTTCATCACTCACCTTGAAGCGTCGTGTCCATCACAATAAAGAGTTGACATCCATAAAAAGTCTTGCCTTTATGTTTATCACTCCTAAATGCCACTAACAGAGTGGTTATTGTCAAGAAGGAAGCTTGTGAAAAAGCTTGAGTCATGTGGAGTCATTATCTAGTCTGACATAGTCTCAGCTCATTCAATATTTGTCCAACTCGGCCTCTTGATCACATTGAACTGTGAATTATTCACACGATGGGTGTAATAACTGACCCAACTATTTTTAGTTATATATATATATATTTTATTTTTTTTAACACCACGCTCAGCAATATTCCAGCTATATGGCTATAAACCTCAAATTCAACAAATTAAAAGCATAAACTTCATTACAGTCAGCATAAAAACTACTCATGAAAGCTCATTACTTAATTTCTTTCTTTGTTGTTCCAGCCATATAGCGGAGGTCTGTAAATAATTGAGTCTGGACCAGACAATCCAGTGATCAGCTTCATGACCATTGATCTACACAATTGGGATATGATGACATGTGTCAGCCAAATCAGCGAGCCTGACCACCCTGTCCCGTTAGTCACCTCTTACGACAAGCACGGGCTACTGAAAACCAATTCTAACCCAAATCTTCACGGCTAGACCCAACTATTACTGTACTGCAAATATCCTCAGCCCAATGATGGCAAGTTTCGTTAGTGAACATCAGTCTCTGGGTACACTATCGATAGTAGACATGAAAATGAAAAGTAAAGCATGCTCATCATTTACCCTCCATTAAATAAATACATAGGTGGATTTTGTCCTGAAAGTGTATTAAATCATCATTGAAACCCCTCCTTTTCTCAATAGTGTGCACACACACACCCCTTTCTCAAAAAGCTGTATCCGCCCCTGAAGTATAGCATTCCAGGACTTCACATATTCTGTTGCCCACAGATTCAGTGGAGTTCAGTGATACTGTACATGTATTTTGCAACACCATTTGAAAACTATGTGTTTGTGCATCAGGAGTCAAACATAGGTTTTCTGTCAAGTTAACACTTAATCATGGGCCTGAACTACCGAATTAAACGTTTTGGGTGCCAGTAACATTTTAAATTATATCAATATCCCAGCAATATCATAGTGGAGGGTATCAAAAACAGTCTAGATTTATCCTACCCTTGCAGGGAATCAAACCAGGACTTTCTGAGTGATGAGTGTACACTCTAACCACTTGGCTACGCCTTCCCATTCTAAGCGATGAAAGGTTTGTAGTTGGTCATTTCATCATGGGAAATCTCAGGCACCTCAAAAGGAGCATTTTTCCATTTCCTCGGAGAGTCTCTTCGACCCATTGTATCTATGGCAACAAAACTTTCAATCTTGATAACAGGGAAATCAGCATTTTTGTAAATTACACCAATTCCCCAATCCAATCCACATTTCTTGCAAAAGATTTTACTGTGCTTCTTCATATCCAACCCCATATTACCAGGCTTTGGGTGGGGTTTGACATTGACCTTGGTACCAAAGTCAGGGTCATTGACAATATGGTTGGTCTCCTTGATTGTGCGGATGTCAGTAGAAAAACAGGCCAACTGGTTACATTTCTGACATCGTATTTCAAACTCGTCATCACTGAGATAACGACCTTTGCGATTAATGGCCTCATGATCCCGAGCAGATTTGGCTTCTTTCTGGAGCTGGAGGATCTCAGAACGGAATCGGCGAGGGTTTTCTGCTATGGTGGCCTGGAGACGCACCAGGGCTTCATTCATCATCATCTCCCTGATGAGGTTCAGCTCCTCTTTCTCAGCAGCCCCTTGCTGGTTGCTGGTAAACAGGACAAACTTGCTGTCCTCTGCTCTTGCTCGGCCTGAAACATGACACTAACATTTAACAGAATGATATTAAAATGTTATCTTAGTGCAAAATAATTATGATATCACATTCACCTTTTAATTTCATTGGTGACATACCTCCAGCTTGTACCAGGGCAATCTCATTGTGACATACCTCCAGCTTGTACCAGGGCAATCTCATTGTGACATACCTCTAGCTTATACCAGGGCAATCTCATTGTGACATACCTCCAGCTTGTACCAGGGCAATCTCATTGTCGACATACCTCTAGCTTGCACCAGGGCAATCTCATTGGTGACATACCTCTAGCTTGCACCAGGGTAATCTCATTGTGACCTACGTACCGCCTCCGTGGTGTAGTGGTTAGAGTGTCCGCCCGGAGAGCGGAATGTCGCGGGTTCGATCCCCGACCGCGTCATACCAAAAGACGTTAAAATATGGTACTTGTTGGTCCTGCCTGGTGCTTTCGGCATTAATGGGTACAACAAGGACCGGTTGGCTCAGAGTCAGTATAATGTGTATCTCAGTGGGCTAGCACTATAAAACCAGCTTCAGTCTGGGCTAGTACAAGCAGCCGCACATACACATACACACGCATGCATGTCGTCATATGAGCGAAATATTCTAAGCACGACGTTAAACCCAATTTCCCCTCACCACCTCACCTCATTGTGACATACCATGAGCTTGTACCAGGGCAATCTTATTGGCTTACATACCTCGAACTTGTATCAGGGCAATCTCATTGGTGACATACTTGTACCAGGGCAATCTCATTGGCAACATACCTCTAACTTGTATCAGGGCAATCTCATTGGCGACATACCTCGAGCTTGTACCAGGGCAATCTCATTGGCAACATACTTCTAATTCGTACCAGGGCAATCTCATTGGTGACATACCTCTAACTTGTACCAGGGCAATCTCATTGGTGACATACCTCTAGCATGTACCAAGGCAATCTCATTGGTGACATACCTCTAACTTGTACTAGGGCAATCTCATTGGTGACATACCATGAGCTTGTACCAAGGCAATCTCATTGGTGACATACCTCTAACTTGTACCAGGGCAATCTCATTGGTGACATACCTCTAGCTTGTACCAAGGCAATCTCATTGGTGACATACCTCTAACTTGTACCAGGGCAATCTCATTGGTGACATACCTCTAACTTGTACCAGGGCAATCTCATTGGTGACATACCTCTAGCTTGTACCAAGGCAATCTCATTGGTGACATATTCATATCGGATGACCAAGTTGCACTTGCTGAAGTCCATGCCTTCCTCCGCCACGGACGTTGCAACAATGATTTTGTGATTTCCTTTCCTGAACAGCTCTGCAGCATCCACCTGCTCATTCCTGGTCATACCTGTAAACATGAATCAAGTCTGAGAGAGGCACTTATAAGTGATAAACACAAGGGAGAGAGTTTATGGATGTCAACTTCTATGTAATGAGGAAGGCAATGTTTTGACGGATCTGCTTACCAGTACTCCTTCATCGCTTTCATCAAAATATAGACGTTAACATCCAAAACTTCCCATTAGGATCATATCCAGGTGATCATATCTAGGTAGAATTACCATATCCATTAGCATGATTATATCAAGGCAGAATTGTCATATCCAGGTAGCATTATCAGATCTAGACAGTAGGCGGTATCCCGCGCTATAAGTATATTTTTATAAGCACCATATTTTGCCTTTGGTTCGGTATACCGTAATGCAATCCAAAAATTCGGTATTTTTGGTTTTCATACATCATTTATATCTAGTCATGAAATGACAGTTTTGTTCTTTAAATAACAAGGATTATGGCTATTTTTTTCCCATGTTATTAAACAATGTAAGGTTAGGCTCTGTCAATTTTCTGCATTATGATCATATCTCATATACCGAACTGACACAGACCGAACCGAAGGCCTTGTACCACAATACGTACCGTACAGTGTTGAGAGCGTACCGTTTTACCCCTACTAGGCAGAAGGCCTTGTACCACAATACGTACTGTACCGTGATGAGAGCGTACCGTTTCACCCCTACTAGGCAGAATTGCCACATATAGGCAGGATGTGTTATGGCAGATAATCAGATATAGGCATATATAGGTAAAGCTGGTATATCTAGGAATAATAATCACATCGTTGCTGAAGGATCATATCTGTGTAAAGCGATCATATATAGGTATAAATGTCACACGTTTGGTGTATGGTCACATAAAGAAAGAACAGTCACATCAGAGAAAATGGACACATCAAGAAAAAATAAGTTATATCTTGGAACAATGGTTATATCTCAGTAGAATGATCACCTCTAGGTAAACAATGGGGATGGGTGATATCAAGGAAGGATGGGGTAATCAAAGAAGTGGTAGTTTAGGGAACAATGGGGATATCAAGAAGGATAGGAATAAGGAGGAAAAATGGGGTTGAGGAAAGATGGGGATGATATCAAGGCAGAATTGGGATATGGAGGAAGAATATGGATATCAAGGAAAGATGGGGATATCAAGGGAGGAAGGGGATATCTAAAAGGATGGGGATATCAAGGGAGGAAGGGGATATCTAAAAGGATGGGGATATCAAGGGAGGAAGGGGATATCTAAAAGGATAGGGATATCAAGGGAGGAAGGGGATATCTAAAAGTTTGGGGATATCAAGGGAGGAAGGGGATATCTAAAAGGATGGGGATATCAAGGGAGGAAGGGATATCTAAAAGGATGGGGATATCAAGGGAGGAAGGGATATCTAAAAGGATGGGAATATCAAGGAGGAAGGGGATATCTAAAAGGATGGGGATATCAAGGAGGAAGGGATATCTAAAGGATGGGGATATCAAGGGAGGAAGGGATATCTAAAAGGATGGGGATATCAAAGGGAGGAAGGGGATATCTAAAAGGATGGGGATATCAAGGGAGGAAGGGATATCTAAAGGATGGGGACATCAAGGGAGGAAGGGGATATCTAAAGGATGGGGATATCAAGGGAGGAAGGGATATCTAAAAGGATGGGGATATCAAGGGAGGAAGGGGATATCTAAAGGATGGGGATATCAAGGGAGGAAGGGATATCTAAAGGATGGGGATATCAAGTGAGGAAGGGATATCTAAAGGATGGGGATATCAAGGGAGGAAGGGATATCTAAAGGATGGGGATATCAAGGGAGGAAGGGGATATCTAAAGGATGGGGATATCAAGGGAGGAAGGGGATATCTAAAGGATGGGGATATCAAGGGAGGAAGGGGATATCTAAAGGATGGGGATATCAAGGGAGGAAGGGGATATCTAAAAGGATGGGGATATCAAGGGAGGAAGGGGATATCTAAAAGGATGGGGATATCAAGGGAGGAAGGGGATATCTAAAGGATGGGGACATCAAGGGAGGAAGGGGATATCTAAAGGATGGGGATATCAAGGGAGGAAGGGGATATCTAAAGGATGGGGATATCAAGGGAGGAAGGGATATCTAAAGGATGGGGATATCAAGGGAGGAAGGGATATCTAAAGGATGGGGATATCAAGGGAGGGAAGGGGATATCTAAAGGATGGGGATATCAAGGGAGGAAGGGGATATCTAAAGGATGGGGGATATCAAGGGAGGAAGGGGATATCTAAAGGATGGGGATATCAAGGGAGGAAGGGGATATCTAAAAGGATGGGGATATCAAGGGAGGAAGGGATATCTAAAGGATGGGGATATCAAGGGAGGAAGGGGATATCTAAAGGATGGGGATATCAAGGGAGGAAGGGATATCTAAAGGATGGGGATATCAAGGGAGGAAGGGATATCTAAAGGATGGGGATATCAAGGGAGGAAGGGGATATCTAAAGGATGGGGATATCAAGGAGGAAGGGGATATCTAAAAGGATGGGGATATCAAGGGGAAGGGGATATCTAAAAGGATGGGGATATCAAGGGAGGAAGGGATATCTAAAGGATGGGGATATCAAGGGAGGAAGGGGATATCTAAAGGATGGGGATATCAAGGGAGGAAGGGGATATCTAAAGGATGGGGATATCAAGGGAGGAAGGGGATATCTAAAGGATGGGGATATCAAGGGAGGAAGGGGATATCTAAAAGGATGGGGATATCAAGGGAGGAAGGGGATATCTAAAAGGATGGGGATATCAAGGGAGAATGGTGATAGTAAGGAACTATGGGGACATATTATCACAGCAATTTTACTGAACGCATTTACCTCCTTTGTCAGCAGAAGCATTCTGTCCAGTGAACATGCCTGGCTTGAGGTAGGAGAGATGTTGGTCATCCTCCATCCAGCGCTTCAGGGCCATCGCCAAGTCTCGTGTCTTCACAAACACCATACAGCGAGAATCCTGCTGGGTTTCAAATGCCTTCATGATCATCACACATAGTGACGTCAGCTTTGGGTTGACACAGTCAGGACTCTGAGCAGCGTCAAGGAGAACAGGCTTTAGTTCTGAAAGCAGGAACACCAGCACTCATTATATCCAAATACCAGTCTTGTTACCATGGTTTCTTGGCTCCTTGTTGGCAAGTGAAGGTGTGTGCATGTTGTGTGGTGTGTGGTTGCATGTGAATAAATTTATATATAAAAATAAATATAGATATACATAAACAATTACATCATCCCTCCCTCCATCTGTCCATCCATCCACCCACCTACCCATCCGTCCACCAACCCATCCCTCCCTCCCTCTATCCATCCCTCCATTAGTCCATCCCTCCATCACACCCATCCATTCATGTCACATGCACTCATTCACGCACACGCACACACAAAAATAGAGTAAGAGAAATAAATTTACATACCCTTATTCACTTTTCTTATGCTGTCATTGTTACTTGTCTTAATGAAACAAAATGTAGACTTGCTGGACTGATATAAATGAAATAATAAAATGTGTGAAAACAAAGGCCCAATAAATTACCGCCCCGTTTACATCGTACTTGCTTACTTTCAAAGAGCTCTTTAAGCTTGTGGTCAGTGACATCCATCACCACACTGGATGAGTAGAGAGCCTCTATCTCTTTCTCCAGATAACTGAGTGCATCCAGTGTCCGGCAATCCTCGTTGATGGCCAATGCTTTGTTGTACAACTGAAGATGAAACACATTATCAATATGAGTTACATCATAAGTTGTTCACTGGTCATGAGGGGGACATGGATTGATGTACCCTCGATGTTTGTTTATGTTCCCTGAGCCCGAAGGGTGCATCAACCCCTGGGGCCCGAGGGACCAGTGAACAACGTATTTATCTTAACGAACACCTTAATGTTAATTTTGAATTGTTTGAAGCACAGGTACAAGTCTTTTTGTAGCCATCGATAGATTTTGCTGACAAGAAAAACAGATTTAGAGTTATCTCCCTTCCATCAATTTGCATTTGCAAAACATTGGTAATTTCCGTACATCATAAGTTATTCAATGTTATTTAAGATAAAGAATTACTACCATGAACTACCAAATGAGTTGCCATTGACAGCAGGGTACATTTAAAATAACAGAAGAGCTCTCAGCCAATCAGAAAGCGACATTTATGTGTGAGATAAGATAATCGTCAATAGGAGCGGTAGGGTAGTATAGTGGTTAAAGCGTTCACTCGTACAGTAAATGAGTGAGGGAGTGAGTTAGTTACGCCGCACTCAGCAATATTCCAGCTATATGGCGGTACAATATGTGAAGTCCATTTCTGGGGCCCCCTGCTGTGATATTGCTGAAATATATTGCTAAAACCATACTCACTCACTCACTCATTACATGGGTCAATAGCAGAGTGTTTACTGTTTTTATACTATGAGGAGGAAGGTCATGACTGATTGATTGATTGATTGATTGATTGATTGAGTATGGCTTTACGCCACTTTTAGCAATATTGCAGCAATATCACGGTGGGGGAAACCAGAAATGGGCCTCATACATTGCACCCAGGTGGGAAATCGAACCCAGACCTTCGGCATGACGAGCCAACACTTTAACCACTAGGCTACCCCACCGCCCCCTGAAGTTCAAGAAGCATCCAATCCTGTACTTCTGCTTGAAGTACATATGACACTAATATATCATTTTGCCTGGATTTAGATGTTATGTGTAGTAAAGGGGCGGTGGGGTAGCCTTGTGGTTAAGGCATTGTTTGTCAGACCGAAGACCCGGGTTAGATTCCCAACATGGGCACAATATGTGGAGCCAAATTCTGGTGTCCCCCCATCATGATATTGTAGTAATATTGCTAAAAGTGGCATCAAACTAAATTAACTTATGAGTGGTAACTGTAAATTCAAACAAGTCCATTGTTTGTCACCATGAAAAATATTATTATTATTATTATGCTAACTTTTGTAGAGCACCGATATCCAGGTCAGCTGCTCAAAGGCACTTTGTTTTTCCCTCAATCACTGGATGTCAGTCTCAACGGCACATCGTATGATCAATCTCAACTCCTTGGGGATCATACAAAATATGATGACTACAAAGCATAGTCATCTGGTGCCGACTAGCCAGTCTAACAGCTATATTGTTAACAGTGAGTGAGTGAGTGAGTGAGTTTATGGTTGCTTTACCTACATTCCAGCAATATCATGGCGGGTGGACACCAGAAATGAGGGGAATCAAACATGAGACTTTGGCGTGACGAGTGGATGCCTTAACCACTAGGCTACCCTACCACCCCAGTTTGAATTGTATTTTAAGACATTATTTATAGGCCACTAATCAACAGTGAATTTTGTGTGTTTCTGTATTTTGTAAAATTTACAAAATAGTTGTAAAAATTTGTGTACCTCCAACATTCTCCGACATGAAAAGAAGAATCTGCGGACACTCTGATCGTCAATGTTGGCCACCTCCCTCTTAAGGGTGCTCACCCAGATGGTGTACTTTTCCCCACCCCGCTCCACTGGCTGCTTCAGGGACGCTAACAGTCGGGGTCGGTCTTGCACCAGACTGACCTCTGGCAAGTCCATGAGATATATTATTATACATATGATATGAGAGATGAGTGAGTTGAATTTAAAGTTGCTTTGAATTAGATTTTCATACAGTGTATCAGCTTTAGTTTCTAGAAAAGCCCAAAGTGATGAAGGAATAAGATGAAACTTGCTTTATCTAATGCTGCAAACATTGTAAGGATTTCAAAGAAAATTATTTTAGTGAAGAACAGTATAGATTAATGTCTTTCAGTGGCATTTAGAAAGTTAATATCATTTCGGACAAAATGTATGGAATTCCATGGCGCATCTATGTCATTACATAAGTTTTTTTTAATTCTCTTTTATTGTAAACCTGTTTATATAAACCTCAAATTCAACAATGATTCAAATTAAAAGCATAAACTTCATTACAGTCAGCATAAAAACTAATCATGAAAGCTCATTACTTAATTTCTTTCTTTGTTGTTCCAGCCATATAGCAGAGGTCTGTAAATAATCGTCTGGACCAGACAATCCAGTGATCAACACCATGAGCATCGATCTATGCAATTGGGATACGATGACATGTGTCAACCAAGTCAGTGAGCCTGACCATCCAATCCGTTATTCGTCTCTTACGACAAGCATGGGTTGTTGAAGACCAATTCAAACCTGTATCTTCAAGGGTACATCATTTTCTTCACACGTTAATATTATTAACCCATGTATGGCAGTTTCAGGTGATACATAACAGCTTACATCTCATCCCCCTTTAGCTCCATCTGAATCTGCTGTGGTGTCGAGTAAAGCCAAAAAATAATATCTGTACTCAGATCTAGAGAAACAGACATTTTATGAAGGTCTTGCCATTTGCTGTGATCCACTATAGCTAATGTCTCCCGTAAACAAGGAAACACTAAATATCACAAGACTCACTAAAGTACTGTCGGAAATAGAAAAAAACCTGATTTTTCGCATTTATATCTACAATGTATATGGTTACTATGTGAAAGTGTGAAATATCTGTAAAACTAAGTTCGGCCTAACTACAGTCTCACTGGTAGGAAGATAGGAAACGTAGAAATAGGACTTTACTGAGGAGAGATAAGTGCAGAAATAAGCAATGCAGGTTTTTTTAAAGTCCAGTGCGACTTATTTGGAACAGACCATGACTTTATGCAAATTAGTGTGCGATGATACTGTATTGCAAAGGACACTTTTTAAATGCCCATTTCAAAAATAAACTTACAAGCTGACATAATAAGCTGAGATAAACAATAATAACTTTAATACTGAAACTATTAAGGATGTAGCTACCATGGAGTCTCACTATCACTATAGAAAGAAACAGGTAGGAGGGGTCGTCTCAAACGGTGTGTCAGGACGGGTGTCACAGACGATGGTTGGGGTCGGGCTGGGGGATAGAGATATCAGCTGAGATAAGATAATCCTTTAGGGGAAATAGATTGGGGAAGCAAACGGCATGTCATAACAATTTACAAATACTATCCAGTCCTGTCGATCATTGGGTGGTCATGCCACCTATATTTTTTAGACATTTAATACGAAGGCTGATTTAAGCTTTTCTATGGGTATCATACTCTTTTACATATCTCCACATATACTTTGTGAAAGAAAGACATGTAAGATGCCAATCAATATAGATGAGACATATTCAACACACCTGAGAAAGCATAAAATATCTTTGAGATGACCCTTTGTGCCCGTAGGAGCACATGCATTTCATGCCAGGTGAGTTGACGGTCTGTCGTCATACATACCTGGCTGAGCAACCTAATTGCCATCTATAGTCTGATCTATTGTTTTCAGCAGCTACAAGTTTTGCCCAATTTTATGATTAAACATGCTTTTCTGTATATCCTATTACGCATCCCACTGAATGCCCAGTTAGGCCGATGTGGGTTATTTCAACATATGCTATTTGCATTTCTGTAAATTTTAGGAACACAGAGTCACAGCCTAAAAACAGTTTTTTTCTGTTTCCGACAGTACTTAAGTCTGTCATACAGACCCTGAAACTAGCATATCCAAGACCATACAAGTCTAGATTATGTGCCAAGTTTAGATTTCCACAGTTTCAGGATGAAACTGAAGAAAGTCTTAGGGTTCCTTTTCATTATATTATATTGTTTTTATTATGAACTGTTTTTTCTGTAAAATATGTTCATTTCAGAGACAAGTTGTTAGTCTTAAGACCCACATACCCTAACCATTGAACTAGGAATCATATTTATCACACCGGAAGCCTTAATGACTCTGTATATGGACCAATATGGCAGGGTGAGCTAAAACAGATCAAGATGAAATAGAATGTTTGTCACGGTGATCAAAAACACGTCACGGTTAGCTAAAATATGTCAAAATGGGATTTAAATGACTCTCACTGTCTTGCTGGACAATCATTTTCTCGATGACCTCCATCAGGTTGGAAGCTATCACATTTCTAAACTTGTCCTCTCTCCGCTTGTCGGTCTTCACCACATCTGGAACATTGGCAAATTGGTAAATAATGGTAATCACGAAGAGACAACGATAAGGGACAGTTCATAATTTATGTCTAGGGGAGGGAGAGGAGGGTGGTGGGGAGGGGTGTGTGGGTGGCTGGTGTGGTGCTGGGAGGTGATGATGATCTTAAAGGGAGGTCACCCAATTTGTTCTGGGGAGGTGGGAGTCATCAATTTTGTACACATGTACTGGGGGGTCAGCAATTTTGTACACAAACATATTAAAAGATATGCTTATAAATTATGGTGGAAGGGGGAGGGGGAATTGATTTTGCATATGACATGCAGGAAGTCACTTACTTTGTAAATAAATTTGAAGGGGTGGGGTTGGGTCATTCACATTGTACATGTTTCTCCACAATCTACAATCACATTAGGTGACTGATACATGGCCAATATTTGTAACAACCTTTAAACTCAATCTGTTTAATTGTAATTCCTTTGTAATTTGTACACAATTTTAAAAAAACATTTTGAAATGGACAGATAGGTGGTACATGATCTGGTGTGATTGCAGCAGAAATATGACCTGCAGACTTGGTGAACGTGTGTTCACACAACTGTCATGTCACGATAAATGGGAGTTGGTATGTTTGGTGTTAGTGATGATGATGATGATGATTATATTGACAGAGTTACAGATAACTTTTTGGCTCATTGAGTTGTGTACTCACTTGTGTTCATTTCAATTGGGTATCCTAATTTTCCTTTGAGTAACCAAATAAATTCTACTCACCTCACTCATACACAACTGGGTATTTTGCCATTTTCCATTAATTTTAAAAATATAATAAAGTTTAAATGCTAGTGTTTGTTATTCATATTTGATCTGTAATATGAGAAACGGTAAGAAAGACTGCAAGTTGTCGAGTTCATGTCCTGAAATAGAACCTCTCAGTATACTTCAGTTATTTATCTATCCAAGCTAAGATTTGACATTTTTGTGTGTACACATGTTAAGATCAAATTTATTGAGTATCTACAAAAATTCAAGCGTACTTGTATGCAAAAGAGTTAATAGGAATTGAGTTTTCATATAAATATTTGCATAATGTACGCAGATACGCAGCTTATCTGTACCTCTGTACTGATGATGAATGAGTGCGGGAGCAGGGATACCAGAAATGGCCTTTAGAAATTGTATAAATGTGGGGAGCCAAACGCTGTAACCACTAGGTTATCCCACTTCCCCTGATGATAATGATGATGACGACGATGACGATGATGATGATGATGACGATGATCGACGATGACGATGATGATGATGATGATGATGCTGCTGCTGCTGCTGCTGCTGCTGCTGCTGCTGATGCTTAATATGCTTCGGTTGTTGAATCTCACTTATCAATAAATTAAACAGATTTAAATAAGATGCTGACCGACTCCAACTGTCCGCGCATGTTTAGCAAGGTCCTCTTCATGCTGCCTGACTGTTGATACTCCGCCAAGGGCGTCCAGATTGGAGCAGAGTTTCTGAATGTGCTCCACTGCTCCTGGGATACTCCTGGCCTTCCCTACACCCACAGATGCTGTCAGGCCCACGATCTGTCACACACAGACACAAATCAAGATAAACACATGACAAGTCCAGCTTCAACCTAAAAATGCCAAACACAAAAATCCAGCCGAATAAATAAGTTTGGATTAAAGTTGCTCTAACAACTTAAATTATGACATGATGTGTTTTTTTACAGTTGAAAGGTCAAAGTGATAAATGTCTTATATGAGCAGGTGTGAATCTGAGTTTTAAACACAAACATAGGATTCTGGTGTATGTAAGGGAAGCCACTCTGTAAGGTGAAATGTGGTAGATTAGATATCTTGGCCCCACCTTTAGTCTCATCCCCATGAAGTGCAGTCATAACAGAGAAAACAGCAGACAGTGGGGAACCGCAGAAAATCAACTTCAAATTTATCAAATTTATCAAATGAAGTTTGCAATAGCTGATTGCATCCATTGCTTCTGATTGGAAGGGTAAGTGTGTGAGTTTAGTTTTACGCTGCTTTTAGCAATATTCCAGCAATATCACAGCGGGGACACCAGAAATGGGCTTCACACATTGTACTCATGTGGGGAATCAAACCCAGGTCTTCAATCTGACGAGCGAACGCTTTAACCACTAGGCTACCCCACTGAGCCCTGATTGCATTGGAGCATGCTTAACTGTTTGATGATGCAAATATATTACCCTACATTTCAGTAATCCTTTGGCACTATATCAGGCCATCATTTCACTGTTAATGGTAAGCTGATCCACCATTTTAGTCTGTCAACATTGTGTTCGGCACCTAGTTTTCAGTGATTTAATTTCACTGAGTATGTTTGCATATGATAAAAATCAGACATATGCTATTTGTATCTTTTTGACTAGAATCAGTTTCAGAGTTTGTCATCCTAAATTTAAGATATTCCCTTAATTGTTATCATATAATTTCATGACAGGGTGCCATCATATCCCAATTGTGTAGATCGATGCTGATGCTGCTGATCACTGGATTGTCTGGTCCAGACTTGATTATTTACAGACCTCCGCCATACAGCTGGAATATTGCTGGGTTTGGCACAAAACTCATTCACTCACTCATACCAGGGATTGCAATGTTGTCATGGGGATTGAGGGAGGACATGTAAGAGCAGATGAATGAATGTAAAGCTGACAGACAGGAGCAGGACAACTGCCACCGGACAATTGCCACTCAGGACAATTGCCACCCAATTGTGTTTACTATAATAGTGAGGACAACGTTTTTTATGCAATTTTATTTGAGAAAATGAATGCAGGTTGTCAATAAAGACAACTTTAGTTGATGAAAACTCAGTTTTTTCTTTGTATATTCATATTCTGACTATGATAAACATTTAATTTGAAGTAATTTTGACTTTGATGAAACTTAAGAAATATTTACTCAATCAATGAAATATAAATACGCATTGATAAGAAGAAAAGATCAAACCTGAAAACTTGTTTACTTAAGACATATATTGTACTAACATAATTCAGAAAATGTATTGAAAGGTGGCAATTGTCCAAGACCACTGACAGACTACTGGCATTCACAACAGTATAAGTCTCTGTACATACCTGAGGCAGCTGCCTCCTGTCATCCTCAATGGACTCATCCAGTTTGAGATCCATATAGCTGAACATTATTCTGTTGAAGGGATGTCTGGAGTTGGTGTGATGGCACTCATCAAACACCAACATGGTGAACTCACACAGGCTGGAGATGCCAGTGACCTTCATTCTCAGGGCGTCCACCAGGATTTGGGGGGTCATGAACAGGATGTCGTTCCTGGATAAAAAGGAAATTAGTCTAAAAGTTTACATTTTTTGTTGGAGGTTTCTATACCATAATTCTTCTCTGAAAAGCATGACAGTTACTGTGAGCTACAATCAGCCGATTCACTTCCTTGTGCATCTACCTGTGGGAATCAAAATATGTGATTTCAGAAAAAACAACATTTATACTAAACAGCAAAAGAAGCGTCAGTTTGAAATTTTCCTTCGCAGAAACGGATAACTGTAAACTCATTTAATGTTTTGATTGTATATTTTAGACAACATCTTCAACTTTACCTGAGCAAAGACATTCCTTCCCAAACTCAGAATGGAACCCAGGAAATGGTCTCAAAAACGCAACCTGATCTTGGAGATGGTACGGTGTTCTCCATGTTTTTCATGCAACTCATGCTGCACGTGCAGTTCACAAGGACCAGCTCTTTAAAATGCACCCCCAAACCTGGTTGAAACATTCACATTACAACGTCACCAGGATGCCGCGATTCACGACTGCTGTGAGGAACCAGGCTCTAGGAAGACTTGAAGCTGGCCACATTGCACAAGCCATTGCCAATCACTTTCAGGTCAACGTTCCGACAATCTACAGGCTGCAGCAACGATTCCGGGCCACCAACACCACAAATGATCGCCCCCATACTGGCAGACCAAGGGTGACCACAAGACGACAAGACCGCCATGTTGTGTGACAGCATGTACAGAATCCCCTAGTGCAGGCATCCAAAACAGCACACCAGACAGTGGGAACACACGGAAGACCAATCAGTACTGCTACAGTACACTGACGTCTTAACAGCGGGAACCTCCATTGTCGTAGACCTTACTGTGGACCTATCCTCACCCCTCGTCATTGGCGTGAACGTCTACAGTTTGCCCTACAACACCAAAACTGGAGATACAGGCAATGGAGAACTGTTCTGTTCACAGATGAGAGTTGTTACTGCGTATCAACTGCAGATGGCAGAACAAGAATATGGCGATGATGTGGCCAGCGTTACTCAGACCAATGTGTTATGGAAAGAGATTCTTGGGGAGGTGCAAGCCATAAGATCACTTGTCAAACACCTTTCTACAAGTCCTTGATAGCAAGAGTGTGTGGTGCTACATATACAGAACTACTTATATATGTTGCTGCAAGGCTACAGCTCACAGTGAGATCACAGATCACTTGTCAAACACCTTTCTACAAGTCGTTGATAGCAACAGTGTGTGACGCCACATAAAGAAAACTGCTTCTATATGTTGCTGCAAGGCTACTGTTCACAGTGAGCCATTAGATCAGATGTCACCCACCGTTTTACAAGTTCACGGAGAGGAACCCTGAGAGCCTCCTGTGTGTCGCTGCTCAGTCGCTGGATGCGGAGATCACGGGGCAGGTGCTCCTTTATCACCTTGAACTGCTGATCCACCAGAGCCACCTGGTTGGCAAAGAAGATGATCTTCCTCACCCCTCCTTTCTTAAGATGCTCCTGAAAAAGTTAACAACTTTCAACCTGTAGGCATTCCCGCTGCAGTCTTCATGTTCTTTAAAATGATCAAAATATGCATACATATATCAAAACTAATTACACAGTGTAGATAATGAAACATAATTACTACATTTGTGTGTGATATATTTTTACAAAATGTGTCAGAAGACATGTACTTTTTTATTACATGCTCACACGAAGTAAATACAAACATTATGAGATGCACTTAATAATATTAGTCGTATACACACACTCAACTGTAATATTCTTTTATCATCCATTGAATAAAAACACATTTAAGCTTATTTCATCACATCAAGTACCCTATAATATTCAATCAGTGTCTAGATACCATTTATCAATTTTACCTATATAGAATTGATGATCCAGAGCCAAAAGTTACACCGTGAAATAAATAATTTGATAGCTACATGATACCTTTACTTGCTTGAGGTCTCCATGCTTGATGGATTAGACCAATCAAGACATGGCTACAAAAACCATACGAGAATGCATAAATATAATCTCTTAACACTGCAGTCCTCTCATAAAGAAATTGTGAAAAAATACTACAAATCCTGCATTATGATAAGTATGCAAATAATCTGTGAACCATTCAAAGAAAATGTGGCCAGGGTGCCGTGGTACAAAGCGATCTTAAAGCTTAAGGTGACTGTATCTCCCAGCCTTAACATAGACTTAAGGAAGTCTTAGCTTAAGGTGACCGTAACTCCCATACCTTAACATAGACTTAAGGAAGTCTTAGCTAAGGTGACCGTGAACTCCCATACCTTAACATGAGACTCCCATACTACGGTAGTCTTAAGGAAGCTTAAGGTGACCGTAACTCCCATACTTTAACATAGACTTAAGGAAGTCTTAGCGATAAGGTGACCGTAACTCCCATACTTTAACATAGACTTAAGGAAGTCTTAGCTCTAAGGTGACCGTAACTCCCATACCTTAACACAGACTTACGGAAGTCTTAGCTCTAAGGTTGTTTTGTACAACAGCTCCCAGGACAACATAATTACCCGCATTATTTTTGCTGCCACAAACGTCTTCCCCGATCCAGTTGGAGCACAGATGATGGTGTTGATGCCGTTTCAGGGCAGCTTCAGCTAGTTCCTCCTGGTAGGGGCGGAGCAAGAGTGGTGTGGCAGGGGTACTGGGCTCCGCTGTGGTGGGGGGAGTGAACATGTGTTCTATGTTGCTGGTATCGCCTGCCCCTAGAAGCATTACAATAATGGATGACTGCAATCATCTGTCTTCTTTAGGTGGCATTTAGAGTGAGTGAGTGAGTTTAGTTTTACGCGGCACTCAGCAATATTCCAGCTATATGGCGGACATTTAGAAGCTGATGAAGAGGAGTGAGTGAGTTTAGTTTTACGCCACACTCAGATATATTTTGGCTATATGGTGGCAGTCTGTAAATAATCGAGTCTGGACCAGACAATCCTGTGATCAACAGCATGAACATCGATCTACGATTTGGGATACGATGACATGTGTCAACCCAGTCAGCGAGCCTGACCACCTGATCCCGTTAGTCGCCTCTTACAGCAAGCATGTAACTGAAGATCAATTCTAACCCGGACCTTCACGGGTCTAGATTCTGAAATGAAGCACTGATCATGTGGACTGATGAGTGAAATAATGCACATAACTGGTCTGAAAGAAACAGTCAAACACTTAGCAAAGTCATAGATGTGTTGTGGGTACAGTGAATAATTTTGAGTCTCTCTGGACGCAGTCATTATTTGTTTTCTGTACATTCTCTACATTTGTGTGTACTGGTCGCACATTTGCATGTCGCGTAAAACCCTGATTCTATATCCCACTACACAACTTCATGAGCAGGAAATTTGCATTGACCAATCAAATGAAAACTAATGATTGCTTAATTGCAAGACCCAGGCCCTCATTTCTACACCCATACATGGAGAGTTTGGCCCCTTGCCTCACTGGAGTATGAGACGTAGCTTTGTGGCGTAAGGGAGATAACTTTACCAGTATGACTGTAAAATTTATAACAACATACTTTCTTTTCATTTTTTCCTTTATTTCACCTGACCAGAAATACTTTCAAGTGAGAGATCAATTCTTTTTAATTTAATCATAGGGTTTTGAATTTAATTTCCTCACCATTACATGATGATGGGGAACTCACCATCTGATAGGTCTGCATCACTGGTCTCCATAAGCTTTACACTTGTGTGCTCACTTTGAACGGACGTCTCATCAGTTGGAATGTCCTTGAACTCTGTCATAGACTTGGCAGATTTCATACCCTGCTGTTCATCGCTCAAGTTATTCTGCAAGTCTCCAGGGATGTTTTGTGGAAGGGAGTTAGATGAATTACCAGGAAACAGTTTCCTTTGAGTATGTAATTCCTCTTCTTTGAGCCCTGCCTGGGACAGTATCTTCTCTCCACAGTTGTCAGCCATCATGGAGTCACCACTGCCTGGATCATTGGCAGCCATGTTGTCCATTGAATAGCAGCCATCTCCCGTAACTGAAACAATATCGGTCTCATGTAGATAGTGGATGAATACCCTGCATTAAAAAATCCTTGGATTTTTGCTTAAGTGGTTCCAATATTTGACCAGTTACAGCTCAATATTCATTAGTCCTGCAAACAAGTTTGTTGCCTATATTCAGACCGCCTCCGTGGTGTAGTGGTTAGAGCATCCGCCTGGAGAGTGGAAGGTCGCGGGTTCGATTCCCGACTGCGTCATACCAAAAGACGTTAAAATATGGTACTTGTTGGTCCCTGACTGGCACTCGGCATTAATGGGTACAACAAGGACTCGTCGGCTCGGAGTCAGTATAATGTGTCTGAGTGGGGTATTCATGCTTCACTGCGGCATGGTATCTCAGTGGGCTAGCATTATAAAACCAGCTTCAGTCTGGGCTAGTACAAGCAGCTGCACATACACATACACACGCATGCACGTCGTCATATGAGCGAAATATTCTCAAGCACAACGTAAAACCCAATTTCACTCACCTCACCTCACCTCACCTCACCGCCTATATTCAGGCACCTCGAAGTAAGGTGAATAGGATGTTCAAAATACGTCTTAGCAAAAGTATTTTGCAGTATGTCATTAAAAGCCAGCTTTCAAATGACAATTCATAAGCATCACCATATTGAAAATAGTGACCGGTTTATCTTCTGCGACTTAATGTTGTGGTATAAATTACAGTGACACAGGAATGAAATGGCCAACACGGCGGAAAGAAGTAAGCATGGTTGGAGGTCATGAGTTCCAGATTTGAATCTGCTCAGAATCCAGAAACACACATATCTTTACTTTGGCCTTGATGTTGTGCTACTAATGTTCTTCATAACTGTGCACAGAGGCTTGAGGCACAATGAGTCGAGTGAATGAGTTTAGTTTTACACCGCTTTTAGCAATATTCCAGCAATATCACGGCGGGTGACACCAGAAATGGATTTCACACATTGTACCCATGTGGGGAATCGAACCCGAGTTCTCGGCGTGACGAGCGAATGCTTAACCACTTGGCTACCCCACCGCTCCCTGAGGCAAAATGAAAAAGAGGATAGAACGCTACACTCTCTTTAGCCTGCATGGCTTGTTCATTAAATTAGTGAGTTAGATCATATCCATAAAAAGGGTAATAACGACATATAAACAGTAAAAGCATTTTTACACAACATACAATCACACTCTGATTGAAACTTGCATAACTGGCTAACATGCAGGCTAAATATGTTTGATAACACTGGGGAAAATTAAAAAAATACACAACATTATATTTGTATGCATACAACATAATTAGAGCATATCTTATGTCATAATGGTTTGCAAAAACTTCATGATGATATTTTCAGTATGATAGGCAATATATTGTCTACTGTGATGGCCATGTTTTTGAATCTCATCATAATTCTATATATGAAACACAGGCCACATCAAGGTGACAATTGAAAATTCTCCTTATGATATCTCATTACTATTCCATTCAGCACATTCTTTCTGCACATTTTTTTCCAAATACATAGGTTCAAATTATCTTATTTTTAAGATCCAATATGCTTATATTTCACTGATATAAGCTTAGGGACAAAAAGTCAACATTTTGAAATCTTCCTAAATATGTTTCCTGATCACCTAAATCAGCCTCTTCAACATGGATACAAGCATAAATCACTGTACGGAATGGTACCAGTGAGAGAGAGTTGGGATTTAAAATGCTTTTTGCAATATTCCAGCAATATCACAGCATGGGACACCAGAAATGGGCTTCACACATTGTACGCATGTGGGGAATTGAACCCGGGTCTTCGGTGTGAGGAGTGAACACTTTAACACTAGGCTAGCCCAAAGCCAGAATGGTACGAAATAATCATGTTTGGTTTCTCTGTTGTATAAAGCAACATTCAGCAATTATAATCGAGTTATATGTCTTGGACTGGACAACCTAGTGACTGACATAATGAGCATCAACTTTGGCCATTTGGATATGATGAGATGCATCAACTAAGTCAGCGAGCCACTGAGTTACCAATCCTGTCGCCTCTTACAAGTATGGGTTGCCGAAGCCTTCGTCTAAGACTTTCATGAGTAAAATACTCATGTAAAGTATTGATATATTTGGTTCTTCATCTAAATTGTTTTTAGAGAAATCTTATTAAGAATAAAGCTATTCAGTAAAGTATGTCCAGTATTTGTCCATGCTGTGGTCATGTTTGATGTGACTGACTGACTGACTGAGTTTTGTTTTACCCCGCTTTTAGCAATATTCCAGCAACATCACGGCGGGGAACATCAGAAATGGGCTTCACACATTGTACCCATGTGGGGATTCGAACCGGGTCTTCGGCGTGACGAGCCAACGCTTTAACCACTAGGCTACCCCACCGCCCCTGTTTGATGTGAGATGACAATATGATTTCAATAGAATATGGTTTCACAGTTTTGACAAATTGTGTACCTGTGCTTGTGACAAGTTCTGTCCCAAGTTGTTTTGGAACATGCTGTGTTCATGGGTCTGTGACAAGTTGTGTTCATGAACATGTGAGGAATTGTGTCCCCAGGGTGCTTGTTCTGAGGAATTGTGTCCCTTTTTGGGATAGCTTGGGATGAATTGTGTCCCTTAAGCTTGGGATGAATTAGGTCTCTTGGCTTGGGATGAATTATGTCCTTGGCTTGGATTCTGGGATGAATTATGTCTCTTGGCTTGGGATGAATTGTGTCCCTTGGCTTGGGATGAATTATGTCTCTTGGCTTGGGATGAATTATTCCCTGGTGCCTTGGATTCTGGGCTTGGGATGAATTGTGTCCCTTGGCTTGGGATGAATTGTGTCCCTTGGCTTGGGATGAATTATGTCTCTCAGCTTCTGGGCTTGGGATGAATTATGTCTCTTGGCTTGGGCTTGGGATGTCCCTTGGCTTTGGCTTTGATGAACTGTGTCCCTCTGCTTGTGAGGAATTGTGTCCCTTGGCTTGGGATGAATTGTGTCCCTTGGCTTGGGACGAATTATGTCTCTTGGCTTGGGATGAATTGTGTCCCTCTAATTGTGAAGAATTGTGTCCCTCGGTTTGTGTCAAGTTGGCTTGTGACATGTTGAACATTGTAAAAACACATTTGGAGAACCCAGTGATTGAGTAAGCCAGTCAACATTAGCATTCTGATCAAAGTATTTCTGTACAAATGTGAAACCCATCTCATTAGTGTATGGGACAGGTTCATTATATCAGTGGGTAAGACTAGGTTATAGTCACAGTCACGCCTGATTGATTTGTCTGACAATTGGGATGTCTGACTTTTGGGACGTCTAACTTTTGGGAGTAAACCCTCTTTGGCACGCAAATCCATAAAAAGGTGTTGGTTTCTCACATTTAAATTGAAGTGTAGATTTAAATTCAGTGTGTGACAGTTTTCCTGTACTTACTTTATCTTATGGGAGATGTAGGAACAGTGGTGAGACTTAAAAAATAAAGGTTTTCCAGGCACATTTTGTTTTTGTAGAAAACAGAAGTGATGAGAAAGGAAAAATTACAACTTTTTCCCATCAAGACAAGCAACAAACTGGATTAGTTGCAGTTAAATTTGTCTCTCCATTATAATGTCAGTGTTGTTTACATTCATTTCTGTATAACAGAATCTGCTTCATTTTAGACGGAATTCAAAAAATGTTTTCTTTTTTGTGGCAATATGGTCAAGTTTCATTGGATACCATTCTTTTTGCAGCCTAATGTTCCATTGCATGTGAAAACCATGCACAGTGGTTCGGATGTACTCTCCAAATTTTTAGAAGTTTATTATAATACCATACTCACAGTACACAATTGATATTACAAAATAGTTTTCAATACTGGCCAAAATAATGACACAATTCCAAATCATCATAAAATAAGTTTTATTGAAAACTTCTTTTTCATGTATGACGTAGGTACTGTTGATGTAGACTCACAATCTTTTTCAAATCAGATATTTCATTCTGCATGTCTGACAACTGCGACTTTAAGGTCCGCACTTCTTCATTACGCAATGTGCAGTGTACACAGTCTATCTGATCACATGTCCTATTATTCCCCTCAAAACTGTTTCCAGGCAATGGAGACTGATGTTCTTCAGATGACAGGCTGTTGCCATGACGACGGTGAGATGAATGTCTGTCTGTTGCTTTGGACATTTTGATTTCTGATTGGTTGGTTCTGTGTTGTCATGGTCATGTTTTAGCCTAGAAAGAGTCTCTTTCTTCTGACCACAAGAAAATCCTGTAACATTACTTGGAGAAGCCTCGTCCCTGTGACCACTAGCGATTCCTGTAACGTTGCAGGAGCAGTTTCATTATCAAAACGAACAGGGGGACACCCGAAATGGGCTTCACACATTGTACCCATGTGGGGAATCAAACCGGGTCTTTGGCGTGATGAGCAATTGCTTTAACCACTAGACTACCCCACTGTCCGTTTTCAGGTATGAGATATATATTTGTAAAGGTGGGGTACAGATATTGGCAAGATATTTCTGTTTTAATCACATATGATCCTTAACAGATTGTGAACACACTACTAGGAATTTAGTGGTTAATTCCCAAGGCCCCAATGTAGAAATCAATGACATGTCCACAGGGACTCAGAAAAAGTCCAAATTAAAATTCCAATCAAGTGACAAAAGTTATCACTGTCAACTAGTTTTATGGTATTATTTGTTTGTTTGTAACAATGTGATGACCATGATACACAATACAATAACAGTATTAATAATAATATTTAAGTGTCTGGGATCCCAATGTTGTCCACCCCTCAAATACAGGACTCCATGTAAATTTCATTAGTTTAATAATGTGCTCTGAATGTGACCATTATATGAGTATACAGTTTTGATGTTTGTTTGAGCCTACAACATCATCCCAATGTTCAATGGCCAACAGTATACAATTCTGCAACATCAGCAACAATGGCCAAAGTTGAATGCTGATGAGGGGGCCTAAAGCAACATTTATATTTGCAAGATGTTTAAGCTTGATCACTGCAATGCCCACAAATATATTATTTCATTTAAGATACTAATGTAGCACTACATACCCACTGAACTATTATCTCTTGGGAGTGGTGGGGTAGACTAGTGGTTTAAAAGCGTTCACTCATCACCCAAAGGGCCCGGTTCGATTCTCCAGATGGGACAATGTGTGAAGACCATTTCTTGTGGTGCAGGCTCTGATATTGCTGGAATTTTGCTAAAAACGGTGTCAAACTGAACTATTAGCTCTTGGATCCTCTTGGCATCTTCGGCAGATGATATTAAACAATTATGATGATTGAAGAATATATTTTACTCATATAGAAACATAAAATAATGGTTTCATTCAATAAATAATAACTGAGATTGTGAGCTGATTTTAGTGCAACTTTTAATGGTATTCAAGCTCTATCAGAGTATTTCAGATCGATACAAGAGGAAAGTTTAAGGTGATGCAGGTATCAAACTTTTATAGTCTTTATAAGCATAATTGGGAGAACATATTTTGAAGCCATGATCATGTTTTTGGCATCCTCAAGGGACGAAATTCTTCATGGCAAATTCTCATGTTTCAGACAATTAGGCTAATCCCTTATATTCAAGGCTATAATGACTACAAGTAATGAAAGCAAGTACTGTAAGGTGAAACAAATATATTCTGTCATTTATTAGTGAGTGAATGACTTTTAGTTTCTGAATGGATTGGATGTCAGGGTCAGTGCTATGGTTTGTGTTGGCCTGGCAGTAGTGGAGTGAGTGAGTGAGTATGTTTTTTACGCTATATGACCACAATTCATGTTTTCCTCAAACTTGACTTCCAGTGTATAGTTAAACAAGAAGACAAAGTCATCAATATCCCCCGCAATGGCAAAATACTCTTCATGATTATGTCTACGAGTTATGATTATGTCAAATATTTAGGTGTGTATATAGAAAAGTGGAAGGAGAGTATTGAAAGGTTTTTAAAGTTCTGCTCCAGAAAGGAGCACTATCACCAATTTCAGTCTTTCAGTCAAACTTGTTGCCATGGAAATGCCAAAAATATTTTATTCAGAAATCCAAAACTACCAAAAGGCACCAGTACACCACCAGACCAATCTATGTGCCAAGTTCGGTGAAGAAACATTGAACTGTTTTAGAGTTCTGCTCCGGAAAAGTGCACTACCACTAGTTTCTGTTTTAGTCAAACTTGTTGCCATGGAAACGCCAAAAATATTTCATTCAGAATTCCAAAACTACCAAAAAGGAACCAGTACACCACCTGACCAATCTATGTGCCACGTTTGGTGAAGAAATAGTGAACGGTTTTAGAGTTCTGCTTCGGAAAAGAGCACAACCACCAATTTCAGGCTAAGTCAAAACTTGTTGCCACAGAAACGCCAAAAATATTTTATTCAGAATTCCAAAACTACCAAAAGGCACCAGTACACCACCAGATCAATCTATGTGCCAAGTTTGGTGAAGAAATAGTGACCGGTTTTAGAGTTCTGAAAAGAGCACAACCACCAATTTCAGTTTTACAGAAACGTTATTTTATTCAGCCAAAACTACCAAAAGACACCAACACCACCAGATGCTATGTGCCAAGTTTGGTGAAGCAATATTGAACGGTTTTAGAGTTCTGCGCTGGAAAAGACAAATGTGCACGGACGGACGCAGGGGATAAAAAAAAAATAGGTTCAAATACTCCATTGATACTTAAATGTCATTTCCAATATTACAACGTTTCTTTTGCCTTTCAGTATACTATTGTTTATGTTTGTATGTCTCCTTGTGTTGTGCTGTCTGTCTTAAGTCATATACCTCTGATGTACACAAAATTCCCTCACGGGTAATAAAGTATTATCTTATCTAATCTTACCTTCCATGGGAGGTTCCTCTATTCCCATCACCATGTCATCATCGGACTCTATCTGTTTCTCCGAGGTGCGCTGATGTGCCTTGTGCTCTTTATTGGTGAAAATAGACAACCATTAGTCATCAATGTGACAATTTAAGGTGAAAATATTTCATAGTCCACCATTGCTACTGAGTGACAATTGAATCGATATTCCTGGGTTGTTTGGATAAAAAGTCACCAATACATTTAATGCTAACAATTTCACTCTACTATTTTTAAAATGTTACTTTTAGTGAGAGAGAGTGAGTTTAGTTTTACGCCGCTTCTAGCAATATTTCAGCAATATCATGACAGGGGACACCAGAAATAGGCTTCACTTTGAAGAGAGACAAGATTCAAACAAATTGGCAGTCCAAGCAAGTTGATTCAAGTCATACAAACAACACTATTGTTCAACTCTGCTTTGACTGTGCATAGCAACCATTTTCCAAAATTAATGACTTTATCACACACTGTAGTAACTATGTAATGTAGTTATACAATGGCTTTGACACATGCCAGCTGAACAAGTAACTGAACACAAAACTAATTACAAGCAGCAGTGGCAACAGCAACATTTAGGGATGATTCATTGATAACTGACAGGAGCGGTGGGGTAGCTTAGTGGGTAAAGCGTTGGACCATCACGCCAAAGACCCAGGTTCAATTCCCAACATGGGTAAAATGTGTGAAGCCAATTTCTGGCATTACCCGCAGTGAAAAACTAAAACTCACTCACTCACTAATAAATGACAGAATATATTTGTTTCACCATACTTACTTTCTACAAATTCAGGATCCACCATTTCCACAAGGTCTGGGTTCAGTTCATACATCACAGCCATAAATGTATTATACCAACCTATCTTCCGTCGGAATACACAGTGCAATAACATCAGCACTGCCTCAAATCGAGAAGTTACATGTTTTATTTCACTTTCATCTCTTTCTGTCAGTATATCCTTCCCTCTGAGAAGTTGCATCATTGTAATTGGATCCAGTCTCTCAGAAATAGGCTTAGAGAATAGTTCAATGAGTTTCCTATTTTCATCATGATAATCATCAATGCTGCCACCTTCAAGAACTGTTTTAACAATTTCTTGATCTGGAAAAACAAAATACAAAAATACAATGATTTGTCTTTTTATTGAAGTTTGTTTTTTGCCAAAGTAATCTTGTCAAATGTTAGATTTAGAGTTTAAAAAAGCATGGGTCACATCATTAAAAGTCAATTCCAAAATAATATATCCAATTTTCCAAATCCAAATTTTCGGAGAGCAAAATTTAGATTTCATATCATGCTCTATCCTTTTTGAGGACTTTTTTAATTTGTTTGTCTATATTCTTTATATCCTTCCTCCAATAGAACAAAATACATGACCTCTCCACGTTTAAGTTTATACTATCACAGTTTAGGGTGTTCCCATACTTTTTGTTTGTAGTATATTTCTGTACAGCATCTAACACAGTGATATATACTACTCAAAAGATGTAAAGGTAAATTAGCTATTGTAATATGAAAGAGCCGGGTGGTATTTAACTTCCTCTGAAGTAGTATATGTGTCCACACACTATTCAAAAAGGCTCTCAACTCACTCACCAGCCTCATTCAATGCATCCCTGAAGGCTGCGTATCGACCTTCTTCATCTGACTCTTTAAGACTTGCAAAAAACAATTCTGCTGACTGGACTGGCTTACCACTTCTCTTCAGCTTCCGAATACGTGCTGCAGATTCTGCAAAACACAAAGATTAAAAAGCATGACATTACCATAGTGGAGCTTGAAATGCAGTTAGTTCGGTCTGGCAGTCTCTGCTTTAAGCACGCACAGATATTTAGTATGTCTGTAATGAATAGTATATTTGGGAAAACACTTTCTTAGTTAATTACAAATTCTTGAACTTCCTGGGTTAAGTCTCATCTGGGATTCAAACCCAAACTCTCAGACCGAGGCACTTAATCACGGCACACAAAGTTTGTGATCTTGCCACCAAGGCTTCCGCATAAAATGGAAAAACAACTGGTTGTCTTCAACAGTGAGTGAGCGGTTGGGCGGGCGATGGATTGATTGATTGATTTTAGGTGAGAGAGTGAGTGAGTGAGTGAGTGAGTGAGTGAGTGAGTGTCAGGTCAGTGAGTCAGTGAGTGTCAGTCAGTCAGTCAGTGAGTCAGTGATTGATTGATTGATTGATTGATTGATTGATTGATTGATTGATTGATTGATTGATTGATTGATTGATTGATTGATTGATTGATTGATTAATTGTAGTGAGGAAGCTGCATCAGTTGTTTATGGCTGATGTAACAAACAATAAGAAACACACTTTCTGAAGTTTTATGAATACAGACAGTCTCTGTTTGGACTCCCGACCATTACTGAGATAAGAAAAGAAACTGTGGAGCTTTATGTCTGTGTAGAGTATCAGGATTATTATTATCGGTTTATCGCAAAGCGGTTTTGAAACGATACATATTGCAAATATTTGTTTTCTGGGAACCGGTATATTTGGTAAAGAACATATGGAGTTTTTGTCATAATCTTTGTGGTTTAAATTCCAATCTACACAGACTTAATTCATTCACAACAAAAAACATTGTCCATACTATTATACAATGACAAAACGGTATACTGTAATACTATGAATTGTCTTAAAAAGAAAATAGAATCCCTGACTAAGCAACCTAATAAGGTTAGTGTTATGATGTAGAAAATAGGATTTACATGCACAATTAGTGTCAAACACGTACTGTCAAACGCTTACGTTCCCAATACATTGCAATACGGGTACCTGAATCGCAATATATTGACATACAATTTCTTTGCCAATAATAAAGCACTAATCAGGACACGCAAAATTAACGTTTATCATTGACGCCATTACCTCTCAGAAAAGACATATACGGAAGCAACTCAACACAGTCAAGATGCTGCACAAGGAACGGCTCGTAGACCTCGATCATGTACTTGAAATGATCTTCCGGAGACACATCTACCGGACTGTCCGCCATTTCGCCCCGTCCGTCTAATCCAGTCTGAAGAGATAGTTACCAGATTCGTTGAAAATGACAAACCAAAAGTTGGGAAGTACAACGGTATCGTGCACTCTTATTTGTGTGTATACAAAAAACCCAGTTTCGCGAACACTTCGGGGATTTCCCCACTGCTGACAATCGTTAGCCAATCAAAATACAGGACCTATTTTTAGCGCCACGTTTTCAAGGAGGTGATCATTGCACGATTATTTTGCCTGTCATCTGTTACATGAACAACATGATAGGATTAATATTTTTGGATTTAAAAATTAAAAAAATTGAAAAGAAAAGTAAATCTGTCAAAAATATTAGAACGATAATCCAAACGTATTCTTAGTTGAAAAGCCTTCGTCGCAATAAACATACGCTCCCCATCTGAGTTGAAACCGAAAGTCGCCTACCGAGAAAGTACAAACAAAGCAATAGAAATCTATATTTGTTGACGTCGGTCGCTACAGACGTCGACGTCATGGATTATTCGGTGCATTTAATATACAAGATACTGGAAATATTTAGCAAAACCGTTTGCGTTCGATCGTCATGTTATTTACACTGGAAACATATCTCCAATTTTGGTATATTGAAATTAGTTATTTACGCGCATTCTAATTTCTTAAATGTTTTCTTAGCTTCTAAATACATGCACATAGAGGAGAGAGTGAGAGAGAGAGAGCGCTTCTTATCCCACTTGTAATACAATCTGTACAATCTGCGAATATCACATGCAGTACAGAAAGAGAGCTTTACAGTATTATAAAATGTCATATGTTAAACATCCACAGCTATGAGCACATAAACAAAAATAATTTTAGAATATGGATTTAGATAAATGTTAGCAAAATAAAGATATTAGAAAATAAATATAAACATCATTTGATAATGAAGCAAACGCCCGATAAACATTTTTCTTATTGTTAAAGCTAGACTTTAACGATGGATTTTATATAAAGCATTGTTTTACATTTTGGCATCTCTGAAACGTTGTTCGAGGCAGGTTAGCTACACTGATTTTCCCTATCAGAGAGTCAATGAATTCTTGAGAATATTTAATAAGATACATAGCATTACAGAACAAGTAAAAACATCGACTGTTCCAAAAGAGACATGCAAATTGGGTAAGCTCTAACTGACAAAGGGAGTCATATATATCATATCCATCTTATGTGACGAGATAAATCGTGTACGGTCTGATACGGGGGCGGATACAGCTTTTTGAGAAAGGGGGATGCACACTCTTAAAAAAATGGTGGCGGGGGACACTTCATTTTCAATGGTCTTTTAAGAAACTTTCAGAACAAAATTGGGAATGCGCACAGTGTTTGCCCTTAACCCTGAAAAGCTGCAGGCCCTAAGGCCCAGAACCATATAAAGCTGTAGGTCCTGGGCCCCCAAGTCAAAACATTGATTATACAACAGTCTCGTTTCCTGTTGGCTGGGTTCCGTCCTATTGCGCAACTTAGTACAATAACAAGTCCAGATTTTTTAGACCAGTTCATTCAACTGGATACATAAATATTAATCGGTATTATTTGATGCATCTGTGCACTTGTATATTGCAACACTACGCTCCTTCTAATCCTTGCAAACACGTCGTGCAGGGTGGTCTGTCGTACAGCGAGCTCTGACAAACGGAAACCTGGAAATCGTGCAAATCTCAAAACGAAGCTCTGCCGCTAGAACAATTTGGCGGTCTGGTACGGAATTGATACTATATCAATCGCATTACAGAACTACACTGAATAAGCGCAAAAAACACATACCAGGTGTAACCAGTGAGCCAGATGCATTGTGAATCATTTTACGACCTCATCGAAAAGGGTCAGTCTGTGACGTCTTAGTTAAGGTCATGCTGCGTACACCTCGCCATAAAATATAGAAATACGTTGTTACTAAAGTTTAAAATTATAATTCATTGGTACATGCCATTTTCTTATGAAACAAGAAATGGGAATTCAGTGTAACCATGGTTGTTTGTGATGTCTATTCTCACTTTCACACGAGAAAATTCGGATCGGCTGAAAAGTAGGTCATTCTCTGAATAGGTTATTGAGACTTATGTTTCGGTTTGTTCCTCAAAGCGATCGTAGCGCTACGACTGTTGTAAGTCTATGTTAAAGTATGGGAGTTACGATCATCTTAAAGAACCACTAAACTTTGTTTTTTGTTACTCTTTTAACCATTACATATGAAAGATTTGTGGTTAGTCTTATGCGGAACACCAAATTTATTCTTTAAAAACTTGTGGTTAATTAATACCGAGCGATTAAAAGTGGCCAAAAAGTCGCCTGCTTCCCTCTCGCCCGCCAACGAAACCACAGACAGGTTACGTAACTCTGTCGCCAGAGCACTGCAGTGACGTCATATGAGGAACGATTTTCAGTTAGTTGTATAGAAAGTGTGTAGCACGCTCATCATTTTGATGATTTCTCGACATGAACGACGACATGCCGAATCGTTGCTTTGTCGTCAATTGCTCCTAGGGGTCGGGTGATGGTGTCACCATGCACGGATTTCCACAGGACCCCGCAGTTCGTGCTAAATGGGTTATGTTTGTGAGTGCGAAGCGAGCGTTGTGGAAGCCTGAAACGATATCTTACTTGACAAGTTGTGTTCAGATCGCTTCACGGAAGTTAAAGAATCAAAACTACTTACTAGTTATAGTAAAATATGTATATGATTGATGACCATAAAGATTTTCCATAACACAACTTGTAACATAACAATTTCTTCCTCGGAAGTGAGGTTGTGGTCGAAGTAACAATAATATTGTAAGTAGTATTATATTGACACCCACCTCGCTGCCAGGAGAGAAATTGTTATGTTATACGCTATGTCATGCAAAATCCTATTGGCCATCAATAAAATACATATTTTACTACCAGTAGAAAGTAGTTTTGGTTTTGTAACTCGGTGAAAACAAACCTAAATAGCATTTATCCACAGACTGGCGGATGTTCCCGACAGGGTCGCCGCCATTTTTTGAAAATCGTAAAGTCTGTTAGAATTAATGAGATTATAGTTTGTTTTCATCAAGTTAGAAAATCAAAAACTACTTTCTACTCGTGAGTTAAATATGTATTGGAATCATAACCAAAAGGATTTTGCATGACACAACTTATAACATAACGATTTCTTCCACGGAAGCGAGGTGGGGAGTCGAAGTCACAATACTGCGCGATAAATTTCTTGCTACATTCACATGGTTAATGTCCACTCACCAGTATGTAGATACTAGTCAATGTGCGTCTTTATATTTGGTCTTATAATCCTAATTAGTTTATTATCATACTTTTATGCATTTTGAAACTAAATAAAAGCTGACGATCTGCTGATACTTATAGTGAATTTATAACAGAACTGTAATATCTAGACATTTTATAGTTTGCCAATGTGAATCATAATTCGCACACACCCTAGTGCATGTTGTCTGTCTCATTACACTTCACGGCGAAAACAATGATTCTGTTGAATGCTACGACAAATGAATAAAAACAAAATGCAAATATTAAAATTAAAACAGATTAAAGTTATAGGAACAATATCAGGCCATTACCTTGTTTGAGGAATGTATCCATCAATATCCACAAAACTGTTCCAAATGATGTGTCTTTAAACAGTTTAATATACGAAAAAAGTGATAAATCTTTTCAGGTATTGGTGTATAGTCTCATTGGTCACCCAAGATAGCACACCTGGCAACTAATTGCATAATGTCCGCCTTTCATTAAAAACAGTAATTTAGTTAGCCAATAATGGGCAATCAATCAATGTATTGCCGGTTAATCCGTTGAAAAGAAGGACGTTGTTTTTACGCAGACACCGGCACGGCAGTAGTATTCAGTATAGATTAGTAAATCTACATACATAAACACTACCTTTTGACAATTCCGCTGTGTAAGATAAAAGTAATTAATCAATCAGCGTGTTATCGGTTAATCCTTTGATCGATGTTTATAATGTTGAATATTTACTCCAGACAAGAAATGCCAAATGGGAACCTTTGTCGGGTAATCTAAGTGTGTTACCACTAATTATACCTGTTATAAATTCATTAACTGACCATCAAGTGAATGATGACAAATAACATGTGTAGGTTTATACCACCTAACACGGGTTACAACAAGGGAGTATTAATTGCTGTATTGCATGTGAAAACTTATGGGCCGACACTGTTTTGAGAATACAAACAGATTTTTACATGACATGATTAAATATCGAGGGTAAAAACACAGAAATGGGATCAATTTGGATCAGTCATTATACAAATAGGGCCTAACGACACCAATCAATTGTGACAGAAGCGTCTATGAAAACAAGTTGTAACTCGGAAACTAGGCAAAGCAGGAGACAAAATTAAATGACAGTAGATTGTGAGAACATATAGCTTTCATTTTCCACAAACAATTGTCACGATTTCAGGTTTATACAAGCCTGTAAACAAGATAATTTTACCCCCTAAAATGTAGATGAATTCTGCATCGGCCCCCAAAGCTATTCCTCATATGACGTCACAGCGTCGCGCCGCTCTGATTGGTTGAAATTTCGTTCGCGGGTGAGAATTGTGCACTGTTGTCAAAAAGGTCGATTTAAGTCAATTAAAGGTCGAAATGAGTAGTTTTAATGACGGGGTTTCATTTATAACGATGCCAGTTAGTGATTTATGTATTTTTACCCCCTAGCGTTTATGTGACCTTTAACGCTACGATCGCTTTGAGGAACGGGGCCCTGATCAGAATGCGGAGGCCCTATATTTTCGCTACAATATAAGTGTTTCCCAGCAAACAAAAAATGTGACATCTAACGAACTGAGTTAAAGAATTTAATTTAACTCTGGTGGCTGACTAGTCTTTATTTACAACAAAATCAACATCCATGTCGAGATCCAAGTCTTCTGAAAATTCTGAATCAGGATATTCAGACAGGGGTATGTCAGTTATTGGGGATGAGAAAGATGTCGGCCACAAGGACCTGCAGAAAACAAAAGCTGTGGGCCCGAGTGGTTCTCAGTCAGCTTCGGGCCTAATTAATTTCTAACGCTGGGTGCGTACCCCTCCTCTGGATCCGCCTATGTCAGATATTCACTGGTCCGTTTAGTCCAGCCCGTTGACGTTGTAACGATAGATGCTGAAAGTCATCCGGGCTATATTATCTATAGGCGAAATGGAGATGTGTTATATTAGGAATTACACGTTAGCATTGATTCTAAATATCACACATGTTACAGTTATCAGTATCATTACCACTCAATCTTTATTTCGTACAGAAGACTGACTGACTGAGTTTGGTTTTACGCCGCTTTTAGCAATATTCCAGCAACATCACGGCGGGGGACACCAGAAATGGGCTTCACACATTGTGCCTATGTGGGGAATCGAACCCGGGTCTTCGGCGTGACGAGCCAATCGTACAGAAGAGGCCACAGGCCTAGAGTACATATACATATATCGGATGGGGAATTACATAAATAAATAATATTTACATTACAGTGATAAAACGTTTGTTCTATATTCAACATTGTATTGTGAATGAACATGGTAAGATTTTGTAATATATTTTTAATATTACTGCTTATAAGAGTAGAGAATTTTATAATACTTGGATGGACATAGTACGTATGAAATTATACGATAGACAGGTGATAAGAGTGAGTGAGTGAGTGAGTTCAGTTTTACGCCGCTCTCAGCAATATTCCAGCTATATGGCGGCGGTCTGTAATAATCAAGTCTGGACCAGACAATCCAGTGATCAACAGCATGAGCATCGATCTGTGCAATGGGAACTGATGACATGTGTCAACCAAGCGAGCCTGACCACCCGATCTCGTTAGTCGCCTCTTACGACAAGCGTGGGTTACTGAAGGTTCATTCTAATCCGGATCGACCTTCACGGTTAGGTGATAAGAAAGTGATATTCGTCTTCAATTTCATCGAAATAGAAGAGTACATATTCTATCTTCTTATAGGACGATTCCCCACATGACTACAATGTGTGAAGCCCATTTCTCGTGTCCCCCGCCGTCATATTGGAATATTGCTATATGTGGCGTAAAAGTAAACACATTCACTCTTATAGGAAATATTTAGCAAGAGGTTCCCTGCGCACGTCCCGTCAGCCTATGGTGCACTTATCAACAAACTTAATCAACTGTGTAAATATCCTCCTTCTAAACTATCCCCTTGATGTGAACACGCACGCACCTCTAATCCCTTTTAGTTTCTGGCTTTGGCTATAATCATCCTATTGCCCAGTAAAGGGTACAGGACCCCCTCCCCCTCCCCTTTTTGTTTGTTTGAAATGAGCCGGGGTGGGTTTCAGGGAGTTCGGACCCTTCCCTCTCCCCTGTAAATTCCTGAACCCGCCTATGGTATACATACATCCGCTCCTTTTCAAGTCACCTTCTTACTTGACACTTTGGGTTTATTAAGAAAACTACAAAAGCTAGACGATGTGTCCAGGATTTATGCATTGTTCCTTATCATTTGGGGCTTGTAAGGTCTAATGAGACTTGCATCCATATAGTTTAACTTTCTAAGTGTCTCAGTTTAGTCCTAATCCATGCATGGACTGAACATTTTCAAGGTTATCTTTGCAGAAATGAAAACGAGCACAATATGTCACATGATCTCATGGGACCGACTTCGAAAATACCAGCTCCTATGCACGTGACACGTTGACGGCTATTAATAGGAATGGTCACGCCCCGGATGTTAAATGCATTTTGGGTAGAACAACATGGAAGCACACATGAAGAGTTGTAGACTTTTAGTTGTCTTCGGTCTCATTTTGTCTGTATTTGGACAATGGGAATCCCAAGAATACCTAAGAAGAGAACACACATTGACGAAACCATATCAAGGTATGTCGAAAGCATTATAATGTTCTTTTAACGGAAAGAACAGGTAGATCAACAGGTCATCGCGTTCAGACCCCCATATTTCGTTCACTTCTCATTTTCCGCAATTTACGCGTCTGAACACTTGCGAAACGACGTGATTGCACATAACCTTTCTTATACTCGTTATACGTAGCCGTGGGATGTTTACATATAGGACCTGTATTACCAAGAATACAGGGTAAAGTTTAGTGCGTGCATCTTACTGCAACGCTATTTGGATTTGTCGATTCTGTCTTTCCCTTCTCACAGTCACATGTTGCGTGCACCTTCGATCCTTGGGGTTAGTTATTTTAGGGTATCCTTAGGCCTTCGATCAAGCAACCCTTTACGAACCTTGGTTTTATTCACCCTGTTACGATCCTTTGGGTTGTTTGTGTGATAGGGTACGGGTCAGCGACCTCTTTTCATGAATAAATCAATTTGACTTTTTGAGGAAACTGAGTACATTTTCATGCATGTGAAGAAAGATAAAACAGCTGAATGCTGATGACTTGGTAAATGAGCACTAATGTCCTGTGGTGTGAGGCAGATACAATAAGTGTCATGAATATAGGGTAACACATGTGAACATTTATTTATTCATAAATAGAATAATACATCAGCAGTTGATGTATCATTTATTATATTCACAGTGCCTCTCATCGATGCTTATAGCCTAATGTTTTTGTTATGGGTATATTGATAGGATAATTATATGCTCAGGATACAATAACAGATTTTCAGTTTATTATTTCAAAATTATCGTGGTAATTGACATTACTGTACATATCTAATTACCAACCCAACACAAGTAGAGGAGTAGCGAACTCACATTGCCAACTTAAAACCAGGATGAGTAATATTACAAGCAAACATTTACCATAAGACCTGGTAGCTATCGCTAAGAACTAGTGCCGGATTACATGCTGTTTACCCCCTAGTCACAACATTTAAACAATCATGTACACCATGGTACATGTAGGGGTAGACAGGGATGTCAAGAAGTACCCATTTACTTTGGATAACATATTTTTACCTTAGAAGTGGTCTTATTTAAAGAGATCTGTAGATGAGACACACAAGTGATAAACACACCAGAATATCAGTGCGATTTAGCTGCACCTGAAAGACTGCGGTGTTGCCAATGTGTTAAGACATGTTATAAATTGTGTATTTGGCTGTTGTTAACTTGCACAAAAAAGACTGAACAAAAAGTATCTATAGATATGCTTATTCAGTTTGCTAGTACAAATGTATCTCATAAGGATGTTTCATCACCATTGTAGATTTGTACAATTAGGTCAGAACAATTTTATTTCTTGTTTTACGAATTATTGTCGTCAGAAAACCTAAAGGCAGGAGGAAAAATTAAAAAAAATAAAATACCAGTCAAAGTAATATTCCTTCTAAATACTCAAAGTATTTTACTTTGGGCAATTTATGAAGTGTATATGGGGCAAAAACAATCTAAAAACCTTTTTTGTAAGTTTACATTTTGGCCAATAGAATATAATTAATTTTTGGTTTTATTTTTCTTGAAAAAAATAGGACAGGCAGATCCGTGAAACAAGAAATAAAATTGGTTTGGCCTTATCATGATTATAAAACCAGAAAAGCTTAGTTCTCTGTTGTTGTACACCTTACAAGTTACATCTATGACGATGGGAATGGGATTCAAAGCATGTCAAGCAATGTGGACAAGATGAGAGGTGTAATCCAGTCATGGTAATCTGCGAGGACAGTGTGGTACACTAGTAGCCAAGTGGTTAAAGTGTTTGATCATCACACTGAAGACCCAGGTTCAATTCCCCACGTGGATACAAGGTGTGAAGCCCATTTCTGGTGTCCTTAACCATGACTGATATTGCTGGTATATTGCTAAAATATAACTCAACTCATTCATATTGAGGGTTCAAGATATAGGGTACCCAGGTTATGGATGTTTTGCTTAATTTCCAGTGATTTTATTGATGTCTTCGATGATTCAAACAGTTATACTTATTTGCTCTGCATGGAACTCAGTTAAGAATATTTGTGTCAATTCTCAGTTTGTAGTGTTGTGTAAGATATTGTGCTATATTCATCTGGTAAACTGCTCTGTGGCAAGGGTTGGCTAAAAAGATTGATAAACAGAAAAATTGTTGATATGGAAGCTAATGGTTATCAATATGAAAATAGTGTCCTTGATAATATTGTTCATAAACTTTTGTGATAGAATAAAGGTCTAATTTACTCACACAGTACACAAGGTAAGATTTTTAGTCATGTGCTGCTTTTAAGTTGTGTTCATGATGCTGTTTTGGTAGTAATCCATGCATAACTTAAACATGATAAATATGTCACCATTCACCACTGGTCCAGTTGTGTGAAATATAAAATAAATTTCTTCAGATTTTTTTTGCAGTTTTGCTTAAAGTTACTTCTCTGATATATACCGATAATCGATCGATATTTAGTTAACAATTATCAATCTTTATGATCTATATCAATAATGAGCCCAGTCTGTGAAATATATTCCAGTATCAGTCCATGTCTTAGTATTAATGGTGAAGTAACCACTAAATTGGCACTTGGATAATGCACTTGTATGTCTCATTGCCTCATATTACATGGCGACTGCCTCCGTTGTGTAGTGGTTAGAGCGTCCGCCCAGAGAGCGGAAGGTCGCGAGTTTCGATCCCCGACTGCGTCATACCAAAAGACGTTAAAATATGGTACTTGTTGGTCCCTGCCTGGCGCTTGGCATAAATGGGTACATCAAGGACTGGTCGGCTCGGAGTCAGTATAATGTGTCTGAGTGGGGTATTCATGCTTCACTGCGGCATGGTATCTCAGTGGGCTAGCACTATAAAACCAGCTTCAGTCTGGGCTAGTACAAGCAGCCGCACTTACACATACACTCGCATGCACGTCATCATATAAGCGAAATATTCTCAAGCATGACGTTAAACCCAATTTCACCTCACCTCACCTCAGATTACATGGCATAATTCTGCTCAGGTTTCAACATTTTCTATGCTATATGTGTACAACACAGTAATCCTGCACAAAATGTGAGAATGAAGCGAATCAATTAATATATATGGATTGTGGAAAAACATATTTCCATTGTTTATACAAGCCTCCCATCATGCCTGGTATCAGGTGTTCCGCTGTCATGGCTTCATTGGCTGAGACAGTAGCAGGTGTTCCAGATGGAGTTCCATCGTGATGGTAATCTCCCTGAAGTAATAAAATGACAGTAATATTAACATGATTGTCATCAGGATACACACATAAAACTGGATGAAGGCATTTAAGCCATTCTACTCATATCTGTGAATCTTCTGTATATAAACACCACAATCATACATACTGTTAGTAGTGTGTTGTGAGAGATATATGTCCCTCATTTTCTATAGTCAAAAGTCTTATCATGGTCATGGGAATGTAGTTGTTCTGTGTACTATAAATGAAATGTACTATTGTAGTAATTTTTTATCATGCGTATCCATGATATACTTGACGATCATGGTAACAGATTGACTATTGAATTGTATTTTTTTTTTGAACATGATGAATATGATTGCTGTCACCATGAATGCTTGCAATGGCTACATATAATGATTGCAAACCATAGTTCATATACTGGCTTCAAAACTGTCAGTGTTGCTGTCCACGGAAACAAAAACACCCCTGGGAAATCAACTCAAAACGATCAAGTTTCTTCACAGACCAATAAACCCCATAGTCTAAGAAAGGCTTCTCACTGATTGCTGTCCCCATTGTCACTTGTGTTTGCTATTATCTGTTTTTGTTTATGGTAGTCATTATGCATATATACAGTAAAGATCTGGGTTAGAATTAGTGTTCAGCAGCCCATGATTATTATCCCCTGCCACAAAGTGGGAGAGGGATATTGTTTTGAGCTCCTTCAGTCCATCCTTCTGTCTGTCCGTCAGTCCGAGATGATGGAAACAGATTTTCTCAGAAACTGTTATAGATAGGGAAACCAAATTTGATGTTTTCAGGGCATGAATGCCTTGAGGGAGTTTAAAAACAGAAACTGTTTTATAATTTGTTTTAGAGTTACGACCCTTGTCATGCGTTTCTTGACTTAGTACACAGTATCCTCAATGGAAACTGATTTTCTCAGTAAATGTTATAGATAAGGAAACCAAATGTGGTATGTGTTTTCAGGAAATAATGTCATGGTGGAGTTTAAAAACAGGAACCAAATAGGAACAGAACACTGTGGTGTGGGATATTGATGACCATGTCTTCTTGTTTACCTCTGTCATATTGCTGGAATATTGCTGAGGGATGCAATAAACAACAAACAAAGTAACACTATGCTTCAGGACAACCCTTTTGTTCCTAACAACCAACTTGTCATATTTTCTTCAGCACGTTCATTGAGTAGCTGTAACTGTCTATGCAAAATTCTAGATACACTGTAATACTAAGATTAGCCTTTTAGCAAGTATGTATCATATGCCACATGTTGCACTTCATTATGTTGATTTTTGACTGATGATAGTATCAGTTTCAAAAGAGATGGCTTATTGCACATTTTAATCAAATGTAAACTTCGATTTAAACTTTAATTTGATCATTCTTAAACTGTATTTTTCTGGTCATAACTGGGACATTTATTTTCACAAGTCAAAGTAAAGGCCGCCACAGGCCGATTTTAGTAAGGCATACAGGAGTAATATTGAACAAACTCATTTTGACATTTTCCATGGCTATATTTGTAAAAAAAATTGTGGAATTTGGTATTCATTTTTAATAAAATGTTCGTCACGATATGGCTGAGATATTGCCGATGTGTCGTTAAATAATAACTCACTCACTTTAATAAAATGTGGAGTCAGCAGGTACCGTATGTTCCACATCTTGCATTACTCTAGATTTTGACCTTGTTATTTCCATTCTTTTTATCATGTTCAGTCCAGGTGGTTACTTGTCTCTGCTTCTTTGAAATGAAATTGCTTGTGTCTTTATCATGATGATGAGATAATCAGGATAATAATTTGTTTAGATCATAAGATTTACTGTTCCTTTTACATATTTTAATTCTTAGTATATTTGTTATGCAACTTTCGAGATTTCGTTATGTCATTTCTGTCTGTGAGTTTGGTTCGGTGTCTCTTTTGATGACAAATGTTCTTGACATCATATACATGTATAGGTGAGGTGAGGTGAAATGGTGTTTAACGTCATATTTGAGAATATTTCACTCATATGATGACATGCATGCATGTGTATGTGTGGCTGCTTGTACTAGCCCAGACATAACTGGTTTTATAGTGCTAGCTCACTGAGATACAATGCTGCAGTTAAGCATGAATACCCCACTCAGACACATTATACTGACTCTGAGCCGACCAGGCTATGTTGTACCCATTAATGCCAGGCAGGGACCAATAAGTACCACAGTTTAAAATATTTTGGTATGACGAAGCCAGGGATTGAATCCGCAACCTTCCACTCTTCAACTTAATATGTAAGTGAGCTGCACTATCGGGTGCTGTTTTTATTTATGAAATCATGCCATGATTAACAGGTAGGGGTGTTGTGATCTTGTGCATAAATTCTTTGTTACCATGGTTGCAGGTTCTGGCATGGCAGTACCTCTGTGGGACTTCCAGGGGTCTACACTGGTGACCAATCAGTACATCCGGCTGACCAGTGACCACCAGAGTCTACAAGGAGCCATCTGGAACACAGCTGTGAGTTCACCTAACATTTGGCAAAAACATGAAATTGACAATATTTTTGCCATTGTATGTGATGTTTGATAACATATGTAAACATGCCCATAGATGTGCCATGCATCACAGATTCTATCTGTGTGATTCTTTCCATGCCAACCAGGCTAACAACAATTACATTGTTTTCTTAATCTTCATTGATTTTGCTGATGTCGACTATGGGCATATCTTGGGGATATGCATGATAAATTGTATGTGAATTGCCATTCAAATACTATCAGATCTATAGGTTTCATAATATTAGAGCATAGATCCTGATTATCATAATTATATTTTACAAAGTTGAACCAGCTTTTCTATATTTGTTGGTTGAACATGTTGACCAAGTTCATGAATAAAATAACCCAAACAGCATTATTATATGAACATCAGGATTTTATAGGATGTAGAAATGTGAGTCCACCCAAATATATATAATGGATGCAGAAAAAAGTATATGTTGTGTCTCTGAAGATGTGATAGAGTTCTGTGGACACCATTAACTCTTACCATTTAGTACAAAACACAGTTTCATTACCAGATTTCATTTATTTAGGACCTTTGAAATTAGTAATTTGGAAAGGCCAGTGTAAATTCTGCTCATAAGAACTCATTCATTCTAATTTCTTAATCAAGTCAATGTCACATTTGTTATCCCCCGCAACAATGAAGTTGTTATCCCCTGCAAGAAACAAGTTCTGTCCGTCCGTGCGCCCGTCACACTTTGTCCGAAGCATATCTCCTAAACTATTTAACTAAACTTGGTACACATGTCAACCATGATCCCTGATGTGCCTTTTGGGGGTTAGAGCCAGATATGAATTTTTTTTTTTTCTGGTTTCCATGGAAACATGACTTAGGCTGTGGTTATTATGAGGATGTCATCTAGTCCGGAGCAGATCTTCCAGTTCCAAACTATACATGCTAGCTTCATGAAACTTGGTACATATGTCAAGCGTGATCCATAGATCATATTAGATGTGCCTTATGAGGTTTCGACCCAGATATGAATTTTATTTTTGTTGTTTCCATTGAAACGTGACTTAGGGTGTGGCAATGAGGATGTCATCTTGTTATCCCCCGCAGCGCGTTTTGCGGGGGGTATTAAAATGGACTCCGTCCGTGCACATTTGTCTTTTCAGGAGCAGCACTCTAAAACCATTCACTATTTCTTCACCAAACTTGGCACATAGATAGATCTGGTGGTGTACTGGTGCCTTTTGGTAGTTTTGGATTTCTGAATAAAGTATTTTTGGCATTTCCATGGCAACAAGTTTGACTTAGACTGAAATTGGTGATAGTGTTCCTTTCTGGAGCAGAACTTTAAAAACCTTTCAATACTATCCTTCCACTTTTCTACATACACACCTAAATATTTGACATAATCTTAACTCGTAGACATAATCATGAAGAGTATTTTGCCATTGCGGGGGATATTGATGACTTTGTCTTCTTGTTGCATTTCCATGGCAACAAGTTAGGCTTCAACTGATTTTGGTGGTAATACTCTCCTTACACTTTGCTATATACACTCCAAAACATTTGACATTATCATAACTAGTACAGGGATGGAAATAACCCATTGCCCAACGTCCGAGTCCAGTGTTTTTTTCTGTTGGGCAAGCAAATTTGTATATCACACTGTACCGGTGTCCAGTTGACTTTCCAATGTTAACCATTTTGTTTATTTAAAAAATCAACAAGAAAACGGACGGTATAGTGGAAAAATTATCAGTGCAAGTGATTTTACATGTGCCACTGTACCGGAGTACACTAGCAATTTTAAAGTTATTTCCACCCCTGTAGTAGACATTTTAATGAAGAGTATTTTGTCATTGACGGGGATATTGATGACTTTGTCTTCATGTTTCATGTCCATCATCATGCTTATAAATATAGGTCCCTGTCAGTCTATGCTGGTTGTAAGAAACTAATTGTGGGGATCAATATTCATATGTCATTTACTTTATTGTATGCTCCAGGTGTAGTTGTTTACAATGTTTACAGACAAAGGTCATGTTGCTGGTATATTGTTTAGTACAAAGTTAAACAAGAAACATGTGGTTGGTCAGCACCACTGTCATATTTTATCTCACTTAATGTACCTTGAACATTTTAACACATGGTTAATGTATATAACGGAACTGGGTTCGAACAGATTGGCAGTCTGACAAGCTTTGTTGAACATGTCAAAGTCATTCAAAAACAGTTATTTTTCCTTATCCTGACTCATGCTCTTTTTGCTTGTCTTCTTCTTCTTGCGAACATAGTGGAACACTTGTATCTCCCTAATTGAAGCTCCCTTCAATTTAAAATCACTAATTAGTATTCACCACGAGTTACCTCCTTTCCACAAGCTCGGGAACGAGGGCGCCACCTCTACCCATGTGCCTCACTCTCTCCTTCTTTGCCCAGTGAGCTGGACGTGAGAGCGCCTGTGTCTCCCGACACACTATATCCTTTGAATTATATTTAGTTAGTTACCTCGTATAGACATCTATAGAGGTTTAGCTAGTATCCTTCAACGATTATATATTGATATTTAGTCGCTTTTCTACAGTTTAGTCACGGGGCGCCGTGTTTGTTTCAGTGGATTACGCTTGATGAAAATTCTGTACTATTGCAGATTACGCTTTTATGCTGCTGCTGATCCGCCTTTAATATGATGTAATGGCGCCATGTTTATTATATTCACATTGCAGTTCGCGGTACTAATTTATCCAATTCTACCTTTTATTAATATTTACTTTGCGTTTGGCACGCACAGCAGATAGGTCGGCATGCATGCAGAGTCTAGTATGACTGATACACGGAACCCCTCGCCAGTCTACTGCTGTTGGCCGACTCCCTCCCGTGTGGTGTTCCGCTAGAGTGGTGGAGAGGTGTGGGGCGTAGTCCGCCATCTCCAAGAAGCATCCTGCTTCCCCAGACATCCCATCGTCGCAGCAGAAGACTAGAGGGTTTTTCTACTACATCTCAACAACCCGAGACCGTTCCCATCGAAGTTTGGGCCTGTATGATGATCAGCCGGTCATCATACCCGATGTACATCAAAGATTGACCGATGTCGGCACAGATCAGCATGCAGCCTGATGTACCAACGCGCCAGATATGCGATGATCGTCCTGAGGGTCCCATCATTACCAACACTCAACGCAGACGCCGTCGCACACCCAGGGCAGCGTCGACCTCTGAGGGAAAATCAGCGAAGTCTACTAGGACTTTCTCAACCGAGATTGTTCCAGCCGATGACCTGGACCTCTACGATGATCAGCTGATCATCATCCCGGCGTCGCCACAAGAAACGACCGGTGACAGCTACAACGACATCAGCAGAGATCACCATGCAGCCTGATGCCTCTACACTGATGCGGACGATTTTCCGTTGGACCCCTCCATTAACACCGCAGATTAAGCACCGGCGACCTGCGTCGCCGCAGACCATCCCAGAAGACATGATCGACAAATTATGAACATCATGGAGGACCAATATCTCGCGGTAGCAGGGTCCGAAGCCTTGCCAGCGAAGGCTCCAACGTAGACAGCACCCCAGAGGCACCCCCCGTCAACGTAGCAGCCAGGACGATGTCACCTTCGCGAAGGAAGTCACGGACCACCTTGACGAAGGACCTAGATGTACAGCCTTCGCGAAGGCGGAAAGAACCTAGATGTACAGCCTTCGCGAAGGACTTCGCGAAGGCAGGATAGATCATCACCTTATGCGGTTTCATCCCTAGATGTGGACTCGGACCATCAGACATCACGGAAGCCTTCGCGAAGGTCATATCGTCGTTCCCCGGACCGACGCGAGAGGAAGCTTCGCTAAGGCATGCGCGAAGGACACCTGAATCCAGATCATCATCATCTAGAAGGACATCGAGGGACTATACAAGAGCTTCGCGAAACTATCAACGTTCCCCTCACAAGTCTCCGAGAAGATCAACCCATAGACAAGTTGATCATCGATATCAAGTATAAGAACTACAATCGTATATTGGTTCTGTTGAATCCATGACGAGGCGATATGTTCGCTGGCCTAAATAGATCTAGAACGATCAATTAGACACTTATCACCAGACTTCAGTAACCGACTTCTGAATATGATAAGATGATCCATGCGGCCCTACTTAGGCAAGCGTAGCCGATCCCACATCCTGTTAAACACAGAGGCTGTTCACGAAGCAAGCTCATATATATATTTATATATATATATATATACTAATCGGGCTTTGATGACTCGACACCTTCGCGATGGTCGGAAGGCTAAGTGGCTCCAAGTCTACTTCACCCAGAAGATCTAGAAGGGATACTTCGAGAACTTCATGCGAAGTCTCCGCGTTCACCGAGGAAGTCTCCTCCAAGGTTTCCATATACTAGCCACTTTCGTCATATATAGCTACTTTCGTCAGTCCGTTCAAGACGCCGCATAAGTTGATTATCAACTGTATGCCAGATGCCGCCTCTATAAGCCTACTGAAGATAATTGCTCAGGCTATTTACAACACAGAACGTCGCTGTATTATTAGTCAACGACATTTCATAGATCTTCACAGAAATCAACTATTCCGTATAATTGCTAATATACAATCCCGGACGACGATACGATTATCTACATGCGTGACCATTACGCATATCTGCAGACAATTCAATATCGAAATTGAACAGCAGCCTTGTTACAGCGAGTATAACTCTTAATCGTCAAAGTTTCTGAGAAGAAATATGTACAACAAGTTCAACGTTAATTCTACAATTATGACGATACATTCATGTATACAGTCTACAAGCTCACAACTTGCAAGTTGTTTATACCCTTATATATAAGGAAGTCGGAATTATATTCAAAACTGAAATTACTTTCACGACAACCAGGAAAATAACCTACCCAGCATAAAATTACAGAGCGAGATATTTCGCCGGAGGAGGTTCAGCGGTTACCATTAACCCTCGAAACACGTGGTCACTCGGATAACTTCGGGAAGCTACGGTGAAGACCGGCGTTTATGCTAATATCAACGGCGACAAGAATTTATTCAAGGTGGGTTTTTCCTACACCGGTGACATCACAGCTGGTATTATACAGAATCAAAATGCCTTGTTCTGATTGGACCAACGCGGGACAACGACCTACACAGAGGTCGATCTCTATTCACAGTTCAAGACTTACGTCCACAAGTGACAACTATATATCAGTGAACGAGCAAGCCTCATTACAGTCCAGTTAACCTGAACATTCATGATTAGACTGCCTTTCTTCAAGTTAGAGACCTCCCCTGTCAAGTTAAGACGAGGGATCGGCAGTCAGGCGATTTTACATAAAGTTCAACGAGGACAGACACACCTGGTTGTGCACCTACATCGTCAAGGACTTAGCCGCTAATTACCTAGACGAAAAGATACAAGTGGATCTAAATCCACAGCGTTTCAGACTACAGCTGAATTTCATCAAGCGACTAACACAACTAGATGGTTAGTAAACCTACTAAACTTCTGTTTGGAGAATAAAGCGGAAATTTCACGCCCAACCTGGGATATGAATATAGTGCTCCAACACCTCACAAGTGAGGTTTATGAACACGCCTGGATGACATACTTGGACCCCATGATACGATGATTCTATCAAGATGGCCAGCAAGAGCACTGTAATTTTATCTCCACCAAACCAAACAGGAGGAAAAAATGCAACAGATTATTTCCTCTATCATCAACTTACGCAGAGTGAAGTCTCATGTACTATATCTCCATTTGGATCAGAACTGTCATACTCACGTGCATATGCGGATGGACCTATTCCGACCCTCCATGAGCTTAATACTCATGATATTATAGCTAACTTCTACAATTGTTCTGCACAAATGTGATTGAAATAATGGAGGGTTTATTTCTGGAAATCCGATATGGTGGTTGCAAACCATTATCTGAGAGATATCACCACCGAGGACGTCTCAGGTATACACCAATTCGATCCCATGGTCCTCGCACAACAGCTGACAGTTCCTCGGAGAAGATAAGTCAATCTAACAGATTTTACTTATCTTATAACAATACTAAATAGCTTCATGCTATATATAATTTACTTAAGTTCCTTTTATCATCACAGTACTATGATTATTACATCATACAATATATAAGTTAACAACTCTACAGAGTTTGTTATTATATATATTTACCTTAAGTTATTCATATCTTAAGAGTAATACTATGGTTACATGATAAATGCATTAGCTAACAAACTCTACAGAGTTTTTGGCTATTTTATACATAGCTTAAGTTAATTAAGCTAACAAACTCTACGGAGTTTTACTATTATATAGGTAACTTAAGCTAATTATACCTTAAGCATAGTACTATACTCATATTATTAAAATATATGGGCTAACAAACTCTAAGGAGTTTTGCTATTATATAGGTAGCTTAAGCTTATTCATATCTTAAGCTTAGTACTATGTTTATATCATATAAGTAGATTAGCTAACAAACTCTAAAGAGTTTTTTGCTATTTGGCTTAAGTATCATCATATTTCTAAGCAATATGGTTATATTATAACATGTATTAGCTAACAAACTCTACAGAGTTTTAGCTATTATATATGTAACTTAAGCTTATTCATATCTTAAGCGCAGTACTATGTTTATATCATATAGGTATATTAGCTATCAAAACTCTAAAAGAGGGTTTTGCTATTATATATTTCGGCTTAAGTTTCATCATATTTTAAGCTTTATGGTTTACATTATAACATGTATTAGCTAACAAACTCTACGGAGTTCTTGCTATTATATATGTAGCTTAAGTTTTCCTTCATAAGCTCAATACTAGGTTTATATCATAGCTAACAAACTCTAAAGGGTTGTTTTCGCTATTATACAATTAGCTTAAGTTTTCATCATATCTTAAGCAGTATGTTTACATTATAAAGGTATTAGCTAACAAAACCCGACGGAGTTTTGTTATTATATATATATAGCTTAAGTTTCATCATAACTTAAGCTCAGTACTATGTTTTTAACATAAAAAGTATATTAGTTAATAAACTCTAAGGAGTTTATTTTGCTATATACATTTAGCTTAAGTCTAATCTTATCTTAAGCTTAGTACTATGGTTACACTATAAACATATTAGCTAATAAACTCTACAGAGTTTTTTGGCTATTATATATGTAGCTTAAGTTAATAATATCTTAAGCACAATACTATACTCATATTGTAAAATATATTAGCTAACAAACTCTACGGAGTTTTGCTATTATATATGTAGCTTAAGTTCATTATATCTATTGTAAAATATATTAGCTAACAAACTCTACGGAGTTTTGCTATTATATATGTAGCTTAAGTTAATTATATCTTAAGCACACTACTATACTCATATTGTAAAAATATATTAGCTAACAAAACCCTACAGAGTTTTGCTATATATATGTAGCTTAAGTTAATTATATCTTAAGCTCAGTACTATACTAATATTATAAATATATATTAGCTAACAAACTCTACAGAGTTTGGCTATTATATATGTAGCTTAAGTTAATTATAGCTTAAGCACAGTACTATACTCATATTATAAAAATATATTAGCTAACAAACTCTACAGAGTTTGGCTATTATATATGTAGCTTAAGTTAATTATAGCTTAAGCACAGTACTATACTCATATTATAAAATATATTAGCTAACAAACTCTACAGAGTTTTACTATTATATATGTAGCTAAAGCTTATTCATATCTTAAGCTCAGCATTATATCTATATCATATAAGTATATTAACTAACAAACTCTAAAGAGTTTTGCTATTATATAATTAGCTTAAGTTTAATCATATCTTAAGCTTAGTACTATGTTATATCTTAAAGTATTTTAGCTAACAAACTCTAAGGAGTTTATACTAGCATATTAACAAGCTTAAGTCTATTAGTCTTAAGCATTGTATTAATGTTATATATACTTTATCATAATAAGTACATGGTAATAACCTTTTATATGGCAGCTGATAAGTTAGCAGCAGGAATTCATCAGTTCAGTGCCTTTATGAAGTTCCCATAGGGTTATTACAATCATCACAGTTCAAATCACTAATTATTAAAAAATCCAAAGTATTAGATATTCCCACCTCCGTTCCGTAGGATGCTACAAGCAAAAAGAGCATGAGTCAGGATAAGGAAAAATATGTAATTTTGGAGTAAAATTGATATTTTATACTTATCCTGACTCATGAGGTCAGCCCTCCCATCCTCCCCAAATAACACTTTGGATTTCCCTGTAAATTCAAATGTTGGGCTCAGTATATGAGGAGAGAGTGAGGCACATGGGTAGAGGTGGCGCCCTCGTTCCCGCGCTTGTGGAAAGGAGGTAACTCGTGGTGAATACTAATTAGTGATTTTAAATTGAAGGGAGCTTCAATTAGGGAGATACAAGTGTTCCACTATGTTCGCAAGAAGAAGAAGACAAGCAAAAAGAGCATGAGTCAGGATAAGTATAAAATATCAATTTTACTCTAAAAATTACATTTTTGTTTGTCTGATCATGCTCAAATTTACCATGTTTACACAGGATGTATATCTCAATTTACAGCACTGTTACAAGTACAAAGCCTTGGCCCCACTAGCTGTGGACACTCGTTAACATGTTAAGAAATAATTATTTTATGATTTATACAAATTTACAGTTTTTTTCACCTATCGCATCTATTTAAACTGTGTTAACCAAGTACTTGGAGGAGTAACATGTTTCAGGGAAAATGTTATTGAGTGAGACATGTTTTGTCCACAGCCATGCTTTGTACGGAACTGGGAGCTGCATATTCAGTTCAAGGTTCATGGGTCTGGGAAGAACCTATTTGGAGATGGACTCGCCATCTGGTACACCAAGGAAAGGATGCACATGGGTAGGTAACATTAGAGCTACTTCTCCATAATCATTGTACTCATAATGATGAGTGAGTGAGTGAGTTTAGTTTTACACCGCACTGAGCAATATTCCAGCTATATGGCGGCGAGTCTGGACCATACAATCCAGGGATCAACAGCATGAACATTGATCTACGCAATTGGGATACGATGACGTGTCAACCCAATCAGCAGGCCTGACCACCCGATCCTGTTAGTCGCCGCTTACGACAAGCTCATAATGATGACTTGTTTACATTTTGCTATGTGTACACAGGTAACGTTACCTTGTAATGAAACAGGGATGTAAGCTTTAATCATATGTTTAAAGAAATGAGTTTCATGATGAATTTGACAGTTGTTAATTGTCAATGTATTAAGTACAATAATGTAAAATTAACATTAAAGTTTCTTCATCTGTACTTGTCTTGTTGTCAGGGATATACACATTGTGTATATTGTCACTTTTACAAGGCTGTAACATTAGATTTTGCTACACTTAAATCTGAGAGAAATGTTAGTTGTTATCTAGTGATTTGATGTGATAATAGTAACTTACTACAGAAAAGTATATAACCTGTTCTGCTAATTCTGACAACCTTGTGCCATATCAGATGTATGCAGTGGTGGTGTTGAGTTAAATGGTTTCCAACATTCACCTTTCAACCTACATCAAATAGTTTACTAAACTAAGTGGTCTGTTTTCAGTCCCATAAATTATTCGAGCAGTTATGCTAACAGCAATTTTCAAAGGCCAGATGTTGAGCTTGACTAAGTGTCTAATGACTCACAGGAAACTCAGCCTGTTATTGATATATGATTTACACATTTGCAAGAGGACTTCAAGCTGTTATTGCCAAAATGTGGTTTGATAAATGTTATCATCTGAATTTTGTCTTATAACAAGTAATTCATTTTATGAGGTTTCATGACTTCAACACCAAATGATATTGCCGATTGGACACCTTTTGGTTTTTTATGGAGTTGAGTATATGGTAACATGAACAGATGAACCAGGAAACTTTAATTCCATTTGGGAATTTTAACTGACATTTGCTGCAGGCTTGGCACTGAGTACTGGACTTGTAGCAGGTCTAGAAAATCTTCATACTTCAGTATTGTAATTGTTATTAAATCAGTACTCTTCATCACTGGTTTGTGAAGGGGATAAAAGGATGGCTTACGTGACTGTTTCTGTGACAGGTTCGATCTTTGGCAGCAAGGACAACTTTGTTGGACTGGGCATCTTCTTGGACACTTACAGCAACCACAATGGGCCACATAATGTAAGTTTGGAGAAGTAATGGTTAATCATATTGCTGGCTTTGATATAGATTATAGAGATCAGTAATTGTTAACTAAATATCGATTGATTATCAATAATTATCAAAGATGTAACTTTGAGCAAACATGTCAAAAAAAGGTAGGGGTAGGGGGGTAGCCTAGTGCTTAAACAAGTGTTCGCTCGTCACGCCGAAATCCCGGGTTCGATTCCTCACATGGGTACAATGTGTGAAGCCCATTTCTGGTGTCCCCCACTGTCATATTGCTGGAATATTGCTAAAAGCGGCGTAAAACTCACTCATTCACTCACTCACTTTATTCATGTTAATAATATGACCAAATGATAGCTGTGAGCTGTGAGTCGCTGACATACATGTTACTTTCAGCACCAACATCCATACATCTCTGCGATGGTGAACAACGGTTCCATGTCCTACGACCATGACACCGATGGAACACACACACAGATTTCAGGCTGTGAGGCCCAGTTCCGAAACAAGGACTACGATACCTTCCTTGCCATGCGATATGAAAATAATGAATTGAAGGTGTGGTATATATGTGTTAACAACAGCAGAATCAACATCATCAGTTTTATGTTCATTAATATTTTGATATGTTTATTTATAATTTGTAATCAGGTCAGACAATTTGTAAATTATATTGACATATTTTAACACTTAAGTTTGGACATTTGCATGCTTTAAAGTGATCCACAATCTATTGTTTTCATCTAGTGGGAACACAGCTGCTGTGTATTACACTGATCTAAAAGGAATGACCATAATCTGAAAAATTAAATATTATTTTTCTGTTTCAGGTTTCTACAGATATTGCCAATAAGAATGGCTGGGCTGAGTGTTTTCGAGTGTTGGGAGTCCGGTTACCTGTAGGTTATTACTTTGGTGTGACAGCTGCAACAGGAGAGTTAGCAGGTCAGTGAAATGCCCATGCCGAAACAATCCGTAGAATTTTAACATTAGTCTGTGTATTCTTCATGACTACAGCTTGTTCAGCTTGACCTGATCAAGTGACTACTAATGCATTGCGTGACCGTGTCACAACTGGTTGGGTCTATTATTGTGAAGGGGTGCACCTTTATCAGCTGAACCTCAAATTGTCCAAACAACCGAGACAAGGTCGCCGTTTGACATCTCACTGTCGAGAAACCGTCAGCAATGTCCTAACTTTCTTTTAAAAAGAAGCTTCAAATGGTGTAATGTTTGGCTTTAGACAACTATTGGGACAGAATTATTGCAGTTGAAGATGAAATAGAAAAAGTGATAATTGAACTGGGTGTAGAGAGTGATAGCGAGAGCGAATCAGATTAAGAAAGTAATTGACGTCTGTATGTTGTAAAGTTAGTTAGTTTGAAATGATTGTTTTTCAGAAGTGTTGTTTTCCGGGACAAGTCCTATAACGAATACATGTACGCATGCTTTGCACGAACGCAACATTAATAGCATTCTCTGCTCCCCTATTTAATGACGTTAACTCGACCTACTGTTTGTGCCGTTTGACCTCCCGGGTCATGCATATGTAGAGTAGGTTAGGTCAAGCTGAACAAGCTGTAATTTGTGGTGGGAGGCCATCTTGTCATTGGCACAGCTATTGCCTGTACAGAGTTGTGTCCCTTAGGTCTGCCAGAGACTTCTGATTGTTATTTGAGTCCCTGTTTTGCCCTGATTATGTTTCTAGGTTGCTCAAAAGAGTTAAACTTGTGAGAACGGTGTCACAATGAGCAGCTACCCCATGATATATCTGAAATACTGTTAAATGTGTTGTTAAACTCACACACTCACTCACTCTTGTGAAGTGACAGTTTTGTGGTTACAGCATTGACATTTTAGCCAAAGACTCAGGTTCCGTTTCTTACATGGGTATCGTGTAGATAATTGTGGTGCCCACTGCCATCATTGGGCTGGAATGATACCAGCATGCTGTTTTCCAACATGTGATATGTGGAATGAAACCAAACCCACTCATGTTCCATTGAACCTAAGGTAGTGACAGGGAGGGAGGTATCTTCTCTTAATTTAACTACTGGGTCATCATAATTCTGTGTTGTCATGGTAGTGTCTTAAAGAGACTGATGTGAAGCTTTGGTCAATAATCAAGGAAATGTGAAAGGACTCTGTGGAAAATTATGTCAATTCTAAATGAAAGTTCTGTAATATTTGACATAGTCAGCAGTATTACCATTATTACAGGCTGCTACATGGCTGTTGGGTAGCTTAGTGGTTGGAACATGTGCTTGTGACACCTGATGCCTTGCTTTGTTTCCCCACATGGATATCTTGTGAGAAGCTCATATGTAGTGTCTCATGCCATGATATTGTATGAATATCAGTGTTGGGAATTGGTTAAAATCTCACAACTGATGGTTGGTTCATTACCAACGAGCAATCATAAAAAAAAATTGGTTATCGTCATTTTAAGAATTGTTCTATTCAGGTATAATTGCCGATAGGTATAATGTGGTTCTGTAGGTTTTTTTCAGAAACTATGCATTTGCATTTGCAAATTTCACATCCAATGTAAAATGACGCAACTTGCTATTTTAATGTGATGACTACAATGTATATTATGAACATAAACTTCCTGGAGTCGTCAAGAAATATTCAGTCATGACTTTTCAGTAGGTGAAGTGAGTTTTCTAAGAAATTATCACGTTTTCATGCCTTCTAAGATATGTTCCATCGTCAAGGGTTTCAAACACTAAAACGGTAGTTCTAAAATCGTTTGTGTTCGATTATGAGAAAATGTGATCGATTGCTTGGTCGTTAGGTCACTACAACCAATCTTCGATTATTTCAATTAATCAGAACACCACTAATGAATATATCATGTAGTGGTGTAAAATCTCACTCACTGCACTACAGGTACATTTTGTAGTGTGTGTACAGATTGTTTTTACCTTTTGTTTATAACTGTTTCTTCTATTTCAGATAACCATGATATTATTTCAATGAAACTTTACGATTTGGATAAAGAAACAGATTCAGTGAGTATAACATAGTTCACCTGTTTAACTAAACCGATCAGTGCCTTTACCCTTTTGGGGTTGGGGAGCACTGCAGTTCAATTCAGTCTGCACAGCTGCACTTGTCAGCATTATATCTTTGCTCTTGGGATTTACCAAAGTGGTTAGCATCTGAGACATGCATTACTTCAGGCTTTCCTGTCACATTGAGCTGACTGACTGAGATATGACCAACTGAGTGAGTGAGTGAGTGAGTGACTGACTGACTGACTGACTGACTGACTGAAACAGCATTAGGAAATTTGTACTGACCTTGACAGAATGATTTGGTGAGCTATTGTACCTTGAGTAGTTTACGCATTAACTTTTTACTGTTCCGGTTTATATTATTTCAAACAGGAGGATGGGTGGATATACAGCGATACAAGAACGTTTGTTATGTTTTTTAGCAGGACATTAATTTAGCTGAGGTGAGGTGAAATGGGGTTTAACATTGTACTTAAGAAATTTCGCTCATATGCATGCATGCGTGTGTATGTGTGGCTGGTTGTACTAGCCCAGCTGGTTTTATAGTGCTAGCTGACCATGCCGAGATACCATGCCGCAGTTAAGCCTGAATACCCCACTCAAACACATTATACTGACTCCGAGCCGAGCAGCCCTTGTTGTACCCATTAATGCTGAGCGCCAGCCACTAAACAAAAAGTACCATATTTTAAAGTCTTTTGGTATGATGCGGTTGGGGTTCGGTGGCCTTACGCACTCCAGGCGGATGCTCTTACCACTACACCACAGAGGAGGTCCCACTAATTTAGGGCGGGCTAGAGATGACAAATACTTCAGAAAATACAGAAGACCTAAACAGTAAAAGAATTTTTGAAAAATGTTTTACTTTTAATGGTGTCTCACTGAAGAAGCTTGTTTCAAATACCAGATATTTACCGATTATCACCCTTTGTCTGTCAGTACTATGCTTTTATTGTTCTTACCTGAAAAAAAATTTCTTGTGAAATGAATCTCAAGTAAGTGGAAATTGAAAATGCAGAATTCATTTTATTTCATTTAAATATATTAGTCCAAAATGTTCAGTATCTCAATATTGTTTTCACAGCTTCAGCATGATCAGAAGCTCATGACTTAACCATGTTAATATGTCATTGTGTAATTTCAGGATAAGAAAACTGAGCCACCTTATACCGGCCTGCCAGTGGCAGACCATATGGAAGCCCCAAGAGGTAAGGATCTTGGTAATCTTATCACAATTACACACAGGTATACACACAGAAAACGAAAATATTCCCTCACTCATACATCTTTGCATGATTGGTACTCTTAAAAAAGAGGTCATAAAAGTATACACAGAACAAAATAATAGTGCAGCCTTTATTTCATTCAAATCTGAATGTGTTTGTTGATGTGTTTTCAATATCAAATTGTGCAGTTTTCAGGACATAAAACTTTTCAGATGTTAAAAACATTTTTGAATCCTTTGTAATTTTCCGAGGGTCATTGTAAAATTAACAAATATAATTTGTCACTCAACTAAACAAAAATCAGTCCTGAAATATGTCATCAATGCATTGATATATAAATCAATGTACGTTGAGTATTGTGTAAAACATGTACAATGGTTTTACAATGATTTTACATTATCTTTGAGATCCTTGTATGATCTTCAGTAACCCATGCTTGTTGTAATAGTCAACTAACAGGATCTGGTGGTCAGGCTTTCTGACTTGGTTGACATGTCATCCCAATTGCATAGATCGATGCTGATGCTGTTGATCACTGGATTGTCTGTTCCAGACTTGATTATTTACAGACCGTCGCCATATAGCTGGAATATTTTTGAGTGCAGGGTAAAACTAAACTCACTCACTTGTATGACCTTTGTCAGTCAAGTTCAATTTGCATGATCTAAAGTTTTACAAATAGTTATTAAATCAGGTGAGCTACAGTGTCATATTTTCTGTACATCTATAAATAACATACCTCTTCTTGACTACTTGATGTATGATTAGTTCTAGTTATGTTTATAGACAAGCCTTCCCAGGTTTAGAACTGATCTCCAACATGGTGTTGTAGGCCCCAATAAGTAAATAGGGTAGTTGGGCTCAGGGACTTGGTTGATAGCGGTGGGGGAGGTGGTGGTGGAATTGGGTTTAACGTCGTGCTTGTGTTTATCATCTTGAGAATATTTCGTGCTCATATGATATCTCCTATCGCATATCGTTTTGACAGTAGATTTTGTGCCCTGACAATGCTATGACATCATCAACTTGATGACATCTGTATGACATGCAGCGGCTGCTTGTACTAACCCAGACTGAAGCTGGTTTTATAGTGCTAGCCCACAGTGATACCATGCGCGTTGATAAAGTAAAAATATCCTCGGTGAAGCATGAATACCCCACTCAGACACATTATACTGACTCGCGGTGAAGCATGAATACCCCACTCAGACCAGTCCTTGATGTACCCATTAATGCCGAGCGCCAGGCAGGGACCAACAAGTACCATATTTTAACGTCTTTTGGTATGACGCGGTCGGGGATCGAACCCGTGACCTTCCTTTCTCCGGGCGGACGCTCTAACCACTACACCACGGAGGCGGTCTTGGTTGATAGCACCACAGGGCATCGTTCTATGGCTGAGGTATTTCTGAGTTGGATGTTACCTAACAGTCAGTGAGAGAACAAGCCCTGGTTTAAAACTGATTGCCAGCAAGGTGTTGTCGTGGGAGACAGCTAACTAAATAGGGTAACATGGATGACACACAGGCCACTGTACCATGAATACACAATGCCATTTAGAAACTGGTCAAATGAAACACTGATTTACCAATTCTAGTACTGTACCATTGGCTGAAATATGTGGGTGATGTTACCCAACAGTCAGTGAGACAAACAGGAAACACTTAATGTCGTAATTTTGCTGAGAAATGTTCTCTTCTGTTGACAGATCGTGTTGATGACAACAAAGGGTCATATCTCCTGGGCAGTCTGACTGGATGGAAGCTGTTTGTTGTGATTTTCCTCATCCTCATTGGCATTGGTGTCTGTGGGATTGTGGGATTTGTTGTTTTTCAGCGTAACCAGGATTACTCCCGAAAAAGATTTTACTAAACCCTTTACCTGTTGTATATTTATTTTATTAAGTGGTAAATAGTTAGGGTTTGACAAAAAATAGTTTGTGTTGTCAGATGATTACGTAGGGGATCTTTTGTTATGAGAGTAAAAAGATTCAGAAAAATCTTTAAAAAAGAGGTGATGGGGGGTTTTAAGCAACAAAGCATTCAAAAAGGGTTTATTTTTGTATATTTGTATATTGTGGGACGGATGAGTGATGGTATGCAGGACATGCATTGGAGGAATGCATCTTTTTATACTGTATGACTTGAAAAAGTATGCGACTTTAGTCAGTTATGTTTCAAAACCAGATGTGTTTGATAACAGGAAGAACTTAGTATTCAGTGATAACCTTATGCTGGTGATAACGCATTTAATGTCGTGATTTGAGTACCACTGGTTTCGAGTACCACTAGTGTGTAGAAAATTGGATTGGTGCAAGATTTCCGAACTGCAAACACTTTTTTACTTTGTGTTTCTCACACATGTGGTTCTAAGTAGTGATCAAATCCCAACATCAGTAAAGTTCATTGTTGTTTATTTGTCAAATTTAGTGCCATTTTGAAAACATAATTAATAAAGATACATATTTCACTTCATGTACTTTCGAGTTAAAAATGTGTTCTGATTTCCTCTGAGTTAATCCATGTGAAAATTTTACTTTTTTGGTATGTATATGAAAACAATACGAAAGAAGGCAGGACAAGTGGACAGTTGTGTACACTCCTTCAAATGACAGTGATCCCGAAGTTAACTGTAGAACAAGTCAGGAATAGGCAGCCATGTTTCCTAGAATACTAATCATAGTGCTCCAACCTGCAACTCTCAACTGCTCCAGTTTGCTGTTAGTCAAAACCATCATCTGTAATTTTCTGATGATTTTGTTTTGTATCATGCACCATGATGTATACTCTGTACAATCTTTGGAGGTGCTGGTAAGGAACAGTTCTGCATTTGTAATGCTGATCACTCTGCAAAGGTTCCTGAGATACATGCAATGCTGTGAAATTTAATGTTAAAGAATGTTTGGATCTTTATCAAGAACTAAGGCAATTTGTGTTTGCTAGCTTCCACTGAGCTCTGAGCTACCAACTCCAAATTTCACAAATGTCTAATTGAATCAAAATTTTGTATTTTTTGTCATTTGAACAAGCTTTTTTTTTCATTTCTATGTTTTGTAAACAATGTTTTTCTATATTTGCTTCAATGAACGGTAACCCAAATGAACATGATTTTTTATGATTTTGCTTAAAAATATCAGTTGTTTAAGGTATTTGTCCACAATGGTCAAAGATAAAAAAAACTGTTTAAGCATTGTTTTAAACCTAAATTTTTCTGATTTGTGACAAAAAAGACATTGGCATGATAAAAACTCACATTTTACTCCCCAGTCATCCATGACAGAAATGTGTTTGTTTATGCAAATTTAAGGAGGGTGTTTTGATTTCAGGTTGTACTTTTAGTCAAATAGTCATTGTTCCTAGTGAACCTGATTTTGAATATATCTGTGTAAGAGATGGCAAAACTTCATAGCATTCCAGAGTGTAAGAATAACTATGAGCTAGAAATGGAATGAAACTTTTTGTAGTTTCTTTTGTCATACATAAGTAAGCTGTGTCTCAAAGGTTTGGCAATACATACTTAAGTAGCCCTGAAAAAGATTTATTTACCGGATAATCCTCCATTGAGAATGATAACAAATTCAAGTTGCCTTGTTTATCATATGCAATGTTGTAAATAAACTGTATTACTGTATATGAAATACAACTGACTTTTTTTTTTCGAATATCGGACTTAAATTATTACTTGAATTGTATATGTCTACTCAGTCAAAGGTGGGTTTGTCTTTGTAGTTAAGTGTGCCATATACCCTGCAAAACCTCCTTCTTGATCCAATATTTTGTTTTTGTAATTCATGCTATAGTTTATTTAGGTGATAAATGTGAAATCCTTCCAGATTTGGGGTTGTTATTGCATATTTGATACCTAGAAATTATATTTGAAACTGATGTAAATGTTCCCAATAGTAAATTGTGTTAAAGTTTGGTTTCTGGATTAAGTGGGTTTCACTGTATAAGGGAATGGGTAGTTAATGGGCAGTGGATGGATTAAGTTCTGAATAACACTTCATGATTGCAAAATACGTTAATCTTTTAATATTTTGACTGCAAAGACAAAAATTGTCTTCAAAGGTTTGAAAACAACCATGGTCTTTGAAAGTGAAAGTATGATCATATGTAACCATGAAAACAGCACATGGAATATTCCTTAAGCAGCGTAGTCTTTATGGACAGGGAGGGGATTGGATTGAACCTGTATATCCCACCAGGGAAGGCTGTCTCAGCCATGATGTGGGGATTCTTTGTTGTACATTTGTCATTCAGTGTTCATACCATCAACCACATGGTTTTATGGCTTGCATGCCACCAAGGTGTTGACATTTTACTGCATTCATTTCCATTAATATATTAACAGATATGAGTTGGTGTAAATTTCATTAGTCATTTTTTCAAACTACATAACGGGCTTACCATTGCATATTCTGAATGGGAGCTGGACTTCTCTTGAAGAAATATCATTGTTTCCGAAATTACCTCAAAGAAATTATTCTTGGATCAGGGAATTGCTGTGCATAGTGACAAGTGTTCTGAATAGAAATACAATTGTTCAGCTCTCTTCAGAGAAAATAATCCTATGTCTTGAAGCAGGTACCAAAGATATTCTGTCTGGAAATAACAATTTAATGCCCCATCCAGAATATTAAATGGTAGGGCCCTGAGTGCAATCAGAGTCATGGTGCATGAGAATTTTCTGTGGGTATTTTTCACTTATTGTTGATAGCATGGAGATGTAGATAGGAGCATGTTTAATGGGTATTTTCAATTTTGAGTGATTTGCCTGAGAGATTTTGTTATGTGTACAAGATATATTTCATGTTGAGACAGTGTGCCATGTATTAATGATGGAGATGTTTTGTAAACACATTATTTGCCTGTTGAGTTTGTTTGTGGTCTTTCATGAATGAATTAAGGACTAAAGAACAATGATGCAGGGAAACCAAGTGAATTGATAACTGTTAAAGGGAGGTAATTCTCAATGCAAATTCTGTTACTCTAGAATGAACACAACCTATTGCACAGAATATTTGTGTGGGAGAAGTTATGGTTGTCTGGTTTTTTAGATATAGGGTGCTTATTTATGCTTTTCCTTAGTAATAAGCAGTCGTGTGCTGTCTGATTTTGAGCTTTTGAATTGTATGCAACATTTACGGTCCATGTCTTTGTTTGTACTAACCCTACTTCTAACATGTCTCAGGCAGATCATTTTGTTAATGGCACTGATGTGATCATGATAATTTCTTGTCAAGCTGTTGTATTCATCATTTTGTTCAATGTTGTCACCCTGCAGTATGAAGTAATGTTCAGGTACATTATGCTCTCAGCTTTGTGTTGTCATTATGGATTGGGTTGCGATCAAAGTTATCATTTGAACAGCTGTACATACTGGCAAAATATGGAAGTGTCGTAAAAGATATTTGTATCTCAATTGTGTAGATTGATGCTCATGCTGTTGATCACAGGATTGTCTGGTCCAGACTTGAATATTTAGTGACTGCCGCCATATAGCTGGAATATATATATATTTTTATATTTTTTCTTATTCTTGCAAAAATACGAACAGCAGATCCGTAAAGCAAGAAATAAAATTGGTCTGGCCTAAAGTTGCTTTGAAAGTCAGAACCAGTAAGTCTAGGTTCAGATTCCATATTTTGCCCTGGTTATGTGGTATGGTTGTCAGCAGCATGCCATGCTTAGTTTTGTTCTCTTGGATGGTGAACAGTTAACACATGCTTTACTTTGTATCTTCCTTCCACACTCCCCCTTGCGTGATATTGCTGGAATATTGCTAAAATTGGTGTAACACCATACTCACTCCTCACTCAGCAAGCTGTCCATTTTAGAATTGAAATCTTGTTGAACACTGACTGGTTAAATTTAGTTCTGAAAATGAAATCTGAACGTAAAAAGAAGGTCTGCAGTTAGGGCATTTGATTTATTTCATGTTACAAGTATTTTCAGTTCTTGTAACACTCAATGATTACAATCAGACTGAAAATATTTCTGACATACAAGAGCAGTACACTTTCTGCTGGTCCATTAACATAATTATCCCTACAATTTTATCTTGCACCCAAAGGAATCTGTCAGTAGGAAATTGAGACCGACTGATCTATAGCCTTTAGTTTTTATGTTTGTGTGAATTCAACATCATGTACTTTTGTTCATGTTCATTATACATTTCTTTTCATCCTTTACATAAACAGATACTGTTATTTCAGATTGTATAAACTATGAACCAGTGTGTGACAATGCATGGGAATTGTAAATATCATTAGAATAACTGAATTTTACATTTTGTACAAAGGGCTTACATCTTAGCCAGTATTATACAATAGTTAATACAAAATAGTGGATGATAAAAAATCAATATAATATGGAAATTCAAATTTCAAAGAAAATATTCATATCTCTTTCAAACATGATATTCTAAGATAGGACATATATTGGCTATACCCATAGTTCATGCCTGAGCATGCAATGCCTATAGGTAATATATGGGTAGTAATATATATATATATCAGTAATTTCAGATAATTTCAGCTTCCAGGTAATAGTGCTTCCTTTAGCTGCCAGTCGTGAAATCCAGCTCAACAAATGATATTTTCATATGTTTTGTCTTTGAAAAAGGTTCCTATTTGTACATGATAGAGGGAAAGTTGTATGAAAGTGGACTGAATGTCTGGCACCTGTAAACAGTTGCTTCTGTTGTGAAGCTGTAAATTGTTGAGGACGGATGGATGTCTTACCTTACATTGGAGCTCACCTTGCGATATGTGAGCATTTGTTGACATTTGCCGATAAATAAATTGAGGAACTGTGATGTACTCATATTGATTTTATTATTAAGGATAATGGGATTATGAAGGAAAAATGTGTCGTTAACATGTGTTGCTCTTCTACCTCACAGAGACTGGTAGAGCACTTGTTTTCCTTTTGTAGGGATACAACAATATTAAGATAAATTATCCACTCAGAATGATAGATGTATATTTGATGTAATATGGGTTTTAGATTAATTTGCTTAGGGTGTTCAGTCGGTTGGAACATGCTCAATCCGTTTAAGTATAAAAGACTCAGGTGAATTTAGTCTTGTCATTCTCCTTACTTATGCACAATGGCTTTAAACATTAAATATTTGAAAGCAAAGCCTTATGAAGCTTATTGCTGTACTGAGATTGTGACCAGAAAGGTGTATGGTTTACCCATTTACAGAGCCTCTAAAGAAATCAGAGAGAAAACATTGCCATACTTTGACATGCCTGCCAACTGTGTTGAATGTCTAAACAACAATGGCACTTGTGACATCTTGTCAAGCAATTTATAATGACTTCTGATTGTATCCAACCTTCCTGAATTGCGAAATCATTTCATTTACTGTATTGAAAATTTCCTCAACATGTAGAATTATGTTTAGGTAACAAAAACAAGAGTTACCTAAACTATAAGTGAAAGATGTTTGGAAGGTGAGCTTCTGAACCTTGGGTCTGGATGTTTTGTTGAACTAAAGGTTGAAATAAATACTTCAAGTTGACACCAGTTTTTGCTTCTTCTTTTTTTTTCATTTTAAGAATATTATGAGTATGCTGTGCCTTAATAGTACTGTGTAACTTGTTATGGATTATGTGCATCTGTTTTAAAACAAATAATTAGTGAGGCTGTCAAAAGTTGTAAGTCAGAGTTGTAAAAGTTGGCTGATGGAGTCTTTGTGTTATGGTGGACTGGTTTGTATGCTATAAACCACTTGGTATGCTGCCCATCATTACATTGTTATATGAAAACTTCATCATAAGTTATGATTACGTGTGATCAGTAAAATATCCAAGAAATCTAATCTGGTTATCACAACATGAAACACATTCAGTATGTCCGGAAAAATGCCAAGCAGGTACGTCTTCCCCTCAAAACACCGAAAACAATGTTTTTGAAGGCTGTGCCTCACAATGTCTTCAACAGGTTACTTAAATAAAGCCTTGTTTTAGATAACCTGTTAAATGTCTATCGCGCGTCACAAGGAATGGTCATTGGTCATAACACATATTAACCTGTCAGAGTGAGCTCAATATGTTCATTCTGATGTCCCCCGCCGTGACATTGCTGGAATATTGCTAAAAGCGGCGTAAAACTAAACTTACTCACTCACTCTCTCACTCACTCACAATATGTTCAGGTGAGCTAACTTCAACATGTCACAAGTCCATATCTTTTGGAAATGTGGTGGACACATAATGGGAAAGGACGTTTCTGTTGTTCATTGTGTAGATGTTGAGGCTGCATCCACCACTCTGCAGGTAACCAAGTATTTCGGATAGGCCTGTGTGTCATTAAAGATGACAAACTTTTGGGGATTTTCGACATCATCAACAACAGAATTAAAGCGGACATCTGACTTGGCAGGATCTATAGGAGGAGGAACCTTCATTCCTTTCTTCCCCTGGGTATACTGCCCAATCAAGACGTCCGCAAGGTAGATGTACTTGTAGCCAGCACTGTCAGCTTTGGCGAACCTGTTATTGGTGGAGTAGCTAGGGTCTGTAGAAAAGTAGACACCATTTCCAAATTGTGCAGCTGAAAGATTTAAACATGAATATCAACTGAGGAAGGAGCTCAGTGAATCACAAGTCTCATCATTTTCTATTTAAGGCAAAATAATGTTACTCATATATACTGTAGGACCATTTTACATTTACTCGAACATTAATCAGTCATTACCCATTTTCTGTTTGTGATAAGTACAAAAAATGCTACGTGTTGTACATGCTTTGAAAACCAACTTCTGCGTATTTATCCCCCCCAACGCATTTTGCAGGGGGGTATTAAAATGGACTCTGTCCGTGCGTGCGTGCACATTTGTCTTTTTCCGGAGCAGAACTTTATAACCGCTCAATATTTCTTCACCAAACTTGGCACATGGATAGATCTGGTGGTGTACTGGTGCCTTTTGGTAGTTTTGGTATTCTGAATTGATGTTTTTGGCGTTTCCATGGCAACAAGTTTGACTTACACTGAAATCGGTGGTAGTGCTCTTTTCTGGAGCAGAACTCTAAAACCTTTCTCTATTTTTTCACCAAACTTGGCACATAGATTGGTCTAGTGGTGTACTGGTGCCTTTTGGTAGTTTTGGTATTCTGAATGAAATATTTTTGGCATTTCCATGGCAACAAGTTTGACTTAGACTGAAACTGGTCGTAGTGCTCTTTTCCGGAGCAGAACTTTAAAAACCTTTCAATACTCTCCTTCCACTTTTCTATATACACACCAAAACATTTGACATAATCATAACTCGTAGACATATTCATGGGGGATATTGATGACTTTGTCTTCTTGTTAAATGCTAACTGATTAAAACAAAACTTTAACTGAAATTGGGCAACTATGGGATGAATACGCCAAGTATCAACAATGCCAGAAAGTATGGTGACCAATTGTTCCTTGTGTTAACTACCACTGGCGTCCACAGCACCGGTATCACCCCCTCAATTCATACATTCGTGACCAACTCGTGTTATTCCGGTTCAAGCCGAATAGCGACTCGTGCCCCTCTGGAAGGATTTCATATCGGCACATGAACATCAGAACTACTTTATACAAGAATGATAACTCTATCCCTGTTTGATTCCAATGTTTCTTAAAGCTTACATGCTACGCAAAACACAACTTTGCAGATTCTGATACCTTTCGGTGTGCACATACAGTAACAATTATCAAAAATGCAAATTCAACTTAAAAAGTTAACAAATTAAGCGATGAAAAAATCCCGCGAAATCGGAGTTCAAACGATTCACTAAAAAACCCAGCTGGGGTGAAAAGTGGGGTGTCGGGCCGGGAAAGCCACATTTCAAAAATGACTTTTGTCGGGAAGGCCACATTTCAATAACATGGCTGTATCCGGTAAAGCCACATTTCCAATAGATTAATTAATTAATGGATTACCGTAACCGGTAAAAGACCGTTCCTACGCTAAACACCAAAAGAAACGTTACCCTCCTACCATCTATGAATTACTTAAAATATCAAATATATGTTAGAAGGTATTAGTGTACAAGGAAACTTAACAACACAGCTTTATGCAAATCAAGAACCCAATTCTCAAACGCATTCATATTAAGGTGAACTGCATCTTTTTCAGAAGAGTTAAATTGTTCTATTTTCCATGCCGAAATAAACCAATAACAGTGATTTAGATGTCCAAAAGAAAGGTTGAAATAAAATTCTGCTTCAGACAGAGAAAAACCACTTAAAGTCACCATTTTTCAATTCTTAAAACAAGAAACAATTGTTGTTGAGTGTAAAATTGTAAAAGAATCATTCCTATGATTTCAGTCTTTTAAAACTGATTTTCTGCTGATTTGCATTAGTGAAAACAAGTACAACGTGTCTTTGATATTGTGAAAAAGTGTTTAGGAACACCGAAAATGATCTTTGTTAACATTTTTGCTTGCAAAGTAACATTTACACACAGCAATATCAATCGCCAAAACCTAGCAATATTCAAGCAGTATTTTCATCAATTTCACGTGTAGAATGATTCTATAGGGTATGAAGAGAGCCCAGAATGCATGATATGATACACAAGCACGAGATATATTTAACGATTAACAGCGGAAGAGAGGGAAAGAGCCATTAAGATGTTGCAGATGGGGTCGACATACAATGATGTTGCCAACGCCCTCGGATGCCACCATATCATGGTTGTAAGACTTATTCAGCCTTACAGACAGACTGGGGTCACCGAAGATAGACCATGCATCACAATGCAGCAGAAGGTTTTCATAAGAAATGTACACATGGCAACAAACAAAATCATTATCATTCTTATTATTATTACAACAGATTAAGATTTTTTATTATGATGTGATAATATTATATTTAATGTTAGCATATTATATTGTGCTAATTATAGAAATAAAATCTGTTGTGATCTGAATAAAATTATGAGGTCTTGTTTTGTTAAATACGGTAACCTGTTTGAATCACTAAGCATGTTTTTACAGCATAGCCGGGAGAGCCACATTCCATGTTCATGCAACCATAATTATTGCCGGGAGAGCCATATCAGTTTTGGCTACCGGTACCTGTTTCGGAAAAGTGGCTCTCCCGGCCTGTAACTAAAAGTGGTTTCAACAGCTCTGCTGCGCAGTGAATAGGTTCGCACGGCTTGAACCGGGATGCCCGGATTATAAGGTCGTGAGCAGGAGTAGTCTAATCTTGGTTGTGTACACAAACAACAAGTAGTAAATAATCTACTCGTTACATAAAGGAACCTTGTTATGGATCTAGATCTACTCAGCTATGTGACAACCAGTGAGGCGTTTGACATTTCAAGACGGAAAACCTTTGCTGGCGGTGAATACTCAGAGTAGTGTTTTGTTGATATTTCACAGGCACAGTGAATTATGACACATGTTATGACAGTAGATTACCGATTTAACTGTTAACATACTTTCATTTGACTATTTCACCACACGTTCTTCTTACCGAGTCACTTTCTCAGTTCGATACTTAACAGCAACGTCATTATTTAGCATTGTCAGAATTTCTAACTGTGATATAGATATGCCTCTGTCATAGACAAAACTCAATGTCTGTTTTATTGGCACCTATGTGTCTGCCTGCCTGCAAATGACAATATGCAATTACACAACTTCAATCATTGGCCACATGCAATTTGAACTTAACACCTATCAGGCTATACACCATAAACAAAACGCATTGATTTATGGCTCATGCGCCTAAATTCAGTCTGTCACATTATGTAGTTACACAGACAGGCAGGTGTGATACTTGTACACATGGCATGTTATGATGTCTGTTGATTGCAAAATGTTATACACAAAAAAATGAGCATGTATTTACAAAACCCAACATCTCTATATACACACACACAGAGCCCTGAGCGTTTCAGCAAATGAACCAGCCAATGAAAGTCTTCGTTACACTTAAAGTGCACACCCACCCGCTCTGACTGGATTCGGTATCCGGGTGCTTAGTTTCGAGGGTAGTAAACCTAAGTACAAAATATTGCACGTTTTTCCTTATCCTGACTCATGATCTTTTGCTTATCTCCCTTTCCCTTGCGAATGGTAGTGGAACACTTGAATCCTTTGTAGTTCCCGAAGCGGACACATTTAACTGTTTTTGAAGACCGACAATTGTATAATCAAACAAAACAATATCATCTGCAAATAACAATAAAATAATATGTTCAATTTCATCAGACACAAAAATACCACGTGAACAATCAGCATGGATACAACTGGCTAATTCATTAATAAAGAAGATAAATAAAACAGGACTATGGATACATCCCTGGCGAACACCCCTACTGGTACAAAAGCTAGGTGTGACACCAGACATAGTCTTAACACATGAATTCACACCCGTATACATGCTTTTAAGAATATTGAAAAATTTACCATGAAAACCTTTAACAAGTAGTTGATATAATAACTTTTGCCACGATTTATAGTTGCATTTCCTGAATATGTTGTACAATCGTATTTGAATCTCTTACCGTTCATGGCATTATTCTTGTTAAAAACTTCACATTAGTCAACACAATCATTTTGAGTTCTTTGTACTTTCACTATGCCGATAAATATCTTTCATGATTTTTAAAAACCAAAACATAATGCCATAAGCGATTTAAGTACTCGGGATTGTGTTTATCAAAGCACTGCAATCATTACACTCGTTCTGATTGGTTTGTCGTATTTTCGCACATAACAAGTATCGAGACGGGAGAGTTGGTCACGAATGCTTCATCAAGTGAATCATTCACCTGATGAAGGAGTAAGGATATACTCGGAAACGTTGTGTTCCTCATAATAAAGAAGTTGACATCCATAAAAAATCTCTTCTTTACTGTTAATTGTGTTTTGCAACATTAAACACTGATCGACTGGTTTCGTTTTATCATAGACTCTTGTCATAACCCATTTTTTCGAAATATTAGCTCGATACCGTTTTTCACTGACGCTAGACAGAATTGTATGGATTTTTTTATGTCAATCGTTTAGGAGAAACTGGTTAACCATCTTACGTTTACAATGTGTTTTGGGGTGGTGGGGTAGTCTAGTGGTTAAAGCGTTGGCTCGTCACGCCGAACACCCGGGTTCGAATCCCCACATGGGTACAATGAGCGAAGCCCATTTCTGGTGTCCCCCGCCGTGATATTGCTGGAATATTGCTAAAAGCGGTGTAAAACCAAACTCAGTCAGTACAATGTGTTTTACAACTAGTTTACATTACAGAGTATACCCATCAGGTCCCTCACATAGTCCGCCAATGGATGTTACTAAAACAGTTAGCAGTTGCTGCTCACCATGTTTACCGCAGTAGCTTCTGTCGAAGCCGCCTTTGTTGATGGAGGGAATTGCTTCACCATCAGTTCCGTGCCAGAGTTGCGTCTCAGGCACTCCGAGCTGCGTCCTCTTGGCGGCGAACTGCTTGTACAGAGTCTTGTTCTGAATGCGCTCGATCTGAAATCAGAGTGAGTGAGGCAATGAGTATGGTTTTGCACCGTTTCCAGGAATATATTTGTCTTTTGTAACAAACATCCACCGAAAATACCACCTCAACACCAAGCGGTTCATGGAAATATAATGACATCAGTTTTCTGATTTGAAGAATTATATATATAAATAATTCATTGTTAAATCACTCATTCTCAATGTAAGTGCACAATTGCAAATATGTTTTTCGAAAAAATCGAAAGTTGGCATAAGACGTAAGTTGCATGGAGCAGAGGTCACGTATTTGAATACTATGAATTTTTAAGATCCAATTCAAACCTAATTTCTTGTTATCATGGTCCAAAAATTGTAATTTATGATTTTTTTCACATAATTGATAACTGTAGTTTAAACAATTAAATGTGTAAACGTTTAGAATTGTATTCATTTATAATCAAGAATATATATTCATAGACACTTAAAATAAATCACTGTCCTAAACATCGTCCGTAGTAAAATATCTAATAGGGTGGAAGGAGGGTTTATTGTATATTACGTTATGAAACTTGTATTTATCGTTATGAAAAACATTTATGTTCGCGGAAGAAACATTTGGCCTTACACGAGACTGTCTTTTACCATTAACTACTATAAGGTAAAACAGAAATGTGCTCATTAATTATTCACCTTTACAACTTCCATCTTTGATACTGAAAACATGGTATCCACATGGCTGTACTGGGGGTCCTGCTTCTTGAGGGGGACGACCAGAACGTCTTCATCAGGGTTCATGCGTTCCCAGGAGACTGGGGGGTCGAAGTCACTCGCTAGAGCTACAAGACATTGGAGTGAGTGTGGCTTTACGCCGCCTTTAGCAATACTCCACCAATATCACGGCGAGGGACACCAGTAATTGGTTTTACACATTGTACCCATGTGGGGATTTTAACCCGGGTCTTCAGCGTTAGAAACGGATGCTTAAACCACTAAGCTACCCCACCGCCCCCAGTGACATTGGGGAATGCTCGGTTTTAATATTAGTAGGCAAGTTTAAGCTTCATTAATTCATTGTTCTCATACACTGAGAATGTTTGTTTCTATGACTATATTGCATATCAGATTTGATTTAACGAGAGACGAAAGGGATATTTTCACCATGGCAACCATTATATCCATGTGACGAAACCATTCAGAATTCTTTGACATTTGTCAAAACATTTTGGTAGTATTTGAGGACACTAAAAGGTATTTGGCTTAACTTTCACAACTATAAACCAAGTGGTTTGAGACATCTTTAGATTAGAGGGGGTCTCCCAAGCTAAAGGGCCTACTCAGAAATCAAAGTAGGTATTGTGCACTTTAAGAATTGCTGCGTGGTCTATAAGATAAAGAAATCAAAACATACTACCAGTGAAAAAACATTAACGAAACATTTCATGGACTTATCAGCAACTACAATTCTTGTTGATTGTATAACAATTGCGTAGATCGATGTTCATGCTGTTGATCACTGGATTGTCTGGTCGATTATTTACAGACCGCCACAATATAGCTTGAATATTACTGAGTGCCGCGTTAAACGACAAACAAACATTTTATTGTTTAGTCTTTAATTTGTCCAAATATATGACAAAATCAAAATGATATCCCATCTGACCTACTTTTAATAACACTCTCTCTGCTGACAACAACTGAGGTGTTGTCCTTGTTCCCTTCTCTGTACTCCACCATGTCGTTAAAGTCGATGACGTATCTGTCGCCGTCCTCAGTTGTTAGTTTACATAGGGGCTCCACAGCTTTGTTCCGGAACGCTAGCTCTATGTCCTTATTGAGATCGGAATCGTATTTCTCCTTTACCTGTTCCCCGTTCTCTAGGATGTCAATATAATACCACTGCATGGCCTTAGCCTCGATTTGGGACGCTTGGAGCTCATTACATATTTCGTACACGCGCTTCATCATGTTGAAAACATCTTCCGCGAACCCCTGAATCAGTTAAATATAACAGAAATTTGAATGGAAAAACATTATCTCATAAATATACTGTATATCGGTGAGTGAGTTAGTGAGTGAATTACTGAATGAAAGAATGAATAAATGAAACAAATTAATCAGTAAGTAGTAACGTATCTGTTTGCAACAGAGTAATCTCGTAGTTTTCAGCACCAATGGCACGGCAGAAAGTTGATCAGGTAATTAGCTCAGGTTTCCACTCTAACCTGCAATGAAACCCTCGGACCAGATTCCAGCAAGACAAAGCCCTGCCACAGACAGCGTGAGTCACCATGGACTTTCTTATCGCTAGCAATGTAAACATTCTTCCATTACCAACCCCAAAATTAAAAAAACAACAACAACAACGAAAATTAAAAATAGACACTTGAATTGGTGTCGTTATTAGTTCATCAAAGTGTGAAAGTACCACAGAAATTTTTCGACATGTAGGCTACCTTCACTGTTACAACTCCATGGTTGCGGTCCACAGAGATGCCTACGCTGTGTGTCTTTGCATGATCATACAGACTTCTCAGCTGAAATGATACAAATGAGTGATAAAGTAAAAGTGGCGTTTGCTTTAACTCTGCTTTGAAAAGTATCTTAGTTACCGACTAAATATTAAAGGAAGTGTCCCAACTGACGCAGGTCGAAGGCCTGTGTATGGAACCTCAAACACGGCTTTGATATTAACTAAGGCTCGCCAAGAATCAAAAGCTAAACAAGAGGCTAATATATCAACAATATACAACAGATCCTGGCGTATTTAAGGGACGCAACTCCTTCAGCGAGTTGTAGCGCATTAAACCGAGGCAACCCATTCACAAATGTTTTGGTATTCAGGATTAATGGATTGCCCAAATGAGTGTTGAAAACGTTACAGTTTTCCGACCATTGTAACCTTAACGCCTATCAACAAGGTGGCATAAAAGTGTCGATACTTGCCAAATAATACATTCAGGTAAAGGTATTTGACGAGGATTCAACATATCGTGACCTCTTACCTAATATGAAGAATAATATGTGTATGCACGCATGTTTGTGCGTGTGAGTGTGCTGGTTAATGTGGGAATGTTTTCCCACCAATCTTCTAAACAGCTTTGTATTGGTTGATTGACAACCTTGGCAAGCTCATGCCCTTAAGCCGGAAGTGGTATAAACAACGTAACTATTATATATTTCAAAGGTTGAGTGAGTGAGTGGGGTTTTATGCCCCTTTCAGCAATATTCCAGCAATATCAAGGTAGGAACACGATAAATGGACTTCACACATTGCACCCATGAGGGGAATCGAACTCAGGCTTTCAGCGTCACAAGCGAACGCTTTAACCACTAGGCTACTCCACCGCCCCTTCAATGAAACCTGGGTACCGATCCACAAAGCGTATGATCTGTCTTAACTCTGTTGTCTTAGCCCTGAAAACGATTTGTGGATGGGGACCCTGGTTTATGAGGCCTTCAAAACTAGTGTGCTTATTTATCTGAACGCGCGTGCGTGACAAAGTCTTTACTATCAAGGTAAACACTTTATCAACTTTACCACCAAGGTAAACACCATACCAACTTTACAATCAAGGTAAACACCTTATCAACTTTACAATCAGGGTAATGACCTTATCAACTGTCAAGTGCATCAAACATGTTTTGGTGAAAGATTCTTGCTTTATCCCAGGAGTCGACATCAGCTCCACAATGGCTTTGTCAAGGTTCTGTGCACTGTCGGAGGAAATTGTAACCTCATATGTAGATGTTTCATGATCCTTGGTCCCCTGCCGTCCCAAAGGTTGTACGTCGTCCTCTCTCGTAGCTGAACACGCTGGACAAATTAAAATGCAGATTAATACCACCAAACATTTAACATGTCAGCTTCCCGTTGCCCAGATCAACGTGAGTAGATCAGGATCTAGACTAACGCTTAGTCACCGAATATATATAATTTTGGCAGTAACAAATAAACCCTTTTAAATTGAAAAGGAGCCCTAGATAGTAGGGAGATTCAGGGAAATCGAGACTTGCTTCATTTAGGACTTTAGCGCTGCAGGGAGGGCTAGGCAGTAGGGAAAGTAATGTGCTAAAGGGGCTGTGAGACAGACTAATCGGGATCCCGATCGATAAAGCATTCGTAATGTTACGAGCTATCGCAACTATATAGTTTCGCAGAGGATTACAAATGACGTAGTGCTACGAAAGCTTTGTGTATCCGGCCCCTAATCTACTGACGTTCTGGGTAAGGGGAAGTGTTCTTGGTTCAGCCTTAGTGATGAAGCACCACACAGTGGTATTTCCATCCCGACTGGTAGCGTCATGTGTAAAACGCTGCATTAAAGGGTATCAATACAGACTTGTGTATGGCTGCATCCGCGTTGCGTCATCTGTTGAGTCATTTTCCTTTATCCGACCATGGTTGTATATAACATTGCTTTTTTCTCTATATCTAAACTGCTGAGAGTTGCAATGGACCTGCATGGCACACGGACGTCAATCCATGCTAACAAAGAGTCAAGGTCAGACAGGCAACCACCCGATCCACCAATCAGCGGACTCCTACAAGCAAACGCCTGACGTGAACTAACATCTGCACGGAATCCGTACAAAGAAATGTCTATAGCAGTGACAGAACCAAGGATCTATGTTTGCTGTTTAACACCGCACTCAACGTTATACCAGCTATCTGTAAATAATCCAGTGTTGACCAGACAATCCAGAGATCAACATCATAAGCATCGATCTACGCAGTTGGGATACAATGACATGTGTCAACCAAACCAGCAAGACTGACCACCCGATCCCGTTAGTCGCCTCTTAGGACAAGCATGGGTTGCTCAGTCTAACCCGGATCTTCCGGTTGTGTAATTTTTGAGGTTGACTGCACAAACCATGGTTGTTGAAGAGGCTGACCAGACTGTTGTAGAGATCATGATCCTGAAAGATGACCATCCGGACTTCACGTAGATGCCGCAGGCCGGAGTGTTTGGTCAGCGAACTAAAGACGTGCTCCGCTAGCTTTTTCTTTGATATACCACGCCTGCGCCCTGCAACATCAAACACATATCCTCCCTCAACTGGGAAACTGTAGTGCCAAACATTAAATACCATATGACACGAGAGGTCAAGTCGACCAATGCATCGTATTTTTCAAATAGATTAACTCAGCTCATCCTTTTGTGTGAAAAGCAAACCGCCTCAGCCTCATCTGCTTGATAAAAATATCTCGGCCTGGGTAAAATATCTTGAGTTTGATTTGGCTACCCTGATGTTTATCTTAATAAAGTATTTCGTGAGCAAAGCCAGAATCTTTGTCATCGAGACATCAGTATCAAAGACAGTGTATGTAACATATATTGTGTCGTTCAATGTTTTCATATCAAGAGGTCGTATCATGTAAGTTACTGTCTTCCTGCACAACCTTGGACGACTGCTCGTGTCCTGTGATATGACTGAAACACCTATGGAGTGGAATGCCAATTACTGGAGCAACATTTACCCTTACTTGGGCAAATAGAAACACGCACGCACACACATACACACATTTCTCTCTCTCGTATTATTGGAACTGTCTAAATGTAAACTACACCCTGTTCACTTGTGGTTTTGTTGTCACACAGAGACTCATCCACATGCATAAGTTCAAGAGAGAGAGAGAGAGACGTATCCCAATTGTAATACAATCTGTACACAGCAAATATTACATGCAGTACAGATATCATATTATCCTTCTCTCAAAGAGACAGAGAGAGCTATGAGCACATACAAATAATTTTACAATATAGATTTAGATAAATGTTAGATATTAGAAACGAGAGAGACATTCGGATGATGACAAATGTGACATGCTGTGACATACCTTGGTCAAGAGCTGGCAGCGCCAGAGATGTATAATTCAGCTCTTCTGCCGTTGTCAATAACGCTGGCAACACCTCGCTAATGCCGTTGAAGAAACGAGGGTCATAGTGCAGCACTGCCTTGAAACATGCGCCCGACACACTTGTGACAGCAACCCCGGTGTCGACGATGTCGCCAACTGCGACAATGGACAGGTATAAGCGGTATCAGCAACTATACTCGTATGTACCATCGAAAAAGGAAACCTGACAGTCATCGTTATAGGACAAATACGGTAACATATCCCGACCGTGCAATTATATTTCTCCAGTGGTTGACACTGGCATCTGGGCCTACCAAAGTAATTTTATGCCAAGGAAACAGAAAGACGAAATAAAGTGGACATAAAACTTTAATATGCATTATTGTATGGATAGATGTAAATTTGAAAGTGTAACAATTTAAATATTGTTACAGTACTCTTTCATCTCTTTGGCCAAACTATACCAACGTATATATTATCGGTCCTTAAAGAAAATAGACCGATATAGATATGATTGGTTCGTTTGTTGGTTAACGGTGCACTCAGCAATATTCCAGTTATATGGTGGCGTTCTCTAAATAATCTTATCTGGACCAGACAATCTAGTGATCAACAGCATGAGCATCGATCTACGCAACTGGGATTCGATGACATGTGTCAACATAGTCAGCGAGCTTGACCACCCGATCCCGTTAGTCGCCTCTAACGACAAGCATGGGTTACTTAGTAGATAATCCTATTGTGTTTACATTTTGGAAGTGATTATAGTAAATGTAAAGTAAAGTAATTTATACGTAAAATGTAAACACAATAGGATTATCTCCATTCTCCATCCCATCCATGACATATGCACCATGAATAAAACGCGTTTTAAACATGCACTCATTACCCTTGCGTAGTGTTGTTTACCTTTGTAAGGGTTAATGAGTGCAAAATATTCCTACGCGCAGTGAACCGGCTCTCAGAAGAGGTTATTGAAACTTTTTCACTTCTAATTTTTTAGTAACAGCCAATCACAAACGAACATACTTAAATGTCATGGTAGAATGAAGACCAATTCTGTGACACAACCACATAACTGTAACCTTATTCTTATGATGGGTAGCACGAACAGTACTCCTTTAATGGCTAACGTTCTACCAGATTCTGATACTGGCAAAAAGAACCATTGTACATGTTAGAAAAGTATATTATTGTTTTATTAAGCTTTATATAACTGCACCTTTTTCTCTACACTGTTTCTCCAGGTCTTTTCCAAACGTCTTTCGCAGATTGTTTGACAACACTCCTACAAAAAATATAAAGCACGAACTATTAGACGCGTAGAGAGGTCTCAAGAATGTAGAATGTCTGTATTGCTTGCAGAAATTGAAAACCTCCATATTCCCATAACCTCCTTCAAATTAGTGATTGGATGAGTATTGTTTTATGGCGCTTTTAGCATTACTCCAGCAATATCACGGCGGTGGACACCATAAATGGGCTTCACACATTGCGCTCGTGTGGGGAATCGAAACTGGGTCTTCGGCGAGACGAGCGGACGCTTTAACCACTGAGCTACCCCACCGCTCCACGCCTTCAAATCAAACACCAACACATTGTGTGCAATAAATCAATAAATGAACCACCAAACCTCCCAAATATTTGTTCGCGTGCAAATGTATTCTTTGAGATTTGAAGCCGCTTTCTAAAACACTTGTTGAATGCAAAAGCTCACCCTCAAAATCTCAAATTTAAAGCCCTTGTGCTATTTAAATATAAGAAATGAATATTTGCTGTTGAACGCCGCACTTAAGTATCTTACAGCTATATGACGGCAGTCTGTACATATTCTAATCTGCAAATGTTCTCGGGATTTTTCTCATGTGTAAGAATATGACATAGCGTGACCTTTATCCCTGAAAGATATGAACAAACCTGTCCCAGTGGCATGCATGACCTCGAGATAACGGAAATACCAGTCAGTTATCAATCGCAACCCCATCCGGATTAGGAAGTGAGCAGTGAAGCGAATTTGTACACAGTCCAAATCTACATGCTACCTGTTACCTTGAAATTAATGTCAAGATCACAATAATTCTGTGGGATCTGCACATCCTCCTATATTACCCTTCCACGATGTAGAGTATAGGTGATGTTTGTTTCTTGTTGTTTAACGCCGCACTCAGCAATATTCCAGCTCTATAGTGGCTGTCTGTAAATAATCGAGTCTGGACCAGACAATACAGTGATCTACATTTGGGATACGATGACAGGTGTCAACCAATTTTGCACACCTGACCACCTGATCCCGTCAGTCGCCTCTTACCACAAACATGAGTTGTTGAAGACCAATTATGACACGGATCTTCACAGGTGCAATTAAAGTGACGAAAGTGACGAAACACTCTCACGATCGTAAGAAATCTCCGTTAAAGGGATCTGGGGGTAATCGAGTGAGTGAATATGACACAACACATTGTACCCATGTGGAGTCGAACCCGGGTCTTCAGCTTGAGCAGAGAACGCTTTAACCACTAGGCAACCCCACAGTCCCATTTATGGATAAAATCAAACAAAACGAAGATCACACTTTGAACAATAAGAGTGTACCACTCGAGAGGTCCAGTTTGCTGTTACTTCCGTTGACAATGAGACCCACTCTCTGCTGCAAGATATCACCTTCAACCACCGTGAAACGAACGTTCCCGAAAAACACGCCTCTTGCCACATCATCATCAGGTTCTGTCAACATGCAAAGAATCAGTTGAGTGACTGTTACCGTACGTGATATACAGAGTGAGTGAGTGAGTGAGTGTGTTACCGTACATGATATACAGAGTGAGTGAGTCTTGACGCCGCTTTTAGCAATATTCCAGCAATATGACGGGCAGGGGACACTAGAAATGGGCTTCACACATTGTACACATATTGGGAATAGAACCTGGGTATTCGGCGTGACAAGCGAACGCTTTTACCACTGGGCTACTGCACCGCCCCATCTCATAGTGTTATAGCGAAACATATGGCATATATTCTATTTTTGAAGTTGCATTTCATGCGTTATATTTCGGATATTGCAATTAAGGCCTTCCACTGAACATTATCCACATCTAGATCAGAATTGTCATTTTGGGGGGTTGATCTATGTTGGTACAGATAGACCTTAGGGCCATACTGTAATGACATGGGTGTGTGTATATTTGGTACAGATAGTCCTTTGGGCCATACTGAAATGACATGGGCGTGTATATATGTTGGTACAGATAGACCTTTGGGCCATACTGCATAGACATGGGTGTGTATATATTGGTACAGATAGACCTTTGGGCCATAATGTATCCACATGGGCGTGTATATGTTGGTACAGATAGTCCTTTGGGCCATAATGTATCGACATGGGCGGTATATGTTGGTACAGATAGACCTTTGGGCCATAATGTAATGACATGGGCGTGTATATGTATGTACAGATAGACCTTTGGGCCATACTGTAATGACATGGGCGTGTATATGTTGGTACAGATAGCCCTTTGGGCCATACTGTAATGACAAGGGCGTGTATATGTTGGTAAGATAGACCTTAGGGCCGTACTGTATCGACATCGGCGTGTATATGTTGGTACAGATAGACCTTTGGGCCATAATGTAATGACATGGGCGTGTATATGTTGGTACAGATAGACCTTTGGGCAATAATGTATCGACATGTGCGTGTATATGTCGGTACAGATTGGCCTTTTGGACATACTGTAATGACATCGGCGTGTACATGTCGGAGCAGATAGACCTCTGGGCCATACTGAATCGACATGGGCGTGTATATGTTGGTACAGATAGACCTTTTGGCCATACTGTAATGACATGGGCGTGTATATGTTGGTACAGATAGACCTTTGGGCAATACTGAATCGACATGGGCGTGTATATGTTGGTACAGATAGACCTTTGGGCCATACAGTAATGACATGGGCGTGTATATGTTGGTACAGATAGACCTTTGGGCCATACAGTAATGACATGGGCGTGTATATGTTGGTACAGATAGACCTTTGGGCCATACAGTAATGACATGGGCGTGTATTATTATGTTTGAACAAATAGACCTTTGGGCCATACAGTAATGACATGGGCGTGTATATGTTGGTACAAATAGACCTTTGGGCCATACTGTATTGACATGGGTGGGTATATGTTGGTACAGATATACTTTGGGCCATACTGTATCGACATGGGCGGGTATATGTATGTACAGATAGACCTTTGGGCCATACTGTAATGACATTGGCGAGTATATCTTGGTACAGATAAACTTTGGGCCATACTGTAATGACATGGGCGTGTATATCTTGGTACAGATATACTTTGGGCCATACAGTAATGACATGGGCGGGTATATGTTGGTACAGATAGACCTTTGGGCCATACTGTATTGACATGGGCGTGTATGTGTTGGTAAAGATGTACTTTGGGCCATACTCTAATGACATGGGCGTGTAATGGTACAGATAGACCTTTGGGCGATACAGTAATGACATGGGCGTGTATTATTATGTTTGTACAAATAGACCTTTGGGCCACACTGTAATGACATGGGCGTGTATATGCTGGTACAGATAGACCTTTGGGCCATACAGTAATGACATGGGCGGGTATATATTATGTTGGTACAAATAAATACTGTATCGACATGGGCGTTTATGTTGGTACAGATATACTTTGGGCCATACTGTAATGACATGGGCGTGTATATGTACAGATAGACCTATGACATGGGCGTGTATATGTTGGTACAGATATATACTTTGGGCCATACTGTAATGACATGGGCGTATATGTTGGTACAGATATACTTTTGGGCCATACTGTATCGACATGGGCGTGTATATGTTGGTACAGATATACTTTGGGCCATACTGTAATGACATGGGCGTGTATATGCTGGTACAAATAGACCTTTGGGCCATACTGTATTGACATGGACGTTTGGGCCATATGTTGGTACAGATATACAGATACTTTGGGCCATACTGTAATGACATGGGCGTAATGACATGGGCGTGTATATGCTGGTACAAATAGACCTTTGGGCCATACTGTATCGACATGGGCGTGCATATCTTGGTACAGATAAACTTTGGGCCATACTGTAATGACATGGGCGGGTATATGTTGGTACAGATATACTTTGGGCCATACTGTATTGACATGGGCGGGTATATGTTGGTACAGATAAACTTTGGGCCATACTGTATCGACATGGGCAGGTATATCTTGGTACAGATATACTTTGGGCCATACTGTAATGACATGGGCGTGTATATGTTGGTACAGATAAACTTTGGGCCATACTGTATCGACATGGGCGGTATATGTTGGTACGGATAGACCTTTGGGCCATACTGTATTGACATGGGCGGGTATATGTTGGTACAGATATACTTTGGGTCATACTGTATCGACATGGGCGGTATATGTTGGTACAGATAGACCTTTGGGCCATACTGTATTGACATGGGCGGGTTTATGTTGGTACAGATAGACCTTTGGGCCATACTGTATTGACATGGGCGGGTATATGTTGGTACAGATATACTTTGGGCCATACTGTATCGACATGGGCGGTATATGTTGGTTCAGTTAGAACTTTGGGGCATACTGTAATGAAATGGGCGGGTATATGTTGGTACAGATAGAACTTTGGGCCATACTGTATTGACATGGGCGGGTATATGTTGGTACAGATAAACTTTGGGCCATACTGTATTGACATGGGCGTGTATATGTTGGTACAGATATACTTTGGGCCATACTGTAATGACATGGGCGGGTATATGTTGGTACAGATATACTTTGGGCCATACTGTATATGACATGGGCGGGTATATGTTGGTACAGATATAACTTTGGGCCATACTGTAATGACATGGGCGTGTATATGTTGGTACAGATAAACTTTGGGCCATACTGTAATGACATGGGCGTGTATATGTTGGTACAGATATACTTTGGGCCATACTGTAATGACATGGGCGTGTATATGTTGGTACAGATAAACTTTGGGCCATACTGTAATGACATGGGCGTGTATATGTTGGTACAGATAAACTTTGGGCCATACTGTATCGCCAACGCCCAAGCCAACGCCTAAACCTAAGGGCAAGGATGGCAAAAAGAATGAAACTCGCAGATACCAAGACGAGGAATGGATTTCTATGGGTCTTATTGGGGTTTGGGCTAATTCTGAAGGGTATTGTTTAAGACTCATGTTGCACCTGTTTCGCCTTGGACACTCAGTGTGCGACCGATTCTCTTGACGGGTTTTCCGTAACATGCCTCATGTTCTTCTTTAAAAGCCTGTCGTCAAATAGAATCTGTTGTTTACACACTCTCCAGAAAATGTTGACGCTTACATTAAAAGGGAACACTACAAAGTGTGTCATGTCTTTAACAATATACAAAAACTCCAGAAATAAAAAGATTCAAGATTCACAGCAAATGAAAACTTTTGTTGAAATCCTTTCAAAGCTCTTCCTTCAAATCACTCAGACTGATCCGATTGTTTTATGGGACTCAAAGACAATAATGCGCTGGAGTAAATAGGGCATTTGAGAAAGATTAATCAAGATTCAACATTGAACATTGTAATATAGACTGTCTCTTTGAACCAAAGACCAATACCTTGTCTACATCTTGTTGTCCATGATAAATCACGACTGTGACGGACTTCAGCGTTGTTGTTGGATTTTCTTTCCAAAACTCGTTCACAGTCTCGTATATTGTTCTGGCCGTCGTGTTCTTGTCATAATTTAGGTTGCCTGCTCCAAGAGCGGGGAAGAGAAGACGAGCGTATTTACTCTTTGATGCTTCCTCCAAACATTCCGTGACAGTTAATTTTAATTTCTGAAAAATAAACAGTAAATTCCTGAAAGAATGTTCCATTAGACATGCGGAAGATATTCCAAGGCTAAATGATGGTCGCTGTAATTCCTTACTCACACCTGTGCCATACGTTTCCGTATTTGGTCGTTTACCACCCTTGAAGATCTGGGGTAGAATAGGTCTTAAGCAACCCATGCTTGCCACAAAAGGCGACTATGCTTGTCGTAAGAGGCGACTAACGGGATCGGGTGGTCTGGCTCGCTGACTTGGTTGACACATGTCATCGATTCCCAATTGCATAGATCGATGCTCATGCTGTTGATCACTGGATTGTCTGGTCCAGACTCGATTATTTACAGACCGCCGCCATATAACTGGAATATTGCTGAGTGCGGCGTAAAACTAAACTCACTCACTTGTTCGTTTACCATTCCGTTGCATATGTGCCGCTCCTTTCATAAAATCGGGGAAGGTTTTTCCGCTATATTTTAGGTTGAAGGATATGTAGCTTCCCTGCGTTCTTCTCCTTCACTAGGTCAAGTTAGCCACGAGACGGTTGCAATTCATTTCAGTCAGACGATTAATATTTGTTATCATATCCCTATCAATAATACGGACCATTTTGCTCATACAATACTGGCTGTCAGTACGGACCGATAATGCATATCAGCCATATCAGCCCCAGGGCCGAAAATCCATTACAGCCGTATTGCCCGGCTACTAAATACACGCAAACGCTCGAAACTTCAATAGACGGAGCCTAGCATATTTTAGAGTTACGTCCTTTGATGTGGTATATGATAAAAAGGTTACGATATGACAGTTTCATTTCGCCAGTCGTATCAGGCCTCGACAACCATATCAGCCCGAGTTTATTACAGGCGACAGGAAAACTGTCATGTAATAACCTCTAATACTACCACACTTCAACAACTTTGGATATTGCCGTTGATTGGAAAACACCTGGATCACACCTGGCTATTCTGAATCCTGTCGACACATTTCGGCCAAAAACCGGTAGGAATTAGTACAGGTTTAAACTGATTTTTTTATCCGACACAGGAACTGATAAGTAGAACGATAATAACAATCCTTTAAAAATGAAATCATCAAGAAAACCAAGATGTTTGTTAGGCCGTAACCTATAAACTCTCATCGTGAATATTCTTCTTCTGTAGTGTATTAGGCACCTAAATGTTAGAAAGGTATTCAATTTTCCATCGTTCGATATGGGTATTTATTGTTCCCAGGTTGAGAAAAAACAGTTTCGATTATCAGATGAGATAGTTTCAACTGGGAGTACACGGAGAAATAACCTTGAAAACACTATGAATAGGTCACTAAGAATCTCTGATGACACCAGGTGTTCGCGAAGGTTAAGCATGTAGTGCCTGTCGGTAGCACCACAATTTGCATAAATATATATACGTTTATTTTGCTGCCTGATAATAAAGCTACAGTCTACACATTCCTTATACGACGGCTAGACGACAGAGTGACCAGACATCATGGAGTGAGCGTGAGTGAATTTAGCTTTATGCCGCTTTTAGTAATAATCAAGCACTATCAATGCGGGTGACACCAGAAATAGGTTTCCCACATTTTACCAATTTGGGAGAATCGAGGGGTCTTGGGCGTGACGAGCGAACGCTTTGACCATTAGGCTATCCCACCGCTGCACGGGGTGCCGTTGTACAAAACAACCTTATAGCTAGGTGAGTGAGTTGGGTTCTACGCCACTTTTAGCAATATTCCAGCAATATCATGGCGGGGGACACCGGAAATGGGCTTCACACATTGTACCCATGTGGGGAATCGAACCCTGGCTTTCGGCGTGACGAGCCAACGCTTTAACCACTAGGCTATCCCACCGCATCCTTAGCGCTAAGACTACCCTAAGTCTTTCATAAGCTTTTGGAGTTACGGTCACCTTAGATCGCTTTGTACAAGGGCACCAAGTCACCCTGGAGGCTATGCTTGTATCATAATTGACTTAAACGGATCAGGAGTTTAGACAATGTGGTTTGGCTGACAGGCTGTTATCATCGTACACCAGACGCTAATACATAGAAAGGTTTCTAGCTCACGTTTATTACGTCGCTTGTATTCCAGTTTGGAAGAGACACGTGGTAGATCTGTGCACACTGGAGCTTGTACCCCTTAGTGATGATAAGAGTCTGGTCCTGGAACCCTTTACTATAGCGTTTCTTTAGTTTCTTCTCCAGTTTGCTCCCTGCTCCCTGTAGAATACTTGAGGAAACAGCGCCGGCCTTCAAATTCAACTCTGAGTTGGTCGAGTTAACGATCACATCAGCCTAGCAGAATGAAAACCATCTCAGATATATTCCGATTCATTGTGATTAAAAGCTATAATGCTTCTGAATCATACATATCATGTTAGCAAAATCAATTGTTCTAGATGCCACTCTGTTGAGCCTAATACATCAATTATATTATTGTTCTGAGGATTAATAACATGGGTTGGTGGTTCATGGTCGTGCCTCGGGTTCAAAGTCACACACATGGCGAAGATGGTATTATCTATCAAGGGGCCTACCCAGGAAGGAAATGAAGTGTAGGCACACCTGGACGTACGAGTCTGTAGATCTGTAGACTAGTGCTGGTTATAATGGCTGAAGCCAACTGTTGCATGTAATGTTGGGAATACATATTGATCGCCAGAATGCTAGCTTCTGATTACTTTATATATAAACATAATTTGAACAAGTGACAATATTGCCATTTCGATGTAAGGAAATCTTTTTTTCCTGATAACCAAACAATTTCCATAATTGACCGGATCTAAATATGGTGGTGCATGGGACTCTGGAACGGATACGTTCTTTTCCTCTGGCTGAGGAGCAAGCTCATTCGTATCATCTTTCACGGATGACATCTTAAAATACTTGTCAGTTGTTTTTGATGTGCTAGACACCATGTTGGCATCAAAGTAGCATAAGAGTTATCCACCTTTCATAGAAACGGAGACGTTGAAGATGAAAAAAGTATAAGGTAATAGTCTACTAATAGAATATATTTTGAAACTGATAAAACCTTTGGAAAAATATAATAATTCTAGCTCTGTTATATGAGCTTCGTTACATCTCTCTTGTGAATTGTCTATATGCATGTACCTGTCGTGACTGCTCTCGAAAAATAACATATCCATAACATTCCACATGTAAAAAATATGCTGAAATAGTTAGGTGTAGGCATGTGCCTAATGGCAGGTACGCTAATGCTAGTTTAGAAATTGAACCCCATACCTGGTAACGGGAGGAAAAGAGGCAGACCCTAATTCAACAATGCCAGTATGGGGTGTGATCTCCATTTGTGTAGAGGCTGATTTACAGTATGTCGTGGTATTGCGTAAGCGTTATTTACGGCCAAATGACAATGCTTATTTGAGAACCATAATCAATTAAAATATGCCTCCTGTTTAAAAAACAGCATGTTTAGATAGCATGCATTACTAAATTTCAAACTGAATTATTTTTGCTGAAAACCCCAAAGTTACCTGTTTTCGACAGTATGCAAATAATTAGGTAACGATTGATATACATGATAACTATGAATATGACGAGTCTGGGGGACTTGAATCAAACTTTGCTCGAACTGCCAATTGAGATGAGCCTAGAATACATGTATGGTCCCTAAAATCAAATCAAGGGAAACGGGTATTGTTGGGTATTTCAAAGTACATGTGGTCTTGAAAATATGCATTTATTACCTTTAACTCGGCGATTGAACCTGTGACGAGCTCGACCTTCCTTGGAGATGGCTTCCTGACTAAAAGAGTAATATGATTTGTTCATAGTATATGGGTAATGTGAAACCCGAAACCCGAAAAACTCGGCATTTACTACAAATGTATACTTAGAAGATAAGGCTACTCTGTTTTCAATTTAACGCGCGTGAGGTTTTAAATTAAACATTTAGCGGTCTTAAATCAACGATAAAGGACCGCAAAATTGAAAACAGAGTAGATTTATCTTCCTCCTAGCGCGACTGATAAGCGTTTTAAAACCGAACTGTTTGGCGCGCAAGAACACAAGGCGCGAAGAGGCCTTTTTCCTGGAAATCGCTTGGAATCGTCCCGTTGTGGGACAGGATGTGTAATGAACAAAATAAGACATTTCAACAACATAATTGCTTTATTTCAGGAACCAGTATGCTTGTATTTGTAACAAGTACCATACATAAAAAAAAATACAGTTTATACTGTGAGCAAGTACAATTGTTTGATTTTTCTCAAGCGAATTATTGATCTCCCCTACTGTATGACAATCGACTCGCCCAAATTCAAGCCGTGAACTCGGTAAGTTTAGTCGCCGCTAACTTTATTCACGGAAATAATTGTTGATAACCACCCTTCTATTCCCAATTTGGAAAAGACCTGACATGCCACGTTTTATGTGGGATACATGGACAGTGGAAGTGGAAGAACTGGGCATTACGGCCGGGACGGAAGCGGTCAGGTTAGGACGAGTCAACACACGTAGATCTGAACCCGGTTTGAATATACTGTCGCTTTTGAGCTGCTGACGGATTTTCCAGCTTCGTAGTTTCTTCGCTTGGTAGCCTATGGATTAGGGTCAAGAAATTCTTCTTCAAACCATTCGCTTTTTACTTCAAAAACACCAAAGATGCTGCCGAGATAGAAATTGCCGATGTCCGACATGTTTATCTATAAACAACTGGGTCAACGAGTTCGTTGTATTCATACGCGGTGAATCGGTCACTTTAATTAGCGGTCTTAAACTGCCATTTAAATACACATAATGTCGTGCTGGAATGGAGCATTATGACAGCATGCTATTGGACACTAATGTGCCCTGTCAATATACTGTCTGACATCTGTGTATTGTCAATATGTTATCTCACACTTGTGTGTACTGTCAATATGTTATCCGATACATGTGTGTACTGTCAATGTGTTATCTGACAAGTGTGTGTACTGTCAATGTTATCCGATTTTTGTGTGTACTGACAATGTGTTATCTGACAAGTGTGTGTACTGTCAATATGTTATCCGGTACTTGTGTGTACTATCAGTGTGTTATCTGACACTTGTGTGTGCGGTCAGTATGTTGTCTGACACTTGAGTGTACTGTCAATATGTTATCTGACACTTGTGTGTGCTGTCAATATATTATCTGATACTTGTGTGTGCTGTCAATATATTATCTGACACTTGTGTGTGCTGTCAAAATGTTATCTGACACTTGTGTTTGCTCTTAAAATGTTATCTGACACTTGTGTGTACTGTCAATATGTTATCCGGTACTTGTGTGTACTGTCAGTGTGTTATCTGACACTTGTGTGTGCTGTCAGTATGTTGTCTGACACTTGAGTGTACTGTCAATATGTTATCTGACACTTGTGTGTGCTGTCAATATATTATCTGACACTTGTGTGTGCTGTCAAAATGTTATCTGACACTTGTGTTTGCTTTCAATATGTTATCTGACACTTGTGTGTACTGTCAATATGTTATCTGACGCTTGTGTGTACTGTCAATATGTTATCTGACACTTGTGTGTACTGACAATGTGTTATCTGACAAGTGTGTGTACTGTCAATATGTTATCTGATACGTGTGTGTACTGCCAATATATTATATGACACGTGTGTGTGCTGTCAAAATGTTATCTGACACTTGTGTTTGCTTTCAATATGTTATCTGAGACTTGTGTGTGCTGTCAATATGTTATCTGACACTTGTGTGTGCTGTCAATATATTATCTGACACTTGTGTGTGCTGTCAATATGTTATCTGATACTTGTGTGTGCTGTCAATATGTTATCTGATACTTGTGTGTGCTGTCAATATGCCATCTGACACTTGTGTGTGTTGTCAATATGCTATCTGACATCATGTGTGCTGTCAATATGTCATTGGACACTTCTGTACTGCAAATCTGTTATCTGTCACTTATGTCTACTGCCAATATGTTATGTCACATCTATATAAACTGTCAATATGTTATCTGACATAGATGAGTTGTGGTGCTTTGTTATCTGATACACGTGAAACATGACACTATGTTATTCGATACTAATACATCATGATAATGTGTTATTTCATACTAATACATAGTGAAAATATATTAGTTGATACTGGTGCATAATGGAAACACAGTGTTAGATACTGGTGTATAATATCAACATGTTTTTTATACTGGTGTAAGGTATCAACATGTTATTTGATACTGGCGTACAGTATCTACATGTTATTTGATACTGGTGTAAAGTATCTACATGTTATTTGATACTGGTGTCAAGTATCTACATGTTATTTGATACCGGTGTAAAGTATCTACATGTTATTTGATACTGGTGTAAAGTATCTACATGTTATTTGGTACTGGTGTAAAGTATCTACATGTTATTTGATACTGGTGTCAAGTATCAAGTATCTGATACATGTTATTTGTTATTTGATACTGGTGTAAAGTATCTACATGTTATTTGATACTGGTGTAAAGTATCTACATGTTATTTGATACTGGTGTCAAGTATCAACATGTTATTTGATACTGGTGTAAAGTATCTACATGTTATTTGATACTGGTGTAAAGTATCTACATGTTATTTGATACTGGTGTCAAGTATCAACATGTTATTTGATACTGGTGTAAAGTATCTACATGTTATTTGATACTGGTGTAAAGTATCTACATGTTATTTGATACTGGTGTAAAGTATCTACATGTTATTTGATACTGGTGTCAAGTATCAACATGTTATTTGATACTGGTGTAAAGTATCTACATGTTATTTGGTACTGGTGTAAAGTATCTACATGTTATTTGATACTGGTGTCAAGTATCTACATGTTATTTGATACTGGTGTAAAGTATCTACATGTTATTTGATACTGGTGTACAGTATATACATGTTATTTGATACTGGTGTACAGTATCAACATGTTATTTGATACTGGTGTACAGTATCAACATGTTATGTGATACTGGTGTAAAGTATCTACATGTTATTTGATACTGGTGTAAAGTATCTACATGTTATTTGATACTGGTGTACAGTATCAACATGTTATTTGATACTGGTGTAAAGTATCTACATGTTATTTGATAATGGTGCATACAGCGTCTGCTTAATTTGGGCAAAACTCAAAAGATTCCGGGAAGCACAGATCAGATCACAAATTAGTCAATTCATCAAAGAATTACTTTACAGGGTTTTTTTCTAGTATCTAATCAAATATTTGGAAACGTTTTAAGATGTTACACACAATTATAAAACGACACAAAATTTACCAAACAATCATAATCAGGGCTAGTCTGCGATTTGAACTCACTATCTGTGGATCTTTCAGGCACTTACTATGGGACAGGTCATTGTATTTGAGTTGGTACAGGAGGATTAAAACATGTATTGTTTCCTGATAGTGCAGAACAGTCGTGATCGCCCTCTGGATATTCAATGGTCAATGCCTCTAAACTCACCCGACGCAAGTCGAGACCGGAAGTTGTCTTCGCTCTCTTCATGTGGGATCTGTAAAGTAGATGGTGAGTGAGTGAGTGAGTGAGTGAGTGAGTGAGTGAGTGAAATTTATAACTATCCATATTAGTAATGCCATGACCCTGTAACATACCTTTGGCCATTCCATGTTTTCCGGTTGCACTTGTGTATCTGGAAAAATGAAAATTAACAATAGTATGTTCAAAAGAATTTCCATTGATGTGCTAGCAAGGGTTTCACATTCCATGCTTACAACTCTGTTCGAAAGGAATATTTCCTGGATCGGGAACAAGTAACTCTTGGCATGTGACACATGCATTGAGTGTACATGTATATACAAGCGCTACAGTGCCTCGGTCCCCTATTAGGGCAGACTGAATAGATTTTGAAGCATTCGTACGATAAGATAGACGGTGTCTATATTTATGCCAAATGGAACATAAAATACCACTGGAAATCATTATCGATCACTTTTATATCGCATTCATGGACAGTAGTAAGACTTTACGACAAAATATCATCTTGAAATGGAATTGGAACTTCATGAAGACAGCACCTACCTGACATCAGTTCTGCAGCCCCTTCAAGACCTGCAGCGGTTTCCAAAATTTTGCAGCAATTCCGCGGTACTACCTCATCAACATACGAACGCCCCTTCGTAGATCGTAGGAACATAGCGTCTATTTCATCGGATATGGTTACCGTCTTACGCACTAGTTTCTTGTCATTGCCAGGCAGTTTCAACACTGGATTTGTTTCTGGTCTGCCATGAGTTCCTGCACCGGGAGTTGCTGTAGACGTGTGCTGGGACATGGAGGGGTAGGTGAGGTTGTCCTCCTCTGGTACAGGTTCTGGTATGCCCTCCAGGACTACAACAGACATCGGACAAACATTGTACCCGTGTGCGCGAATGAGTACCAATTCTAGAGCTAATACATGCACAAAAGCTAAGGGCAAGGATGGCAAAAAGAATGAAACTCGCAGATACCAAGACCGGGGGGAGATAGTAAACCAGGGCTTAGTTTATCGATTTTCTGACCCGCAGTAGGGGCCTGTGGATTGGGGCTGTGGGGTAGTCTAGTGGTTAAAGCGTTCGCTCGTCACGCGGAAGACCCGGGTTCGATTCCCTACATGGGTACAATGTGTGAAGCCCATTTCTGGTGCCCCCCGCCGTGATATTGCTGGAATATTGTTAAAAGCGGCGAAAACTAAACTCACTCACTAATGATAATTGCTTACCTGTTGTCACGTTCTCAGAGATCTGTGGGTCAGGGCAGAGGACTGTTTCTGGGTGGTCTGATGCTTGCAGCGTATCAGGCCCTGGTGATGAAGACCCAGGCGCTGCATGATCACCATGACGCGTCGACATTCCAGCAGGGTGTTCCTGAAGAAACATTAAGCTCTCGTATTATATTTCTTTGTTTGCTAGTTTGTTGTTTAGCGTAGCTCTCAGCAATATTCAGGCTGAATGGCGGCTGTTGCCATGTAGTGCATTTCTTACATACTAGAAAGTGAAACAGAACACTTAGACTAACGTTTAGTCCCTGAATACATGTACTTTTGATAGTAGCAAATAAACCCATTTAAATTGAAGAGGAGCCCCAGTGAGACCAGAGATTCTGAACCTGAGGAAATCTAGACTTGCTTCATTTAGGGCTTCAACATTGCAGGGAGGGCTGGGCATTAGGGAAAATAATATGGTTGAGGGACTGTGAGACAGGCTACATTGCAGGGAGGGCTAGGCATTGGGGAAAATAATGTGGTTGAGGGACTGTGAGACAGACTACATTGCAGGGAGGGCTAGGCAGTAGGGAAAGTAATGTGGTTGAGGGACTGTGAGACAGACTACATTGCAGGGAGGGCTAAGCATTGGGGAAAATAATGTGGTTGAGGGACTGTGAGACAGACTACATTGCAGGGAGGGCTAAGCATTGGGGAAAATAATGTGGTTCAGGGACTGAGACAGACTACATTGCAGGGAGGGCTAGGCAGTAGGGACAATAATGTGGTTGAGGGACTGTGAGACAGACTACATTGCAGGGAGGGCTAAGCATTGGGGAAAATAATGTGGTTGAGGGACTGTGAGACAGACTACATTGCAGGGAGGGCTAAGCATTGGGGAAAATAATGTGGTTGAGGGACTGTGAGACAGACTACATTGCAGGGAGGGCTAAGCATTGGGGAAAATAATGTGGTTGAGGGACTGTGAGACAGACTACATTGCAGGGAGGGCTAAGCATTGGGGAAAATAATGTGGTTCAGGGACTGTGAGACAGACTACCTTGCAGGGAGGGCTAAGCATTGGGGAAAATAATGTGGTTGAGGGACTGTGAGACAGACTACATTGCAGGGAGGGCGAGGCAGTAGGGAAAATAATGTGGTTGAGGGACTGTGAGACAGACTACATTGCAGGGAGGGCTAAGCATTGGGGAAAATAATGTGGTTCAGGGACTGAGACAGACTACATTGCAGGGAGGGCTAGGCAGTAGGGACAATAATGTGGTTGAGGGACTGTGAGACAGACTACATTGCAGGGAGGGCTAAGCATTGGGGAAAATAATGTGGTTGAGGGACTGTGAGACAGACTACATTGCAGGGAGGGCTAAGCATTGGGGAAAATAATGTGGTTGAGGGACTGTGAGACAGACTACATTGCAGGGAGGGCTAAGCATTGGGGAAAATAATGTGGTTGAGGGACTGTGAGACAGACTACATTGCAGGGAGGGCTAAGCATTGGGGAAAATAATGTGGTTCAGGGACTGTGAGACAGACTACCTTGCAGGGAGGGCTAAGCATTGGGGAAAATAATGTGGTTGAGGGACTGTGAGACAGACTACATTGCAGGGAGGGCTAGGCAGTAGGGAAAATAATGTGGTTGAGGGACTGTGAGACAGACTACATTGCAGGGAGGGCTAAGCATTGGGGAAAATAATGTGGTTGAGGGACTGTGAGACAGACTACATTGCAGGGAGGGCTAGGCAGTAGGGAAAATAATGTGGTTGAGGGACTGTGAGACAGACTACATTGCAGGGAGGGCTAAGCATTGGGGAAAATAATGTGGTTGAGGGACTGTGAGACAGACTACATTGCAGGGAGGGCTAAGCATTGGGGAAAATAATGTGGTTCAGGGACTGTGAGACAGACTACATTGCAGGGAGGGCTAGGCAGTAGGGAAAATAATGTGGTTGAGGGACTGTGAGACAGACTACATTGCAGGGAGGGCTAAGCATTGGGGAAAATAATGTGGTTGAGGGACTGTGAGACAGACTACATTGCAGGGAGGGCTAAGCATTGGGGAAAATAATGTGGTTGAGGGACTGTGAGACAGACTACATTGCAGGAGGGCTAGGGCTAGGCATTGGGGAAAGTAATGTGGTTGAGGGACTGTGAGACAGACTACATTGCAGGGAGGGCTAAGCATTGGGGAAAATAATGTGGTTGAGGGACTGTGAGACAGACTACATTGCAGGGAGGGCTAAGCATTGGGGAAAATAATGTGGTTGAGGGACTGTGAGACAGACTACATTGCAGGGAGGGCTAGGCAGTCGGGAAAATAATGTGGTTGAGGGACTGTGAGACAGACTACATTGCAGGGAGGGCTAAGCATTGGGGAAAATAATGTGGTTGAGGGACTGTGAGACAGACTACATTGCAGGGAGGGCTAAGCATTGGGGAAAATAATGTGGTTGAGGGACTGTGAGACAGACTACATTGCAGGGAGGGCTAGGCAGTAGGGAAAGTAATGTAGTTGAGGGACTGTGAGACAGACTACATTGCAGGGAGGGCTAAGCATTGGGGAAAATAATGTGGTTGAGGGACTGTGAGACAGACTACATTGCAGGGAGGGCTAAGCATTGGGGAAAATAATGTGGTTGAGGGACTGTGAGACAGACTACAGCCCAATGCTCGCCTCATGCTGCAAGCATCAATGGCGTCATCCCGTACTTTTGTGATCAGGCACCCCATCGCCAGCACACAAAATCAGCAGTCTAAACCATGCTAACCGCCGCGGTGGGTGAGTGAGTGGGGCGATTAGCGGGATGGGACTCAACCCAACAAAAAGTACTACAATCTTCAATTTCCTGAGAAAGTGTAATCCCAAATATAACATCCTAAGTCATCCTAGTTGAAATGATGTATCAACATTTCAATATATACTCAGCGTCATTACAAACAGTCATCTTGCATGTTGGTTTGTTGTGTAACGCCGAGTCAGCAATATTCCAGCTATATGGCGGCAGTCAGACGATCCAGTGATCAACATCATGAGCATCGATCTACGCAATTGGGATACGATGACATGTCTAACCAGGTCAGCCGAGCCTGACCACCCGATCCCGTTAGTAGCTTCTTACGACATGCATGGGTTGCTGAAGACCGCATATTCACGGGTCTAATGGGAAATAGGGAAGTGAGGATGATAGAACAAACCCTAATATTTGTAGGCAGGGACAAACCCTAATTCACCCCTTGATCTCCATATAGTCAAAACCTTTCTTCATGGGTTCTCGGTTTCTGATTCAGCATTAAGTCGTCTCTGACAGTATCTCTGACGGAAAAATTGGGTTCGAATTTCAAGTTGGTCTACTCATTACCGTATGCTTGTCAGACCCTATGCTACGTAGTCATGCTCGCTGACCTGTTTGATTCCACTGCATCGTACTCCGCCATCGTGGGAAAGTCTTCATGATATCAACCACGGGTTTTTCTAATCCACAAATACTAATATTTACAGTCATAGCTGGAGTATTGCTGACTGCAGCAGTGTATAACAACAGCCAAACAAATATGGGTACATGTGTACTGACCGTCGTAACACCACTGAGTTGTTAAACGCTGTAATACCACGATTACTTACTGAACTGTTTAGTCCGGACGATGAAGTGAAACTCATGCGATATCGGCTGTCAGCCACTATCTGTGTATATACTGTACACTATCTGCATTAACTGCTTACTCGCTGTGTAGTATCTACATATATCGACCCGTTGGGTAAGTAGATAACGGCTATAAATATGTTTCAGCACTAAAAAGGTACATCGAGTCACATCTCCCCATGGAACCAGGATACCAGACTTATGATTTACATTGTCCATAACATCTCCCTAACCATTAATCATCACTCACTTCGTAAATATTTTAAAATAAATAATAAATAAAGTTAATATTTGTATAGTGCCTGTTCCAACATATTGCTCAAAGGCGCTTAGGTTACATCCTCGATAACTCCAGGGTATACGTTCCCACAACCCTCCATAAAGAGTGGGTGGTTATCGGAACGTATACCCTGGAGTTATCGAGGATGCTAAGGTTAAGGCTATGTTGAACATGTGGATTTGTACTTGTCGTTTAAACTGGTCGAGATTGACACGTTCTGAATGTGCCGTGGAAGACGGTTCCAGAGCCAAGGGTCGGCCTTGGAGAAAGATCTACCCCCCATGGTGTCTTTTCCTGGTCATAGGAACATCAAGTGCTCTTGGTGACCTTGACCTGTTATGTTCACTGCCTTAAAATATTCCTTTCTGAAAAGGTGACCCGAACACTTGCTATTTTTTATATACTCATGGAATCGAATACGGAAACACATGCAAGTACAAGTGTTCCTTTATTCTTTTCCAGGTTTCTTCACAAGGTATGTATTGCACTGTGAGTGAAATTCTGGAAATACATAAAGGAACACTTGTATGTCCATGTGTTCCCGTATTCGTTTCTATGAGTATACATCCTAGGTCAGCTAGTTTGTCCACCAGACGTTCTAAATCAAGAGTTGTGTCTATTAGACGTTCCCAGAAATTCCTTCTGTGGTTCACCTCCCCCGTCTACCAGCTGAGTTCACCGTTTTGTGTTCCTTCTAGTTGGAGGCATCTGCTTATCATAGAAGTACAGACAAACTAAAGAAACTTGGTTTCAAAAATGCGAGAGCAGAGATTTTATTCAAAACACATTCAGGATAACTTTGGTGTGGGTGGGTGATGTTGTATCAATAAAGATGGGTTAGACATATTGCCTCTGGAACTATTTTCCATAGGAACATAACAATGTGAAAACAGTGTTTTGGTGTCAGTTATATTTCATTCAACCGATAGAATAGTTTATTTCTTCAGTCAGAGGCCACAGGCTCACATGACATACATGTGAAATATATATAATAATAAAGTATAAATAGGTATATAACAAAACATACATGGTTGGCAAAACATACAGATGTAATACACAAATAATAACAATTACACATACATACAGTCCGTTTGAGTCAGAAACGGACCGATGAATTGCGAATTTTATCATTGTACAAAATTGCCACATAAGTATAAATAGTACAGATGTTTATCATTTACTAATACCCAACAGCTTTCTTATATTTGAAAATTTTCCCGACTCCACCAAAAAAGTTGTTTTAGAAACTATCATCATTGAAAACGCAAAAGTTGTTATCTGTCGCGGCGGGGTGAAACCGCAGAAACGGAACAGCCACTATCTCGTCTGCACGGGATACACATGCCTGATGAAAAATGAAGTTGAATGCTGACGTCAAACAGTTGATGATTAAAGTGTACGATTTTTTCCGTGCTGAAGCCGAAAGGGGCAAACCATTTTATGCCATTAATAAATTCCGTAAGCGGGCAGCAAAAACTTTAGGAGTATCAGCAAGGGTAGTAGGGTACTGACAAATGTTCTGGAACACAAACATTGTGAGGGTGATGCGAAGCAGGTAGGGGTCGTGTCAAAATCACACAAATTAAAACATTTGGACAACTTTCAACAGAACCTTGTAAGGCAGTCTATCAACAAGCTCTATTCTGAAAACAAATACATGTCGCTGAAAATTTTAAAAAAGTATTTGAAGCAAGAACACAACCTCAGAGTATCAAAGTACACACTCCGGCGACTCTTACACTCTTTCGGGTATCGTTATAAGAAAATTTCGGGGGAGAATAGGTCAGTACTCTGTGAACGCCCTGATATCGTTCGCTGGAGAAATAATTTTCTCAGGGTTATAAAGAAGAAGCGCGAGGAAGGGTTCGAACCAGTGTACTTGGACGAGACCTGGGTCAATGCCTCGCACACTGCCAGCAGTCAGTGGGCACCCGATGGGGGTGATAAGGGGTCACGTAGAAAGCTGCCTCTAGGGAAAGGAGAGAGACTAATCATTCTCCACGCTGGTTGCTCCAGCAAAGGTTTCTCCCAGGCTGCGACTTGGTATTCAGGGCAAAGTCCACAGATAACAGAGACTACCATTCAGAGATGAATGGTGCGGTTTTCCCTGATTGCTTAAAACAAGTTGGTACCAGCTCTACCAGAGAAGTCTTTATCGTAATGGACAATGCCCCATACCACAGCGTGCAGGACCCCGACAGTAAAGCCCCGACATCGAACAGTCGAATAGGTGATATGATATCATGGCTAGACAAATTTCAGATCGCACGGCCTTCAAAGGCAACGAAGCCTCAGCTATTTGAGATCATAAAATCCCACAAAGGTGAACCTTTCTACAAAGTTGACAGTTACATAAAAAGTAAGGGTCACGATATTCTACGACTTCCACCCTATCACTGGTGACCTTTACCCCATTGAAATGATATGGGTATTGTCAAAGGAGATGCTGCCAGATCAAACACAACTTTTAGATTACGTGACGTAGAGGTTTTGGTTAAGTTGCGTTTTCAATGATGATAGTTTCTAAAACAACTTTTGGTGGAGTCCAGGAAAATTTTCAATATAAAGAAAGCTGTTAAAGTATTAGTAAATGATAAACATGTGTACCCATTTATATTTATGTGGCAATTTTGTACAAAGATAAAATTTGCAATTCATCGGTCTGTTTCGACATGCATACATACATACTATTGCCATACTACATACATACATACATACATACATACATACAGAATGTCCATACATGACTTTATGTGACAAGTTTTTATGAGTGTGGATAGTTATCAGTTTTAGTTCTTGCGTGAGAATAATTGCGTGGACTCATTTTATTTCTGGATCTTCCTCTCTCTCTCTGCAATACATGGTTGTATCTTCTAATGTACAGTTAAAGATTTTATGTTGAGTGAGTATGGTTTTACTTCTGCTTTAGCAATATTCCATTCTTACGGAGGGAATTAATGATGTTTATGGAGGAGCATGTGTAATGTGCACGGGACCTCTCCAGCATTATGTACAAAGTGTCCTCTCCACACACACTTTTGCATGTCATGTGCAAAACCAGTGACAAATTCAGTGCAGCATGCTTACAAACTGATGACCCCTATCTCCCCTTAACAACATCACTGGCCCTCTCTCTCTCTCTCTCTCTCTCTCTCTCTCTCTCTCTCTCAATAATAATAACACACACAATACACACACACTAAAAATCATGAATGGTCCTTTTTATCACACCTACCTCTTCGCAGCTTGGACACCGTCTTGATGTACAGCGATATTTCAAGATGAATGTGTGTATGTGCGTCCTCTGTAACAGGAAGTTGAAGTGCTCAGATTGTTGGCCCCAGTCATTGGTAATCTGATGATAAAGCCAGTTTGCATATATACCTGGCATGTTGTACTTCCCGTTTGATATTGTGAGAGATGACAGACCGTAATTATATTGATAACAGGGTCTGGAGTAAGCCAAAAAAATAGGTTCATGTCTAAGCGTGTTGACGTTGTGGCTGGGTGATATCATAAAATGTCGTACCGAAACCAGCAGCGACTTATATGGAGGATAGCAATCAGATAATGTCGAACCGATGGAGGAATGAGTGAGTATGGTTTTACGCCGCTTTTAGCAATATTCCAGCAATATCAATGGCGGAGTACACCTCCAAAATAACGTGACGAGCGAACGCTTTAACCACTAGGCTACCCCAATCGCCCATGTCGTACCGAAACCTGCAGTGATCTTATTTTAGGATATCAATCAGGTAATGCGGGACTTGATTCAGATAAACATTAGCGGCCATCTTGGATGAAATAAGGTCCATGTTGATTGCAGATTGCCAGCATTTTCTTTAGTAATTATCCTGCCACGCACATTTAAATATATAGTGATAAGTGACAAGTTTATTAGTATTTGGGGGCCACGTGACTCATATTTACTACTGCATAACCAGCGGCATGCACACAGTGAACTACACCGGTATATCATTCATTCATTCAACTATATCGATTTGTAAAGTTTTTCAATTACAATGATAAAGATTTAATAAGTTTTGGAAGTTGATGTGGGTAGCGGATATTTTAGATTTGATTTTGAAGCATTTTTTTGTGGAGAAATTGTTGTTCGTTTATCTTTTATGGTAGGTGGCAATAAGCAATAGGGGAATGGTTTCAATATGCCTTGTAGATATTTGCAGCCACAGTAAACACATTTAAGCATTTATAACATGAATCTATCTAGGCTTTGCATGAAATGCATGTGGGACCTGTTTTGTAATATCTTCTTTCGGGAACCAATGACCCAATCGATCTCAAACTGTGCAATTGGATGTTTTGTCAGACAACCTAATCAGCCAATGTAAATCACCGATTTTATGTACTTGTATATTAAAGAATCTGTCTATGTAACTGGCCAACAAAAAATAAACAGCAGAACGCAGAATGCTTGTGAGGGAGGGAGCCAATGACCGTAAATATGTGTTCAACTACAAACAAACAAAAACAAAAGTACGAAATGACATTAGTGATGCTGGCGGCACATGGCGGGCATAGGGCTGTTACACTTTCGGGGGGTTATCATTACCTCATTTGCCGTCTAAATTCCAACATATCTACTTTGGCCAATTATAGACATTATGACATAACCTCTCCACACACCATTTTGATTCGCTCTCCGCGAATATTAACAAAAACTTTACTCAAACGTTTTCCATCGAGTGAAATATGAGCGTTTGCTCATTGTTTCAAAGTCTTTTACACAGTCAGGATATTTTCGAATACCATGAACACAACTACAATCTGTTTGTGTGAAACTAATACCCATGAATCACAATCTATTACTGACTCGATGGCCAGTAGTAGTGTCAGTATTGTGAACAATTTTGTCCGGTTTTGGTCCGGTTAATAAGTTAGGTTTACGTCACTTCCGGCCACCGTGTTCCGCGAAAGTTGTAAACATAACAGTGACGGAGTAGGAAAAGGAGTGGAGTGAAAGTTGGTACATATCCTGGTGGCGCTGGTTGTAATCGTGGACGGACTCTAAGGACGGAGGAGGCCCTGCGTCTAACTTCACATGGTATTTTTGTAGAATACATTCGTAAAGACGAAAATGGGAGCTTCTCTCTGCAAGACACTCGGTTGGAAGAAGGATGTGAAAATGCTTATGATTGGTGCGTATATCTACAGTTTTAGCTTAAAACATTCACTACGTACACAACGTACCGGTCTCCCAAGATCATTACTGTCATGATTGTTGGACCCGATAGTGGTTCCCAGCTAGTCAAGAAGGTGACGTTTGGTACCGTCAGAGACCATATAATAATCTAGTATATTATGGTCTCTGGTACCGTGACGTCTTGATTCACTTGTCTATCAATAGACTATGTACAGAATAGGCTTAGTCCTTTACACCTCTTCCCGGTTTTAGACCCAATGCGCATGATCTTGATACTTGACATTCTTTAGCATATATAAGGGAAAAAGGATAGTGTGGCTAATTTATTACCTTCGAGGGGGAAAATATCGGGGTTCATATTTTTCATACGATGCCCTTGGGCAAAATATCACTTTGTCACGGTGACGTGACGTCATGAACACTGATATGACGTCACGTTGCTTCTGTGACGTTGGGTACTACATGCGGCTACCGCGGTATAGCCAGCCTGTTTGAAAGTAGATTTGGGTTTATTTTCCTCAATTTCAGGACGTTGGTAATAAACAGAATATTATATTTGTGCCCATATCTGGGATCATACTATGTTTAGGACACTCATCCCTTAACATTGGTATCGCGATAGCAGGCCCTCAGAGTTCGGCCACTAAAAGATCCTGAATGCGAAGTGACGTCATCTGTTTTCGCTCACTTCATTGGTTCTCCGTGAAACACAAATCTAATAGCAGTATCTGTGCTATGCCGACATTTTCCTTTATGAAGAGTAGCATTAAACATCCAGTCTCAAAAGAAGTTATTTGTAAGAGTTCCATATTACTATAAACTATGGTTTATACTTTGCAGGTTAAAAGCGGACATGATGAGATTTCATGAAGGTTATATCATCATATGTCCAGGGTAGCTTTACTTCCTCCGTTCATATGGACAGGTAATTCAAAACCCATCAGAAGATCTCACTACATGAGGTGCAATAGTTTTGAGGTGGACCTTAATGACAGCATGCAGGATGAGTATGACTGGGCCTGGCGACACAGAAATATATTTAAATTCGCAGCTCTAAAATTAAATGAGCATTTTGAAAATCGCATTGAGATGACCCTATCCAGTTTCCATATATTTCACGCAACTTAATGCATTACATGTCATCACGTGGATAATAATACGTCATACTATAAACAAGCAGACTATCTATACCGAAAAGGCGGAGAGCTGGAATAATCTTTGTAGATACATGGCATCTTTGATTATACGAAAATTTAATAGTAAACTCAGTTTCAAAACGTAGAATACTTTACGGTGTTTGCAATCATGTACCTTACTAAATTTCACACCTAAGCATTTTGTTAGTCGTGAGCTGAAGCAGCTCTATCCTGCTAAAATAACCTGTTCAGGACGTAAAATACAGTAGTAATAACTTCCTGGTAGTTTGAACACGTTAAAACGCCGACCAAAATAGATGATGAACGAAAACAGATGACTCGAGGTTATCCTCGGCCGCTTCACTACGAAATACCACAACATCGACACTTGCGTCGCGAAACATAGTACGACATGGGCACCATAATATCCTCTCTATTTATTATCCATATGGTGACACATAACCGCGTCACATTACTTTGCTCCAGCAAACAACTGTTTCTGCGTTTCCGGCTGTCCGTGACGCCATTAAACACCGAACGCGACGCACGAACCGGTCACACTTGCTATTTGTGGTTTACTTCGTAATAAATGTATGTGGAATAAAATGGATAATAAAGAAATGATTACACTTGGTGGGTGTTAATTTACTTATAAAATTTGTATATTATATAATTTCTTATATATAATAATTTATATTTAAGACCTAATCCTCTGATTTTTGTTTTATGAGTGTATGTGATAGTGCCCTAACAGTCACTTATAAATAGCCCAAACCAACCAGCGATGATTTCCATCCCGCAAATGCATGGCAATACCGTACCGTAAGTATCATGAGTAGCCATAAAGGCAAAGCAGAATCAGCAGCAGCAAACCCCAAAACACCCCATACTGCAATTCAAACCGCTTTGGCTTATATTCCCATAGGGCCCGGGAGAGACTACAGTGATCACCAGTGCCACCATAAACATGATAAAAACGATCAGTATATCCAGAAGGCAACTATACCAGACAAAAATGTTGTGGACATTGGCATTTTTAAGGATTGATATTTTATCAAAGTGACAATGAATAAACAGATCATTATCCATAATCAAAAATTTCATACATTACATCCCCGAACTATTTTGTCCGTATATATTACCATGTATATCGGGGCCTTGATCCATCACCCACAATTCATCATCTTGTTTCTTTGTCTTAGGTCTTGATAAGCCTTTGAAAACAAATCCGACTCTGTACCAATCACTTTAGGGGAGAAGTGGTCCAAGCCATTCCTACAATTGTATATGTCTTTTGGTCTACCATAAGTATATATACATAGTGTATTCATAGGTAGGTAGCGGTGCAGGTATATTAATAGGCTGGAATTCACTCTGAAATTACATAAACCAATTCAGGTAGAAATAAATGCCTTCATGCTGTTGATCACTGGAATGTATGGTGCAGGCTTTCACAGGCCATAATCTTGCATTGATTTATAAGTGTTATAACTTAACAACAAGTCAGGAGTGATATGTTTACAGCGATCCCATGAGAAACTTCATAGGTCGGGCCAGTGACTGACATACTACTGGCTCGGGATTGGATTTTTACTAGCCACGGTTAGCTGTCAAGGGCTATTTCAATAATACACTGGCTGGCAGGCATGTAGTGAGTGAGTGAGTTGATTTCACGCGACTCAGCAATTATCTCCAGCCATTATGGCGGCGGTCTGTAAATAATCGAGTCTGGACCAGACAATCCAGTGGATCAACCAGCATTGAGCATCGATCTGCGCATTGAATTGGGAACCATGATGCGGTCAACCAAGTCAGCTAAACTGACCAATTCGATCCCCATTAGTCACTTACTTACGATTCTTATTCTACCACTCGACTTCAATGGTCCTGGCTGTGTGGTTGTACATGACGTGATGCAAGTTGACACGATGAGTAATGATAGGTATTAATTTCATATTATCTATATAAGAACTCATAGATGTTACTTATGAAAATTCATACACTGTGTTTTATAGTTTCCAGGTTTCAATGTTGAGCGATTTTACACATAAAAATATTTTCCT